TTTTAAACCTGAAGTTTTCTTGTTAGGCATCATACCGAAATACATTAACAGACAGGAAATGTATTTGATGTTACACTTAATCACAGCGGCGAGGATTGCATTTGCTCAATATTGGAAAAGTGAGGAGCTACCCACCAATGAATTGATTTTAAGAAAGATTTTGGACTGCGCAGAAATGGATAGACTGACTCTATCACTGAAGGAGAAAAAAGACAGACTTCTATCAAACTTGGGATTTTTCTATAATTGGCTGGAGAAATGCGACTTGGCGTAAATTTAGAGATGTTTTCAAGTTATTATAAACTGATTTAAATTTGACTATAGAATGTTAAAAAATATGTAGTAGGGGGTTGACCCAGTAAATCCGATGTATGTGATGTTTGATGTTTTTAGTAGTAGTTTAACATTTTAATAAAACTTTTTAAGAAGTATGACCCACTGAGTTCAATGACACTTACTCCAAGGTAAGTATACACCAAGTTCTTCTATAAATCCTAACACTTGCCAATGAATGATGCAAAAGTTAGAGTACATCAGCAACATTTTTACAGAGGGCTAAAACCAGTGTGCCGGTGATCATGCGCAACCATACCATTATAATTACAAAAGTTACGACATTTCCAAACATCTGTCCTCCACTCTCATTCCTTTTCAAATCCCTTTTGACAAAACTTTCTTATGGGTCAGAAAAACAAATATACTCACTAAGCTCTTAAAAATAAATTCCAAGTATTTGTTTAACTCATTCTACAATATAACCGGCGATCAACTCGCATGGAGAAATGGAATGGATATTTAAATACATGAGTAATAAACATAATACACATGCAAGAAGTATGCCATAATAAGTTGTAAACTGCTGCCATCTTCTGAATAAAACCTAAAATTACTGTTTCTACAGTAGTCTCTGTTTAAGAGCTTAACCGTGCATATTTAAAATTTCACTACATGTAGATTACACTTAGGGAGCAGGTGGTGTTAGGCACAGGAACAATTCAAGGTTCAGGGCCACAGGACAAAAGAAAAATGCCCAGATCTAGTTATGCTAATTCACAAATGCTCTAAAGTTGTGTGTGACTTTAAAAGACCCTGTTTCCCAGGAACACGCTATCTGTACAAAGGGATGTAAGGAATGGGAGAGAAGGCTGTTTGATTTCAGAAAGAACCCTCAGGCAGAGAGATCCAAGCTGGTGGCAGGACAGAGGGCAGGCGGTGAAGCACGTGTGGGCAAAAACTGCTGTTCCAGAAATCATCAGGGCCTTGGTACCTTGATTTCAGCAAGTGCCCATAAACAGCAGGGTAGTATTTTCATGCATTGTGATGATGCTGACACAGTGTGTGATGAAAGCTGATTCACTCTTCACATCATAGTAAATAACACATTGTAGTAAACAATTTTGTGATGTCATGGTCACAAATGAGATAAAATTTACCTGGAAACTTGACATTTTAATAAGCAATGAGCTTAGCAAATATGCAACCCAATCATGGAAGGAGTCAGGAAATGAACTAGCTGGATCCATTTAGAACAGGACAAAAAATAGTTGAATTATCAAGAAAGCATACAGATCTTTAGAGACTTGGCTAATTTTAACAGATTCCTGATTCTTGCAAGAAGAACTTATTTAGGTTCAAAGGAATGTATAGCACAGGCATAAATTCTTTGTATATACAGTCTGGGAACAAGAGCTAGGTTAAGTTAGATATAGCTTTTTCACCATAGCTTTGCATTCAAGACAGTTGTTTAAGCATAATAACAAGAGACATACTACCATTTTTCCCACAGGGCTGGTTATGTCAGATTTACCAGCAGAATATAGCACACATGCATACTAATAACAACTTTGCATTTAACTCCTTTGCATATATACTTGAGTAACCCTAACAGCAATAATCTGCCTCCTGTAGGCCAAAGAGGTTCTTCTGCCTGCCCGAGGCTTCCAACTTCACACTGCAGTTGGCCCAGAGAGAGTGGCAATCCTGGCAGATTGTCCTGTCTACCTACAGTCTCTTTCTCCCTTCTAGAACAGTGCAGGAGATGATGCTAAGGCTGAAGAGGGAGGGGAGATCTGAGAGGACAGCCTTCTGCTTACAGAAAGTTCCCAGTGGCAGAAAAGCTGGATTCAACCCACTGTAATGTAGGTCAGTGTTATTCTCCCATATTATAGGAACTGAAGCAAAGAGAGTGTCCCAAGTGAAGCAACAATTGAACAGGGGAATGCACATCCCACACACTCATCTGAGGTAGCACATTCATAAATGAACTGATGCTAACTAAGAGGCTGATTGTGACAGTGCTAACTCATTCAGCAATCTGTTCTTTATGCTGGCTAAACAAACTGAAATCAAGTATTATGAAATATCTATCATTTTATATTGTCTGAAAGCATGTCTAGTTTGGGACAATACCTGAGGCTAGCGTGACTCACCAAAACGCTTTGTAAAATGACTGGCAGAGAGACATGAAGAGCAAGCTTGAAAGCTCACGAAGCAGCAGCTCAGCCTGGCCCAGGGATCCACTTGACTGAAGGCACCAGGAAGGAGTAACCTGGAGACCTTCGAGGAGCTTTGGCAGTAGAGACAGCAAAGAAGCAGCAGCAGATCTGCTAACCATGCTGGGGCAGGATTAACTCATGCTCAGCTACTCGTAATGGGTCATTCTGGAAAAAGAGATAGCACAACAGAATAAATACATGGCTGCTATCAAAAGTGTATTACCCCGTCTCAGTCAGTACTGATTTTAAAATAATAAATGATTCATGCGCTTGTTTAATAAATATTTAACAAATGCATAGATTCAAGAATAGACGTTTTGACTCCTCTAAGAAAAAAGTCGGCTTTTAGAGAGACAGACAGGACGTGTATATTTTGTCAGATTCTTGATGTGTTTTAATTGTACATGAACTTTTTTGGTTGCTGCTAAATTGTTTTAAGTTTACTTCTGTTTGTTGTTATGTGCTGTTAGAAAGACTCTATGAAAGTCTTTCCCTCCAAAATGCCCTCTCCTTGACAGCCCTGCTCAGCTTTTGTAAACTCAAGGCTGTGGCTTCCTTTATGGAGTCCATCTATCTGTCTCATATTGCTGCTGCTGCTGCTGCTGCTGCTCCTCCTCCTCCTCCTCCTCCTCTTGAATTTCCTTAGCATATAGTCTTCTCCAGCATGTCTTGCCTTCTCATCATGTGCCCAGAATACAAGAACTTCAGTTTTGTCATTTTTGCTGTAGGATTTCATCATTTGTTTTTAGTGTTCCCAATTTTTAATGCATTAGGGTTGTTATTTTTTTATTGTTGCAAACTGCTTTTGGGGCTGCTTTGGGAGCCAAAGGGAAGTTATACATTTAAAATGCAGACTAACCTAGGAATTTTTTTATTTTAAAAATGTCACCTTCTCTCTTATGCAGATGCCTTTCAAATTTAATCAACTATAATGAGAATTTGCAAAATTATAACAGGAATTCGCTTTTCAAGTAGTAAGATGAAGACAGGCAGACACTGGTAGTTCAGAGGGGTCAGAAGAGATTTGCAGAGAAGGGTCGCCATCACCCTTCCTATTAATGGGCCACTTATAAGCCTATTCCTATTAATGACACCAGCTTTCCCCAACCTGGATCCCATAATTCCCTTAATTCCCCAAATTCATGGGGGCTAGCAGTTACAAAAATTGCAATCCATAGCAACATAACAACCAGGAACAACCTAAGAAGAGCAATTCTGCCTGAGACCAAGGATGTGTCCAGTCCAGCACTCAGTTCACACAGTGGTCAACCAACTGCCCATGCGAAGCCCACAAACAGGACATGAGTACAAAAGCACCTTCCTACCCATATTCCCCAGTATACTGTCGAACATGTCTGGAGGGTACCAGGTTGGAGAAAGCTGAACTACACCACTCATGTATAAAAAGGTAAAGGGAAAGGTTTCCCCTTGACCTTATGTCCAGTCATGCCTGACTCTAGGGGGCAGTGCTCATCTCCGTTTCCTAGCCGAGGGAGCCAGCGTTTGTCCGCAGACAGTCTCCGTGGTCATGTGGCCAGCATGTCTAAACACCAAAGTGCATGGAATGCTGTTACCTTCCTGCCAAAGTGGTACCTTTTTATCTACTTTCATTTGCATGCTTTCGAATTGCAAGGTTGGCTGGAGCTGGGACAGAGCAACGGGAACTCACCCCATTGTGCAGATTCAGACCAGCAACCTTTCGATCAACCAGCCCAGCAGCACAGTGGTTTAAACCACTGCACCACCTGCAGTCCCTTACTCATGTATACAGTGACATAAAATATTCAGTTAAGCAGTGCTTAATCATCTCACAGCATCTTACCACTCACTGATTATTTGCTTTTGAAAACCCACTGATTGGTTTTCTTTGTGCAGGTGGGCGTAAAAATCTGTTTCCCAATTTGCAACAGGACGCCCAAAAATAGTTCCTCTCCCATCTGCCCCATCTACCTTCAGCAATTTGACGAAATAGGAATAAAATAAACATTTCTCTACTTCACACCGTCCATTTCTATTTATCCCGGGCTCTGGAGGATTCCCTCTACAGGTTGCTTGCACAAACACACCTGCTCCACTTGGCAGAAGCGCCGCTGCCTCACGTGCCATCACACGGCGCGCTGCCTGGAGCAGATCCACACGCGCTCCGCGTCCGCTCGCGGGAGACACGGGCGGCGCGCGCCGGGTGGGCGGGCCCTCGGCGGGCCCCGCCCCCTCACGCGAGGGGCGACCGGCGCCGCCGGAAAGGCGCGGGCGTGGCCTCCGGCTCGGCGCTGTTCGGCGCTTTGTGGTGCTGATCGCGGCCGACTCGTCCCCCAGCGTCGCTCGCAGCGGGGCGCGGGGAGGGGCCACCATGGCGCGCCCGCCGCCATCCCCTCCTTCTCCTCCGCCTCCTGGACGGCCCTGGTAGCGGCGGAGCTTCCCGCCTCCCGCGGCTCGCTCCATCCTCGTCAGCAGCGCCGCCGCCGTTCTCTCGCTCCCCCCGCCGGCCGGCCTCGGCTGGGCGCCATGGCTGCGCAGGTGCCCGGGCCGCCGAGCCGCCTGCTTCCCCTCTGGCCGCCGCTGCTCCTCCTGCTGCTGGCGGCGCCGCAGTCGCCGTCTGCGGAGCGAAGATCCCCGGTGGTGGCGGGCGTGGAGTCGCTGTTGGAGGAGTTCCGCCACCAGCTGCAGCAAGAGCAGGACCCATCTGGCGGCCGCGGCAACGCGCGGACGGAGGCGGCGGGCCGCTGTCGAGGAGGGGGCGGCAGGCCGTCGAGCGGCGGCGACGACGGGAGCTTTTTCTCGGCCAGGCCCGACTCCATCATCCGCACCAAGGACTCCATCGCGGCGGGCGCCACGTTCCTCGGCTCCCCGGGCTCGGTGGCGGGCCCGCGGCAGTGCCTGGACGCCTGCTGCGCCGAGGCCCGCTGCACCCTGGCCGTGCTGCAGCAGCAGCAACGGTCGCCGCCCGCCTCGTTCCGCTGCTACCTCTTCAACTGCACGTACCGCGGCCGCGCCGTCTGCCTCTTCTCCCCGCAGCTCGGCTACAGCAGCTACTTCTTGGAACCCAGCAGTCTGCCTCCCGCCCCGGGTAAGAAGGGACTTCCAGCGCTGTCCCCGGGACCGCTGGAGAAATGTGGCTGATTTCGTGGCGCTGGGGTGGTTCGACGTAACGTCCTCTGCCCTGGGAGCCGGGCTCTCGGTTGTGCGAGGGGAGCGGCGTTTTGCATATGCCCCGATAGCTTTCAAAAGCGAGCTGGGTTAAGTTTTGGCATTTAGCAATAGCAGTGGGTGGGTGCTATAGTCGAAAGGATGTGGCATCCATTTCATTAGCCTTGACAGTGGCAGCTGGTAGCCACTATGGCAGATGGACAACAGGTGGTCACCAAAAGGCCAAAAGTGAGACAAAGAGGTGCCAGGGTTCAAGGCTGCTTAGTAGTTATATCCTCTAATTTAGAAACTGGGCTTTATAATCTCAGACTCTTGAATCTTTTCAAGATCAATTTCCAAAATATTTTGTTGTTCGGATGTGTTTTTCTTAATTTTAAAAGCTAGACTAAAGCAATAAAAGTGTGTCTTTCAAACAACAGCAATCTCAACTTTGAATGATGTATGCTTTCTTTTTCCCCATTAATTCAACTATTTTACTTTATTTAGAAATGGATGAACCTCCCCTCAGCAAGGCAGGGAAGGACATTATCCTTCAGTTGCCTGTTGACTGGGTGATCCTGGATGGCCGAGAAAGTATAGATGACCATGGAATCATACAATATGACTGGACAATGCTTCAAGGTGCCCCTTCAGTTGATATGAAGGTACATAAAGCTTTGCTGTGCAAGTTAATTATTTGCTGGATTTGGTACTGATATTGTAGAAATGGCAATGCGATGTTTTTGTCCTACAGTCAGATAAAAAGAGGTCAATGAAAAGTTTTACAACATGTAACCTGTTTAATATTTTAGTTCCCAAAGGCTGTATTTGTGAGAACATTGGATTATTGTATGTATACTATATAGAAAAAGGATTTATACCAGGGCAGTTCTTTTGTCCATCTTGCCTAGTATATTCATTAATCTCTGACTTACAGAGATGCCTCAAGGTGTCAGGCAAAAGGCTATTATACCACCTGTTATACAATCTTTATAACTGAAGATGTAAAAGACTGAACCCAGTTCTTTTGCATACAAATGTGCATTCCGTGTGGCCCATTCTGCACAATTGTACAGTGTAGCACATAAAAATAATGTGGAAGTATATTATGGCTAATCAGTGATGGGAACCTTAAGTAAAGTTGAGGATGCTTTTTAAGGAAGTGTGGATTATTTAATCATCCTTGAGCTCCCATGTTTTTCACCATATTTTGTTACCATCATTTTGTTTCATTTTCATAACAAAAGGATATGAAACAGAGATAGATCTGTTACAGATTCAAGCTGAAACAAGCCTGTGCTTATTTACCTGGGAGTAAGCCCCACAATGCTTCTGAGGAAAAAAAGTATAGAATTGAACTGTTATGTTGCTTTCTTATACCTCATATTCACATTTCACATAAAGCTTCAGTACCTGTGTTTCCTATATAGACTGAGGAATTGTGAGTTCATAGTTAACCAAAAGGCTCATTGAGCAGATGCATTATAAAAAGCACTGCTTATTTACATTTGAAATATATTAGAAGAATGTATTCTGTCTTGTATGTAACAAAAATATTCAAGGTAAATATATTATTTATGGAGATAATTTCCAAATATCTAGTCACTTGTTGAATTTAGAGAATCAAGCATACACATGTAACTGGTACTATATCTGCATAGTATTTAGGTATTGCATTTTAATATGCAAACTGAATTATCTTCAGTTAAAAGTTTGAACCACTACATGTGTGAAAGATGATGCATGCATGAAAGTTGATGCATGCATGCAGAGAAAGGCTTTTCTTTGCCAAATACAAAAGTAACTTCCTTTCACAGCCTCATAAGCTGGTTTCTAAACTTTCCATAAGATGCAGCTGTTTGGCCCTAGCCTGTGGTATACAGCATCTCTGGGCCATACTTCTCTTGGTGAAGATTTATACTGTGGTGTACATGCGGTATTCTTTCAGCACCAGTGAAATGGCATAATTTCCGCTGTACTACTGTGGTCAGTCTAATGTTTATATCAGTTATGTTGCCACACAGCAATTCCCGGGATCAGGTTTTAAACAGACAAATGTGGGACAGTTGTTTTGTATGGCAAGTTACACAACTGTTTTAAAAGAATTTATTTTTGTGAATTAAATTGCTACCTATAAAAGTAGCCATTTCCAAAACTGAAATAAGAAAACATTTTGTAGTTAGGCTTTGTCTCATAATAATAAAAGCAATCTACTATTGTGTTAGGCTTTTGTTGTTTTTGCAGAATGTGGACCAGCTGGATGAAAATATGTATTAAGCAAAGCTGTGAATTGCTGTGAAGCTTAGACAGGAAGTGTTCCGCACTGAATATGCAGAAGCTTGAGTGCGAAAAAGCTTAGATGCACAGGAAGAATATGGATATTCTTTTATTCTTCTACATCTCACCATCGCATGATGGTTGTTGCAGAACTGTAAAGTGTTCAGAAAAGGGCAACCAAAATGATCAAGGGGTTTGGGCAACTCCCCTATGAGGGAAGCCAATAATGGTTGAAGCTTTTTAGCTTAGAAAAAAGGCAAGTAAGGGGCACATGACTGAAGTATAACAAATTATGTGTGATCTGGAAAAAGGAACTTTTTTCTTGGCTTTGAAAATATTGCAACCCTAGGTCATCCAGTGGAGCTGATTATAAGGAGATTCAGGCAGAGAAAAGAAAGTATTTCTTTACACAACATGTGATTGCTTCATGGATTTTCTGTCACAGTATGTGGAGGTGGCCAATAATTTGGATGGCTATAAAAGAGGATTAAACAAATTAGGACACAATTCTATGCATACTTAGAAAAGAAAGGCCTACCACTCCTAGCATGTCCCAGCCAGAAAGCCTTGCTGAGGAATAGTGGGATTTGTAGGATTTTTTTCTGCCTAAACATGGCTAGGATTGTACCTTTAATGGGAGAAGTATGTCAGTGGATGCAATTAGGCAAGACAGCTAGATGCAATGTCCAGTATCGGGGCAAGGTTCATATATCAGCTGCAGAGAAATGAAAGAGGCCTCTTATCCTTACGTCTCTTCCTGGGCCTCCCAGAGCCCACTGGTAGAAACTTGTTGTTGGACTGATGGATGTTTGTACTTCTTTCACAGGACCTTCTTATGTTCTTATGAGCAGCAGCATATTTCACTCATATAGTAGTGACTCTCTGCACTCAGAGAATGGGACAGGCAGCCTGAGACCCTCCAGATACTTTGGCCTGCAATTCTCATCATTCCTCCCTATTGGCTATGTTGTCTAGGACGGGGCGGGGGGGGGGGAGGGGGCTTACAGGCCTAAATTTCTGAGGACTGCAGTTTGCCCACAACTGCTGTAGCGAATGGTTTGCTTCATAGAGGCCAAAACATAAATCTCATGTACAAAGCTATGGAATTCTATCATTGCATTTGGGGCATTGGAATATAAGGAAAGCCACATTGAATCAGACGAAGGGTCCATCTGATTTAGCACTGGCAGTGGCCAACTGGCAGCTCACAGGTTCCCACAAGCTGGAGAGGAGTGCAACAGTATCCTGCCGAGGCTTCTCAGCAACTAGTATACACAGCCATACTGCTGGTGTCCAGTCTGCTGCTTTTACTGATTACATTTGCACTTAATCATGTTTTCTCTTAATGTTAATAATGTTGAAGGCGTCTAGTTACTAAATATTTGTTGTTCAGCGGAACAATGATGAATAGAACTGCTTGAAGAAGATTAGAAGCCTCCAATCACCTTAATTCTAAAGAAGCTGAACAAGGAGAAATAGGAGTTTATCAGATTGTCCCTACTTCCTTGTGGAAAGTGCTATTCTTTAGGCAGGGTGACAAATTGATGCAATAAGAGAGAACTTGCTTGTTCAGTGGCTTCAGCGTGTATGAAACAATTAACTCCATAGCATGTGGCATTTTATTACTTCATTCTGGAAATTGTCTAGCACATCTTATGGCAGAAAAACTGTACTTACAGGACTTGTTTATGGCAAGGAGGAAAAGAGGAAGAAACCTTAAGGTCATTCCTTCCTGTATTTGTTCATTTTCATAGACACATACAGTTCGAAGGGTCACTTAAGGCTATCTTGCTGAAGAGCACACAACCTATGGGCCATGTGCATACTGCACAGTGGGTTCCTCATTCTCTGCTACTCCCAAATTCCTCATCACTAGACTTACGCTACCTGCACTTGTCTACTCTCTTCTCCGGAGAGCATCACACCAATTGCTCTTTTCCCAACATTGGTACCAGTAAGGAAAGAGCAATCTGCCTCGGAATTGCTGTGGGAAGGGTGGAGAGAAGGCTCTCCTCTGCCAGTCCCTGGAGTCCTTTCCACGCAAAGCTGCCAGCAGTGAAGCAGATCAATCTGTATTGAAACATTGAAAGCATTAAAGAAGAAGAAGAGGAAGAGCACATATAAGATGGCTTGATGCCATCAAGAAAGCCACAACCTTGAGGTTGTAGGAGCAGAGCAAGGCTGGAGGGCTTTCCAATCATAGGTTTGCCATAAGTCTGAGACAACTTGACAGCACATAACAAAAACAACTCCTTAGTACTGATAAGTAGGAAAAACAAGCAGGCTCAAAAGCCCGTATGTCGTAACAAATATAGTCACGTTCAAAGGTGACTATTCTAAACCCTCCAAGACCACTGACAATTTACCTTTAGTATTATTTTATGTGTATAAATATCAAGGAAATGGAGAATTTGCTATGGCAAAAAGTATCACATCACAGAAGGTTCAAAAGGTTTCCACACTTTTATATTTTCGTTGGAAACGGTGAGGGTAGAAGGAGTAGTAATTGGTCGTGTCTGAGGGTGTCATGTGACTCATCTGTCTGGCAAGCCGGCTGCCCTTGCAGTTTAGTATAAGAGTTGTACACACTGTGGTGAAGATGGCTGCGAAACTTATAAATTGCATCCAAAAAAAGTTTAGAAACTTTTTGAAGACCCCTCATTTACGGGAATGTGTCTCTGTGTACTACAATCATTTATAGGACCCTTCTGCTTAGGTCTATTATTTAGACCCCTGCTACTTATATTTCATACCTACTGAGCAAGTTCAAATGCACCAGTAGACCTCCTTGTTGATTTTTTGGAAGAATATCGCCTCTGTTTCTTGTTTTCTTTTTTTTAAAACAACATGACAGTAGTCCTGGAAAAACTGAAGCATTTTTCCCACTTTTAGAATTCCACTGCATTTCTTATGGGGGTGGGTTTCTTTGTCTGGATATCTGCTGTTTGCCATGCCCAGTCTGCCACTGCAGCACCTGCCACTTTCGCACTTCTCCCTGCCGCAGACTCCTTTCCCCAGATCCGGTTCCACTGCTTATCAGCAGGGCTTTTGTGTCTCTGTTCTGAACTTGCCTAACCTGTCAAAGCACATGGGTGTTTATCTCATTCAACAGCAGCCCCCAGGAGCTCAGACAAACTATATAATATAGTTCTTATTTTTCACTCACATTTAAGCGTGCTAATGTAACTTGATAGCTTGCATATGAAGGGTAAGCCCTGTTAGTATTATCTTGGTTTGTTTGGAGCAGGTACCTCAACCAGGAACTCTGAAGCTCTCCCATTTGCAAGAAGGTAAATACATGTTGCAGTTGACTGTGACGGACACTTCTGGGCAAAGGAGTTCGGATAATGTCTCAGTGACGGTGCTTCCAATGGTTCACTCCGGGTTAGGTGAGAAAAGGCTGCAACAGTTATTATTTCATAACAGCATGGTCTCTGTCACATGCTTTCAGTTGTAGGTGAGTAAGATCGACTGTGGCTGAATCATGACTGCATATGTTCCTTATATGTTGAGAAGCAGGATAAAGGGAAGGGAACAATTAGACTCACAAACTGAGCTTGAATAATAAATGGATCGTACTGACCTGCACTTGAATAGTCTTGGTGGTAGTCTAGGGCTAAATCCTGTCATCCGCTGGCTCACCTTCTGTCCAGTTCCCTCTTTCAGGTACATGCCAAGAGTGCTGGTGCTGGACAGCAGGACCAGGGACTCACTGTGGTGCAGGTTGCTAATGTTGACCCTTTCCACCACCCCAGCCGTGGGCAGTTCACAGACCCTATGCTGGTCTGTGCCCCAAGGTACCTTGTAGGAATCCCCAGGGCAGGGGAGTGGAGAGCTCTGTCGATCCAGCCCTGTATTATCCAAAGAGGCAGCAGGGGAACCCTCCTCTCTCTCTTGCCCCCGCCCCCCCAATCTATTCAGGTTGCAGCCAATGCATAATATTGCCACAGTTGTCTTCCAACTAGTTACTGTTGCCTTTGTGGGACGGGGGTGACGGAAGGCCTCTACAGCTCTTGATGTCTAAATTGCCTGCTCTGGGCCTGCACAGAGCAGCAGATGGTCCTATTCATCTTCCATCTGGCCACATGCACTCTGGCTGGCTCTTTGGCCCGCCTCCAAAGGTTTCTCTCCAGAACTCAGACCCCTCTGCTCCTTAGAGCCTGTTGCTCTGCATGATGCCATGCCTGCAAATCGGTTACTAGCGTTACAGTATCCATTTTTAGGTGCAGTGACAGAACCGTGCAAAGGATTCTAAGAGTGGTAGCACTATAAGGACAGTATGATATTTGCTGAACCCTGTTGCCCTTATTCTTATGCCTCCTCCCACAGCCTTGGCATTTTAATGTCTTTGTTTTTATATAGTTCCCAAGTGGGAGTATGTGGAGCTTTGTGTCTGGCTGTGCGTGCTTCCCTACAGCCTTACTCTTCATCTCCTCACCCTTTGCATGGTAGGCTGTAGAGCCTTCCAGTAGCCAAGTGGGAACTCTGCCACTGAGCTGCATCCCCTCCAGTAAACATTCCTCATAGAGAGTGTATGGTCCTTTCACTGTTTACAGTGCCCCTCTTTCCCTGCTCTTTGAACAGGAAAGGCACACTCCTTGCCTTTGTGACAGCAGCAATGCTGCTCTTCCTTGCCCAGCTTCTGGGGCTTTCATGTGAGCTCTCAGGTGCTGCATCTTTATAGATTTATTCTTGAGGAAGAGGGCAACCACAATGCTGCATCCATGTCAGGCTTCAGGTTGAACTGGCTTGAAAACAAAGGAGAGAGCATTCAGCCTAGCCAGTTTGCTCATCAGAGTGCCTGTTGGCTCAGCAGGGTTCTCCTGGGAAGATGCTTGGTGTGATGGCTGAGCAGCCGCTTTTTGCTAAACTTGTCTTCCTTTGTTGCCAACCTGTGCACCCATACAAATAACAGCTTCCCACTAAGTAGGGAGCTTGACTTCCATAGCTTCACTAGTTGTGTAGAAGATGGAATGTCCACAAATATAGTTTACATGAGAAGCTACACTTACTGAAATTCTCTCTTCTGTATAACTATTAGAGGTGTAGGAGTTCTGTCCTCTTTTTTTCATCTGGCCACCCTACCTGATAATTTACTTCATGTAAATAGGAAAATTGCAGTACAAGCATGGTCTGTAAGCTGCAATTTTGCTTAATTTTTATAGAGGGACGAATTTTGTTCCAAGTGGTTCTGACTTTGCTTCTTTTTCTTTTTAGAAATAGGATTTGTTACCAATTTTGCATTTTACTTTTATAACTAAAATAATTACACAGTCGGGAGTGCTACTCCACAGATGTATAAATGCTGTAGCTTCCATTCCTATATTTCCCATTTTAAATAACTATTCTACCTGAGTCCCAGTTTAGTGGTTCAAGGCTTAATCCCATAAATGTTTAGACAGAAAAGACCCTACAACTTCCAGCTATGCAGGCAAGACATGCTTAGGGGTTGTAGACTTCTTCTGTCTAAGTATGCATTGGGTTGCACTCTGTTTCTTGTAACTTGAGAATTGATCTATCACAGGATGTGTTGGGGTTTGTTCACGCTACCAGTTTCTCTGTGATGATGGCTGCTGCATTGATATCACCTATGCCTGTGATGGAGAAATGCAGTGTCCTGATGGATCTGATGAAGCTTTTTGTCAGAAATGTGAGTAAATAACTTATCTGGATTGTGAGCTTGATTGTATATTGTGCTTTTGTTACCTCAGACATCACAACTAAATAACTAAGATAGGGATGGGCCTTAGTTTGGTCATAAAACATGTCATTTGCATGTGGTAAGCTCCCATGCTTGCAAAACTTCTGTTCAATGAGGAGAAGCTGAAGGACAATCATTCCAGAGACTAGTGAACAAGCATATGAATCTCATTCCTTCTAATACAGATTTGTGTCCTCTGAACACATGGAGATGGAGTACCACTTGAGGCAAACCTGAATTTTGTACATATGTTTAAAAAACTTTACAAAAAGACTTAGAAGAGCAAACAAATCCCAATTCACTCCATTCAATTACATGGAATAATGTTGAGTGAGTGAGAATAGGCAGGAGGGAGAATAGAATGGAGTGACTAGAAATGGAGAAGGAAGCACATAGATATATGGGAAATGTAGAAAGAACCATTTAATTGTCTGAGTAAGTCAGTTCCTGATTCACACGGAGCAACTAATCTAAGGCTTCTAGGATCAAGAGCCAACTGGGTGACTTTGGGCCAGTCACAGACTCTCAGCCCAACCTACCTCACAGGGTTGTTGTTGTGGGGATAAGATGGAGGAGGCGATGTAAGCTGCGTTGAGCCCTTTGTAGGAAAAAGGCAGGATATAAATTGAAAAATAAATAAATAAACTAGCATCTGGGTGGAGGCTCAAGGTGGCTGGAATGGAGAAGGAGTGGCTGGAAAGAGAGGAGAGAACAACAGAATAGAGAACAAGATAGAGAACAGAAGCACAGAGAAAACCATCTGATAGTTTGAAGAAGTCATTTCCTCATTCATGCTATAAGAAACTGCATTCCCAGTTATCTCCAGCAGTGAAAATAAAAGCTGGCAATAGAACTTTATTTTACTGTAGCTGGGACTGGTCGTCGCACCTCCAGAACCTTTCTAATGCAGTTGTTGTTTAGAGAAACTTTTTTAAATGGCCATGCTAATGCAAATACAGTTAATTTCCTCCATATTCTAGGGTGAAGCTAGAAGAGAGTGACAAAGAACAGTCCTGCAGTGCTGTTCACAGTCTGAACTGAATACTACAGCTCAGACTGTGAATGGTGCATCTTAATTTTGTATTATTGTCCACCAGGATTAGATCACTGTTTCAGGTTGGGAGTTAGAATGAATTTAGAGAATAGATTACAATGACCTTGCCTGTTGCTTTTATTCTCCAATTGCAGGTTAGGCTTGGAGAATAATCTACAACTGTGAAGTGTAGTTTGGTGTTACACTCCTATTACAGGTTTGAGGGCTGTGCTGAGAGAGAGAATTACATTATAAATATTGTAGGTCGGTGGTGGGGCTGAGGCTGGCTTGAATTCTCATATAAAAATCTTCCATATATCTCAGATTGTAGCTCAGCTCAATCTATTTAAATCATCTCCTTATAACACCTCCCAGATAAGCTGAAGACCCAGTTGTATTCAGAAGCTTCATGCTCCTTTGATTTTCATGTAGACTGGTCACACTTTTAAATGGTCGAAACCCCATACTAATAAATAAATAAATAATACATTTTGGACTTGAAGTCCCAAGATAGAGTAGGGACTCCTGTTTTGCATGCTGTTTTCAAGCTCCTTGAGCCCCAGACTAAGATATACCACCTAAGGATATAGTGCAACTTTGTGGTTGTGTTACTGAATTTTTTAAAACAGGCAAGCAATGCAGATGACTAACAAGTTTAACAAAAAATAAGCAATAACAAGTGCAATCATTCACACTCCAAGCCTCCACTGATTCTGTGGCCAGCTAACTGGGGCTGCTTAATTGACTGATTCCATAAGCAGAACAGTTAGCTGCAGCTGGTTTCCATTGATGATTCTCCCTCTTGACTCCATATGTCCTCTTCCACTTCGTTTTTCCTCTTCCTTTCTTCCTCCTTTTTCAGCCTTCCTTTGACCTGCTCCAGCAATCCCTTTCTAACCTACATCCCATTTTTTCTTATCCAGTTAAAAGATTCCAGAGGGAACGCTGGAAAAACCTCTAGTCTCATTGTCTGTCTGAGACTGGAGAGCTTCTGTTGGTTAGACAGTCCTGGATTCTAGATAAATCAACTCAGCACAAGACAACTGATACCTTTAGAATGTCTTAGATCAGTTTCCAGGGTCTGCAGTCAGAGGTGGCAACACTCTGGCTGAAAGCTGCTGCCGGGCAGCACTTAGACCATGTGGAGTAATGGACTGAACTGGTATAGGGTCCTGGGGCAGTGAACAATAAAAGATAGAAAACATAAAAAGAATAAAACTCTACATTAAAACAATCAGTAAAAAACATGATCAAACAAGGAAGGTTTCTTGGAATAAATATACTTTCAGAGGGCACCAAGAACTACACAACGTCAGCACCTGCCCAGCCTCGAGGGGCAGGGAATTCCACAGGAACCCTAAGATTTCTTCCCACAATTTCTTGGGAGCAAAGGAACCTGCCTTTTACTAGGTCATGCTATTTATTTACTTGACTCAGACTTGTCTATTCTGACTGGAAGTCTGAACGGCAGTACTGGCAGAATCTCAGGCAAGAGTCTTAATATCACCTTTCTGACCTGTGAGACTACAGATGTGGACCCATGGATGATCTGCCTGCAAAACTCTACCACTGAGCTCTGGTTTCTCCTGTCTACATTTCATATATAGTTGATACAAAGGAATGAAAGCCTACTACTTTATCTGAGCAGAGAAATCCATGTTTAGAATCAGTTAGTCCAGAAAGGTTGAAATGCACTATATTTTTAATAGTGTGATGGCATTCAGAATTTGATATCGAGAGCCTTTATACTTCAATAAAAATATTGCTGCCATTGGGGACAAGCAATTCCAGATATTTAAACAGTGTTCCAGTATTAGACCAAGGTGGTCACTGGGTGTCAGTTGCCCCACCAACTGCAGGATACGTGCTTTCTTCCCAGACCCTGAACGTACCACCCTTCCCAGACCACAAAAGCATCTGATGGGGTGGAATGGGAGATATGTGCAAGTAAATCCCTATTTCTGCATGCAATTCCACCTGGCTAGATCAGAGCGTAGCCATTTTCCTTTTGTAAAGACTGCCTTTTATTTGAAGATTAGTTCAACTGCCATAAAGATTGTTTCTGTCTCTGTGTTAATTTTCCTGCACTCAGTTAATTCAGGACAGAAGACAATAGCTCACACAGCCATGAGCTCCGTCCAGCAAAATACCATTGGACTAACTAAAGATGCTAACAAGGACCCCACATTTGAAATCACCCAGAAAACTACTGTAAGCAGTCATGCAGCTGATATAGAAAAGTTCAAACAATCACCCTCTCAGGGACCAAAAAAGCAAAATACAGGATTCATGCCAGGTAAGATTTAAACATTGTATGCCTTGAGTAAATAAATGTGTTTTAACGTATGTCCCAATCATACACACTGGCACAGGTCTTATGACATTGGTGTGATGCCACTGTAATATTTTATGGCATTGGTATAATTCCTGGTTTGCTCCATTCTAAGCCCTTTTGTGCCTTTGTAACTACAGCACATTACAAAACACCTGTACTTGCAAGGCTTAGAAGTAAACTAAAGGCTATGTTAATATTTAGTGTACAGCTGATCCTCACCATATTGTTTACCTTGAAATAACCACAGAGGGATCTGATCTGAATCAGGACCACCATGCACAGGTAGGAGAGGATGAAATCTTCCTAAGCTTGTGGACAAGACAGATCTGAGTCTTTGAAACACTAGCTCCTCTTGAGTATAAATCCAAATATATTTCATCAAAGACTCAACACTTTAAATAATAGAAATGAACAGTCAGAAGTAAACAGTATATTGGCTAATGTCCTTTACACTAAGGAATCCTAACATTGTTCTCATGCCATGAAGTAACCATTTATATACCAAGGCATGGTTCATTCCACAAGAGGTCTCTTCAGAATTTTCCCATGCCAAAGACAAAGTAGGCACCAAACCCTATTTTTTAGGGGGAAACCTCAGAAAAGTTAGGTAGGGTGACTGATAGTGGAAAAAGCCATTGCCGAATGAGGTGAATCACTCCAGCTAAGGGAAAGGGGCAATCATACCTAGCAGTTATTTCAAGTTACTGCTTGAAGGTGAGAAATGATGGTGTGGAGTTGGCTGTCAGATGATTCTTGTTAGACGCTTCCTCTGGAGCAAGAAAAGAAAGCATGGTGGTATGTTTTTGGGTTTATGACAGGAGAGGTACTTTCTGGGTATGCAAACGGGGCAAGATTCCGCTATGCTACCACTGAAGCACTTATTTAAAATAATAAATACCAAATACTAGAAAATGAATTGCTGAAATACTGATATTTATAGTGTTATTCTTCCTGTTGCAATTACAGAGCAATGCTTGCTGCCACCTGCTGCCGGCCCATGTAATGGACATTTCCCTCGCTGGCATTTTGATGCTTTGTCGGGCAGTTGCATGCATTTCATCTATGGTGGATGCAAAGGCAATGAAAACAACTTCCTTCAAGAATCTGACTGCCTTGAAGAATGTGTAAAATCTCATGGTAATAATCAGTCACTCTGAGGAGAAACAAGTATGCCTGTACAACACTGCTGTGTTGTGTACCTATAAGAATTCCAGGAATTGCTTTAATAATCCTTCTGGTAGTAGAGAGGAAATTCACAGTGGCAGCCCTGAACATAACTATGTTTGCAAAACCTATCTACTGATTGTTGAAATATGAGGGTCAAGAGTTATTACACCCTCCCACTCTGACTTCTGTTACATGCATGGCTTGAACAAGTTTCAGACTTGAGTTCCTGGTTGCTGTTTCCAGCACCCTTTCAGTGCTAGGCTGTTTCAAGTATGAAGAAAGAGCTCACAGTGCCCTGTGTTTCGTGCATGTGTGACTTGGTTTGCTCCACATTGGAGTGCTAGTTGCTGGTATGAAGTATGCTTTGCATCCAAAGCGTTGGTTGTTAAATGTCAGAAACGTACGGAATGCTTTCACATGCCCTGCAGCTTGTACATAGCTTATACCAATTTTCAAAGGCTAACATTTCACTCTGATACCCACTTACTTAGGAGTAAGTCCCATTTAACTCAACATGGTTACTTCTGAATAGATGTGGCTAATTGCATTGCAAATATTGCAGTTTATAGGTAATTCTGAAGTTTTGGGAGCCCAGCAAAAATGTAAGTACTGCCATTTCCTGGTAGCCTATCTAACTGATTTCGTTCCCATTTCTATCTTGCATTGTAATAGTAAAGGTAAAAGTAAATTCTGTGCTTTGTTAATAAAAATGTTCATTGATAGCTTGGAAATACCAAAATATCTGCCACTTTATTTAAGAGATTTATATAGAGTACTATCCTAAAAGGAGTACCAATATGAACACTGTTGGTACAATATGAAAAAATCACTGCCTTTTGCTGATATCTAATGTTATATGCCAAGTCAGTTCTCCAAATGCAAGGATCCTCTTTTCCATGGAAGGACTCATCTGGAGCCAACCATAGAATCTAAATCATGTTTTGCTTTTAAGATATTTGTATGCTTGCTCTTTTAATGTTTTACTGCCTCCTGGCAGTCCTCAAGCTACAAGTCTTTCCTATTGGAGCTTTGGGACCAGAAGATGGATAAGATGGAATGAATCCCAACACTCATTCCTTGTGCCCTGTGGAATGCAAAGTGGCTCAGAGGCTTCCTCCCAGCCACCTTGTCTCTTCCAGTGTCCTGGTATGACTAAAGGAGCCAGCTTGTGACACAAACTGATCCCGTAGTGCTAACCACCCCCCACCATAGTGCAGAAAAAAACTCTGTATTAATTTATTCAATGGATTTGCAAACCATTTTCCAGATTGATTTTCATCTCAGAGCAGTATACAATCATCATACTGCAGAAAAGGTAGAAACTTGGACAGCAGTTCTTTCCCTACCAAAGCTCTGGACTTCTTCAGACAGTGCATAGTTAAAACTGATAGGGTGATGGCTGAAAATTTGAATGGTTTTAAAAGGGAGTGGGACAAATTCAGAAGGTGGTACAGAGTAATCTTATATATGCCTGTTAAATGTTTATAGGACTTCAGCAGTATTCACATTTTAGTTCCATTGAAACCACTTAGCTACTTTTTCAATAAATACCATTGATTTCAATAGAACTGAAGCATGATCCACTTCCTCTGAATTCAGTTCATCCTAGATAAATAAATTACATCTTTAAAATGCTTTCCCCAGCCTTACAACATGTTCGCTATCTCTGCCCCTTACTCCTTTAATATGTTTTGTTATTGTTTTCAAGTAAATTGTAACTTGTACATCTGCATTTGAGGTAATGCAGCAGAAATAACTGGGCAAGCACAAAGCAATGCAAATGGATTTTTCTCTTCTTCCATCTCCTGCATGTTGCTAATTCATTTTAAAATATGGTAGACTAACTTTCTTTTAAAACCTGTAGGGAAACCAGCTCTATAGCTAGTGTGTTCTGTAGTTACTGAAATAATGGAAAAGTGGGTATAGAGTACAGGGAATTGTTCCTTGATTTAATAAGATATAATTATAGATGTATTTCCTGCTTGATTTATTACAGATCCTAGAACCTCAGGGAAAGACACAGATGATAAGCATGAAAATGACATTGTGGTATTAAAAGGCACTGAAATTGAAAAGAGCTATCCAGTCCCAGAAACAGGTAATTATGAAGCTATATTTTAAACTAACATTTTTCCGCACTGGATTTGAGCTAAGTAGCCACTGAATACTTTTATTTATACTAAATGTATAGGATATTTCTTAGCAACAAAACAAAATACGCCGATACTAGAATCTTAAATACTGGCATCATCAAGTCCATATTACTGGAATAACATTCCTATACTGTAGCTGTCCTGGATTTGTCAAACATGCTCATGTACCTCTACCTAAGTTTATGTTTGCTGATAGAGCTAGTCTTGGCATCGCTCTTCTAGCACCACAGCAAATAGTACCGAAAGATTAAGCATTTATTGTGGAATTGCCATGCTTTGTTCGCTCACTTTTTATGTGGATGCCACACTTTTTATGTGGCAACCGCACCATTGTCCTGTGACTGTCATCCTGTGGCTCCTCCATCTTTTCTCAGACTGCAGTAAGTCCAACATTTTCAGAACAATGGAAAGGTAGTGCAAACTCCACATATGTAGATAACTTTAGCACCACCTATTTTAAAGGGCAGGGAGTTGACATGGAAGCAATGCATTGAGGAAGCAAACCTACCACAGCTCAGCATGCATTCATTACAACCCTTGTGTTGGACGCTGCTTCGGTGGCTTACAGTAAGTGGAAGATACCATCCAGTCCCAGTGTAAAATGGGAATGAGACGGGGGGGGGGGGGGGTTACAAGATAAAAGTGAAGAATCCCATCTTGCTAAAATGGCAGTGACCTGCACCAGGTTGTTTTTAATTATGTTTTTTTTAAAAATTATAATTGTATTATAGTGTACATTGTTAACAGACCACAATACCACAACATTACATATCATTAAGATAGTATGCCTCTCATTAATATTGTGCTAGTGCTAATTGAAAAGTTGATAAAAATGAGATCGTAACATGAGCTTGGAATAGCCTTCTCCACAGTGACTATGTCATGACTACTGGTGGAAAAAGATGCAACACTCTTAAAAGTATGGAAGGCCAGTTGTAACTCTGTCTGTAGTTTACAGCAAAAAAGCAGTGTTGAGTAATGCTAAAAGCCAGCTGCCTGGAGATGGCCATGTTTGTTATCCTGCCTGATTTGATGCCCTGTATCTTTGTGCCAGGTTGCCTATTCTCTTCTTCCTCAGAAGAGGAAGTCCATTCTATGACATGGAGGCAAACCTGTGCTTGAGAAAGGCACCAACCTGCTTTGCCCAGGCACTCTCCTCCTAATTGACTGGCTGCCAGAGACTGTGCCCCACTCTCTGTGTAAATAGACATATTGGTGCCTGAAGATGGTGGACCTCTGCTTGCTTTCCCTGATTGTCAAAGGGCAGAAGGATGCTCTGAACAGACTGAATGTGTCTCTGGAATGGTACCTGGAAACTGTCTTTATGACTGAGCAGTGACATGGAGTTTGCCCTAAAGTATTTTTGCTGCAGCTTACAAATGATGAATACGGTTTTGTTTCATTTTGTTTTTCCTGACAAGAAAAGCAAATCCTAATCAGAAAGCCAATACAGGAAAATGGGAACCTGCAATGCAGTCCCTGTGGCAGCATAAGAGATCATTGCAAATGTGGCATATGTAATACATATTAGATCTCAGGCACAATGAATCTCTTATTTTCTAGTAATAAGCTCTGGGGCATGGCGGGGAGACATAGTTTCTAAATAACTTGACCAGTGAAGCTGCTATGGAAGCACTGTCCACTGTGGAAACACTTTTTAGTCATGCAACGTTTCTGAACACAGTAATCTCAAGGAAAAGCTGTTGCTCCACTTTGCAGAGGAAGTCAGCTTTCTACAGTTCTGACTGCTTGGCCCTTGTGTGCATCAACAGTACCCTGTTCTTGGAGCAAGTGTAAACAAACTGTGTAAATAAGTATTTTAAAACATTTTTAAAGTGAAAGGGATGAATTGAATAAGTAAATGCACATGGTGTCTTAGAAGGGAGAGACATGGATAAGACATCCTTTGCTTTGGAGGTTGTGAATGCATCTTGTGACAGGGCGGAAGGTGCATCTTTTGAAGAGAGGAAAGCCTGCACCTGCTTCTGTTTGCAGATACAAGCAGATATATTTGCATGAAATATAAAAATCCTGAGCTCTAACATGTATGTGACCACTGTTTATTCCCATAAGTAGAATCTGGTTATGATCAGAAACAGCAGAATTCTGCAGCAGATATAAACCTTTGCAAATAAAAATAGATGCTCTGAAAACCATCTCAAGTGTTTTTAATTAAATATTCAAGATAGTAAATAAATAGCACTTTGATTACCAGGTAACATAAACACGTGGTAATATGACTACAGAGTCCAAAAAGCAAGAACTTCACGGAACACAGACTTTTGTGCCCAAGGGGCAAAAACACACATTCAACTTATAGTAGCTGTCAGGCTCTTCAGATGCATTTTCTGTCTAAATTCCAGCATGAATCACTCTAGTCGTAGATACTCTACAAATCACAGAGCTGCTTCACTAAAGACAAAGTTTATGTTTGCCTTTTTGTAATATTTCAGTATATGAGATTAAGGTCATATGGAATCGTTTCAAGTAAATTGAATAGTTGTTTCAAAAGCCTATTCATTGACTTTATTACAGTGCAATGAGTTCCAATAGGTACACTTCTTAACCCCCACCGTTGTTTCTTTTGTTCCTTCTTAGGTGCTGTACTCCCATTGGCGCTAGGGTTGGCCATCAGTGCTTTGTTGCTGCTCATGGTAGCATGTCGATTACGTCTCGTGAGACAGAAACTTAAGAAAGCTCGGCCCATTATGTCAGAGGAATCCGATTACCTCATAAATGGGATGTATCTCTAAAGCAGGATTCAGGTTACTTCCCTTCTCTCTAGCTTTCCCCAAAAAGTGTGCCTCTTGCATCTCAACACATTTTTTAAAGTAAAAACTCAACAACCACCTTCTAGAAGGTTCTTCTAAGGTCTGTGGTAGAATAGATGTGTGTAGTTGCACTGGTATACCGAATGGCTTCCTCTGCCGGAGCTCTGGGAGTCTTCTGTGCTTGGCAATGAAGCTGGCTCTATCTGAACGGTGTTGTGCAGTTGTTGCAAGCTCACAGAAACACCTTACTGCCATATCTCAGGTGTGCAGGGTAATGCCACTAGAGCTTTGCTCTGTGGGAGCTGGACTGCCTTTAGAATTCCCTGTAAATTACTTGCTTCTCAAGTTGCCCTCTCCTTGCAACTCAGTCTGCTTTGTGCAATAGCTTCGTGCAGCATTGCAGCACTACTTAGAATACTGTTGCTGGCTGTGGGTTGCTGCACCAGTGTGATTCCCTGAGATTAGTTTGTGCTGCCCCAGGATGGGATGTGTACTGATGCAGCAGTCACACAAGAGCCGATTATTTGCTGGTATATTGACTTCTCTTTTGCGTAAAGGATATTTCTTTATTATTTGAATTGGCTTTTTAAATTATAGGGTACTATCATAAGCTCAGGATGGGCTCAAATAGAAACACCATGCAATCTGTGGAAACATTTGCAATTGGTAGACGTCACAGAATAGTGAGGCTTTGACATCTCACCTCAACTTAACAGTCCCAGAAAAGCCAGAGTCAAGTATTGTTCACCTGGAAGTGAAACCAGCATTAAAGTGAATGAGAAATGGAGAACACTGGTATGGTTCTGTGGCGCTGCAGGCATGATGTCTGGTGGCATCTTGTTTTGCCCTTCTCAGGGCTGTCCATCTCTGCTATATGGCAAAGTGTAAATGCACCACTTACTGGGACTGTCTATGGGAAAACTGTTCAATCAAAACTCATACACTAGTAATCTTCATTAGACCCCCTTCATCTTTATTACTGTCAGAGTAATATTGCTATAATCTCCAGTGCTTTTGAAACTGCTCCCTTACTTCTGAAACATGATAAACCCATGCTACCGCAAACAAGTGTTTAATAGATTACTTTGGACTTCCTTAAGATCAGTGAGAGCTGTGTGTTGTGTCACATTATGCTTCTTTCCTCCAAGTTCAGAGCTATTCCAGCCTTTTGCATTCCTATCCTTATGTTTTTCAGAGCATTACGAAAAGGACACTTGTAGTTGTGACTATCAGAATTAGTCTTCAGGCAGGTTCACAAAAGTTACTAGTATATAACATTTGTACTAGTGCACTTTCCAATGCATATATGTTAGTGATTTCTAGCACCAACAACCTGAAAAAAAAACACTTGCAGGAGTATCATTTACCTGTCTGCTGACTTGTCTAAAGGCACTTCTTCCTTGTCAAGGATGCATGACTGTTTACAAACCATCCCTTTAAAGAGTCAAGTTTCATGAAGGTGAAGGATTAGGCCTGGTCTGTGCAGGCAGCTGGATGTGGTAGAAGCATCCTAAAGTGGTAAGTGTAACTCTGCAGCCAAGGGTATTAGGAAAAATTTTGCATGTGTTCCCTTACATTAAAATTTCCATCAAATTAAAAAAAAAAAGTACAGCAGGGAAAATTATATTTCAGTCTGCTCTGTGTGATGTTAGTTTCCTAATTACCAAATTTTTAAAAAGACTTCTACACAGAAGAATGTTAAAAGTGTAATGTGCACCTGTTCCCAACCATTCTTATGCCTCAGGGCTCTGTTACCAATGTTGTTCAGGTCTTAATTTCAGCAATTATTGCTACAATCACCTGTGAGTTTTCCATTTAGTATTGATACAGCTACCTACTTCCATGGAGTTTTTAGGAATCCTGATAATTAGAACAGTTATAACTCCTCCATTACAATGATAAACCTTTAACTAAAAGCTTATGCAGTTGTCAAAAGAATTCAATGTATGACTGAGTAGTAAGAAATGTTAAAAGTGAAGTGTGTAATCCATGTATCAGTTGTTGTATGTGAACAATCCTATTTATCCTACCACAATGTAAATGTTACAATCAGAGGGCCCAGTAACAAATCAATGCAGAATAAGCGTGCAACTATTTAGTATGTCTGTCTTATTTGCAACTTGGAATCCTACCACAGACTCCCAAATTGCCAATCTGATTATGTGAAATAAGAAATAAACCTATTTTATTCTTAAGAGCTTACACAGTAGTTTTCATTTTGACAAGAGCTATGCAAATTAGTTTCAAAGACTTCAGAAAGAGGGAATGAGTTTGTTATGACTTGGTTCATATGATCAGAGTGGCATAGCATAGGCGGTTTAAACCACAGTGGCCTGCATGGGTCAGGATTTGCATATTTAATGTCTGCTTGGGCTGGTTGTGTCATGGGAACCCCGGTGGTAGGGCTTGTGGGAAGGTTAAACCACCTTGCATAATCCACCAACAAATGATGGTTTGTTTGTTTTATAATCTTTTTATTTGAATTGCAGTGGTAACAACAACAATGCACATGCCTGTACAGAAAGGGTGGGGGGAATCATATCCTGAAACATATTAATTATAGGAAAAGAAAAAACATAAAGAGAAGGAGGAACAGGGTTAACATTTCCCTCAAATATATATATATATATGTATGTATGTATGTATGTATGTATGTATAAACAATCTATATTATTTAAAAAAACATCTATATGACTTTTACACTTCTAAGCAATGTGCTTAAACATGGAAAGAGCAGTAAGTTATTCAGTCCACTGAGTTATATGTGGGTATACTCCAAGCATGGAGTATAAGTCTCATTGCAACTGTAAAGGCTCTCAGTAGCTATTTTTTCTGTCTGTTAATTCCAAATCAGAATTCCTACGGTTAATTCCAATCCAATTCCTACTTTTTCTTTAAACTGTTTTAAATTTCAACACTATTGATGTTATGTTTCCTATTGTCAGAAAGTCTCCCAGCCTTTTTCTAGGCAGGCCTTCCTTCACAGTATCAGCATTTTTGCAAATACTAGAAAAGGAGAGAAAAGTGCCTTTACACATTGGCTGCATTCACACATAACACTGTTTCACCCTGTGTTCTGGGTTCACATAGTTTCTGTACACACATGGTTTCCATGTTTTTCCACCTTCCCTCCAAATGGCAGCACATATTCCATCATCCCACACAGCTCAGACTCACTCCCAGAGTGCACCACTCCTGCCTATGTACCTGCCCCATAGCTGTGGTTGGGGTGGACAGCAGGGCTTGTTGACATCCCTCAGGAATTCCAGAGACAAGAGTAGAGAGGTGGGCAGGAGACAGAGTGGAAAACCTGGGCTTCTCAGGGCACTTTTCCTGAAGGTAATGCCCGCAAACAGTCCATGCGCTCCTCTCGTGCACAGTTGCTGCCACTAGAGGGAGGCACTGGCTTCCTGACTAGAGCAAACATGCACCCATTTCAAAGCACAGCTCCAGCAAAGTGCAGTGACCAGACAGGAGCGCCAAGTGCAGCTGTCTCCACAGTCAGTGTTATGGGAAGTGGTGTTGCCCTGCTGCTGCTACTATTCTGAACTTGCAAGTGGGCATCAAGAAGGCAGTCAGGGATAAAGTGGCACAAAGCAGTTGATCTGCGCATGGCTGCAGCTGCCTCAGTGGTTGCTAGGCAACAGAAATCGAGGCTGGAGCATCTGCTGGACCCATGGCTGCTCATGTCACCAAACTCCCTAGCAGAAATTTAGAAATCATATGGAAAGATTGTAACTGGGGGGGCGGGGTCACACAGAATGACAAGCCATGGTGAAGAGTGGAAACCTTACAACATTCTCTGTGTGGTTTCATGGAAAACCAAATATGCCACATTTCACCATGGATGCTGAATTCACACATTATTGTAAGCCATGCCAACACATTTTCCAGCATGGCTTGCTGTTAAGTGCAAATTCAGCCATTGTATGCCTCTTATGGAACAACCCTACCTTTCATGTCAAGTTATAACTTTGCAGATGAGCTCAGTACAACTGAAACAGATAAATGACAAGCTGTGCCTAAAGTTAAGGACTTTTCTATTTGCAGTTGCAGCGTGTATTAAATAACTATAAAAGTGCTGAGGAAAAGCAACCTACTCTCATGCCCATTCATACATGGAAGAGCTCCTATACTTTTTTACTTATGAATATTGCTTTGTACATGCTAGCAAGTGAATACAGAATATTTTTTAAAACACCAACATGTGAACAGCAGTGCTTGTAGATGCAATAAGGTCACAGTATTAATCTGCAGGAGTTTATTTGCATGATGATTGTATTATTTAAGAAGCTAGTGTTTTTCTTTAAAGTATTTCTGGCAACAGTAAATAACATATTCCTCAAAAGTGCATAGGAATACCAGCAGACAAAGCTTTGTTCATATTCAAAATATGCTTTTGTAATGCACAGATCTTTGAGAACTACTTCCCAAAGACTGATCTTTTGTACATTTTGCAAAAACAGTCAAGATATCTATGATTTCCATAGTTCAAATAATGCATCTTCCAAATGAGGCTCTTAATGTGTAATTGCACAGCTGTATTCAAAGAATTTTGTGGGAGGTCCAAATGGTCATATCTTCCATTTGTGACCCTTTGGTGTTTTTTGGTCTTTATTCCTACTGGAAAAAGATTCTTGCAAAGAAGAAAAGTCAGATTAACTACAGTGCCTTTTGATCATTAGTGCTAGGAGCCTCCTGTCTGGAGGCACACAATGGCAGCAGCTTTTCATTCATCACCAGTGCATCCTCTCCATCTGTCTTGCCCGGAACTGTAGAAAGTCTCTCCCTTCAAAGTTGAAAACAGAACAAAACACAACACAACACAAAACACCCCTCTTGCTTCTACCAAATAACTTATTCCAGTCAGCTCTGGTAGATTCCCCCTCTTCCATGGCAATACAATAGCAGTGACTTCCAAATTAACACCATGGTGGTACAATAGTAGCAGTATTAATGCTACTGCATTTGGTGTAAATGTATATTCTGCAAGAATCACACAAAGATTTTGCTGTGGAAAGGGAAAGTCTTGCACTATTTCTGTATGTATTTAAATCTGTACAAGTTGCTCATGTTCTCATATGACAGAAAGTGAAAGTAGTCATTGTGTATTGAACTAAAACAAGCTCTTCAAGAACAGTTTAAGAACATATCACTAACAACAATACAGAATTCTTTAAATTTAAGAGCCTCCCAGGGAACGTGATGCTAGTGGCAGTGATGATGATGATGATATCAGAAGCAAGGAACCATTTACCATTTGGACCATGTATGATAATGGAATTAAGAGAGGACTCGAGGATAAGGAGATTGTGAAGAAGCGGAATCAATTATATTTGCTGTATATCTGTCTTCATTGCAGATATACAGCAAACACGTGTTCCTGAACTGAAACTGAGGCAGTTAGTAAAGACAGAAGATGAAGTTCTCAAAAGTATGGACAAATTAGAAATTAATAAATCACTGGATCCAGATGGTAACAGGTTCTTAAGGAACTCAAATATGAAATTGTTGACTTTCTTATAAAGATATCTAACATGTCCCGAAGATCAGCCTCTGTACCAGTTATGCAATGTAACACAATTTTTTAAAAAGGGATCTGTTGTGAGCAGGTCTCTCATTTCATCTCCAGCAGACTAAGACAAGAACTTAGAAGTACGATCTTTGTAGTAGAGCATAACCAGCTAGAGTACAGCATATATCGAAGTAGTGTTCTCAAAATACAGGAAAAACATGTAAAGAGCCAAATCTAAAATGAAACAGCCCTCCTGACCTCCTTTTCAGAAAAGTTTCCAACTCCACTTTCAGGGTCACTTCTGCTGCTTCAGGACTAGATGGTGGACTTAATTGGACTACCTGTTTTGTCTTTCATTTCATTCCAGGGTCAAGTAACCCTCCTCCTCCTCACTACCCATTTCTGAAATGCCTACGTCTTTTTCCAAGCCAGACTGGTACTCACATTCTGCCTAATATTCACAAGGTAGTATTAAAATTGCAACATCATCTGCCCCTTCACCTCCCCCTCAAAATAAAATAAATTTGAGCAGACTGTAATGTGTGAAAGTTATCCACCCCACAGAATCTAGCATATTACTGGCTGGTTGGATTAATGTTTGTACCAGGTAAATTGGTTGAAAGCCTTATTTAAGATAAAATTAAGGACAAGCCCTGCTGAGAATCAACATGGCTTCCAGAAAGGTCAGTCCTATCCAGTTTTTAGAGCTCTTTCAGCATGTCAAAAAACGTGAATAGGGGTAATGCAGTAGACATTGTTTCCTCCCAAGAGTCTTTTGAAAAAGACACCAAAGATTCTTAAGCAAATTTAGCAGTTATGGAATAAAGGGGAGTGTCCTTTTACAGATCTGTTAAAGAAAGCAAAGAGTAGGGAAAAATGATAAATTCTCCTAATGGAGGGCTATAAACAGTGGGATTCCATGGATCTGTTTTGAGACCTCTGCTTTTCAATTTATTTGTAAATGATCTGGAAGAGTTAACAGGGAAGTGGCTAGATTTGCAGATGACACCAAATTATTTAAGTGTGAGGAACTCCCTTTTTATTGATCTCTTCAACCATCAAAATGGTAAATGCAGTCCAAAGTAAAGTAATACACATTGGGGCAAAACAATTCCAACTTCAAGTATAATCTGATGCTATTTCAGCTAACAAAGGCTGACCAAAAGAAAGATCTTGGGGGCCAACAGCTTAAAAACGTCAACTTGGTGCGCAGTTGTTCTGAAAAAAGTAAAATCCATGTTAGGCATAATTAGAAACAGAAATGAAGCACCCATTCTTACAAATTGCCATTTATTATTAAGAAAATCACCATCAAGAGGGAGGAAGTGAAAGGGTGGGCTCCAAAGTATGCCTTCCTGCTCTGCCCATCTGGAGAGAAACCTTCCCAGCATTTCCCTGCTTCAAAGATGTACTGTGCTAGATATTCATGGTTTCTCCATTTTCACAGGGATCCTGCACCTTTAACCCCTGCAAATGTGGAGGGTCACCTATACGTGATCTGGCTTAGATACAAATTTAAGACTAATTTCCATTTTCTCAGGAACAGAACCTGTTCATAATTTGCAGACTGCCTGTATGCTACTTCCAGTATCAGAAGCTGTAAACTACTGATGGGGAACTTGGGCAGGTTGGTGTTTTGTACTCATATCTTCCTTGTAGGATCTCCTAGGCCACTGTGAGGAAAAATACCTGACTAGATGAGTCCTTGGTCTTGATGGAGCATAGCTATTACGTTTTTAACCATATAGCCGTGGTTGGTGAATGCAGGATGACAGGGACTGTGTAATTCACCCTTGCCATTGAAACTATCCAATAGATGCCAGCCACACCTAAAACACCTATTGCAATAGCTAACAGAACAGCTTATTTTTCAAATAAAACTAATCATTCTTCTGTTACATGGATTTTAGTGACTTTGAGAGATTTGTTGGGATTTTAGAGAATGCATTTTGAGACACCACAGAAATTGGTTTATCAGTAGTAAGTGCAACAGGGTAGAGTTGAAGATGTGTTTCTAGAGTCACACAACCATTTCCACATTTCTGAAAATGAGCTATATGTACAAGCCTTTTCTTATTTTCAGCAACTACTCAACTACCCAATAACTTCCCCATTCAAAACAGTATGTGCAACACCTTTTATTTTTAATTTTATTTGGCAAAGCAGCACTGCATAACTGTTCAATGATTAGGACATAGCTTACACAGTATTTGTTATATTAAGTTTAGGTACATCAAGTTTGCAAGTCAGCTAGAAACAATATTCAACTATGAATCTCTATGTTATTCAACAAAGAAAGTGTGTGAGAGAGAGAACTATGTCCGTTATGTCCATCCTGAACAGCAGCATGTACAACAAGAGCTGTAACTTCTGATGTCTTGAAATTTATATACACGATGCCTGATTTTTAAAAGGGAAGAAAGCAGCTGATTGTATATACTACATGCTAGTCTATGACACCACGTTGACAGCTTTGAAGAACTTCATCTCATTTTAGTAGCATCTAGAAGACAGCTGAACACAAAGAACCTTATAGTGTGCATGTAGTGTCAGAAAGTGCAGATAAGCAGTTTGATGGATGAACACTGGAGCTGAAATAAGTGTTCAAAAAGTTTCCTAATCCAAATCCAAAAATAAAAGAAAGTGATAAATTGCAGATTTATCTGCATTTCTGTAGACATATTTCACTTGGGCATGTTGAAAAGCAACATTTACCCAAATATGAATTTTCCATCAGTTCATTATCAAACTTGCATTAAACTTCTACAAAATAAAAATACCACACTTTTCCATGCTGATAACAGTGTAACAAAGTCCAAAACAAGCTGCAATGCTGTTGGTTTTGAAAAAGCTTTTAAGAACTGGAGATGAGCAGTCCACTGTTAACACTATATTTGGGTCAGATGATGTAGCTTTTACATTTCATCCCTGAAAAAAGAGAACAACAATTACAAGTCTTGTCTTAACACTTACTCAGATTAAACTGTTTTTCAGATATTGCAGTGAAATTACAGAATTTTCCAAAAGGAGAGTCAGCATCTAATTAACAATGCCACATGAACCAGAGCAAAATATGGTTCTTCAATGAAAGATGAATCCCTATTCATTACTGCATGTGTTGCAATGAAATGTCAGTCAAAATGCTATTAACTTAAAAGTTTTATGGCTACCTTTTTATCTGAAGTAGTGAATGCCTTAGCTCTCTGTAGATCATCTACTGTAGAGATTCATTTGTGATTATGGTCCAATTACTCTTGGTACCTGCACAAAAGGCTGCAAAATGTGAAACCTGAGTTCAAAATTAAACTTTATAGTGTCAGTAACAGGATCTCCCTCTAGTGAAGCTTGTACTATCTATACAAGCAGAGACCACTGTACCCCTAAACTAAAAGTGTGAAAACCCTAGTGAAAACTAAAGCACAGCTAGAAAATAATTTGAAAAAGCAGCAAGCAAGCAAGGGTTAAGCAACCCCAACCACCTGATGCTTTTAACTGACCCGTTTTTCAGGGGCAAATTTTCACTAATTTGCTCACAAATAATATGATGGACTCAGAACTAAGGATTTCTATTCAAGTCATAGAGTTACCATGTACAGCTTCAGAAGTAGCTTACTATCCACCATATAGAAAGGACAGCAGGACTGTTACAATGCACTGAAAACAATAAACTACTGCTAGTTTTGTAGAACAGGCATCTCATCAGATTTTAATGTAGAGGTCCAGGATTAAACAGTATCTGTATCACTCATAGCCTTGAAACCAAGGACAAAACTTTAGTCTGAAATTGATACATGTACTCAAGTAGCTTTTTAATATGTAGTGACAGGAAAATAATAGTGCCAGATAATTTATATTTGATTTTGTACTACTACTGCTGCTCTATCAACTACAGCATTCACTGTAATGAAGTACCATTAGGGTATCAGTTGAAAAGTTATATACCCAGATAAATTTAAGCACCAACTTGCTAAATCTGAACTAACCAGCACATACAGAATATGCCTACAAACCATAAAATATCCACGTACAAAAGCACTTACATTTGCAGTATTCTAGCATGGAATGGCAGCATGCATAACAATTCTAAAAGGCATTTCTGCATTGAAGTGGAAAACTGAGAAACAGTAACTGAAAAGGTTATGTGTGATGTTCAATTTGTGCTTCCTTACCACAAATTATCACTGCCAAATCTAGAATCCAGCACATGCTCTAAGCCAATACTTTATGATGGGAAAGAGCAATCTGTGGCCTTCCAGATGTTTTAACTGACAATCACCCATAGCCAATAATGAATGATAATGGTAACTATAGGCCAAAACACCTGGGGGACACAAATTGCTCAGCCCTGGTTTGAGAGGAGCAGATGAACAGGATCCACATATTGGATCCCTGCTCCCCTCAAAACACTGTGCAGACATGCCTTGAGATTTTCTAATTAGTAACATAATTTTGGGGGAGTCCTTCAGATGGTCTGCCAATTAAAACTGCCAACATATAAAGCAGTAGAAATACCTGTTACTTTATTGAAGTGCTATCTGCAACTTTAATACTATTTCTAAGCCCCAATTTCTAAGTACATTTCACTCAAGAGTTATAACCCACCAATAAAATTTCTGCTAAGAATTCAGCAAGAAATATGAAAGCCACAAAAACCATAGTCCCATTTAAGTCAACTGGCCTACACACACAGTGGCAATTACACTGGAGACAGAGATAGTGTTAGGGATAGACAAAGAAAGCTCTTGAAGAGGTATAAAGATTCACAAAGTTCTGGCTGTTTAAGAAGCTAATTGTCTTTCATTCTTAAACTTCATTATATAGCAATTACAAAAAAGTCCCAGAACAGCAAAAAATCAAATCAATAAAGCAACTTCTTATTGTAAGTGCTATTAAGATGTTCTTAATAATTAGCAACAATTTCACTCAGCAATCAGATAGATTAGATTATGATTAGGTAACCAGCAGGCAATTTTCCAATAATTGTAAATGTAATACACATAAGGAAAGACAGCTTTCAGATGGTGTGTAGGTATTTATGTTTGCTTCAGATTTTACACGATCTACTTTCTATGTCACTGACTTCTTTACTGGATTCTTATATAGAATTAGCCCAAGTCACCTATGTGGAACTGATCTTGATTTTTGCAACAATCAAAGTCTCAAGCAAGACATGAAGGTATCTGCAAACCCCAACAGGCTAGATGCAGACTTGGTGAATTCTCACATTATGCTAACTTATACCGGGAATAGCCAATAGTTGGTTCATGGTTCACAGAAATACCAATGACACACCCAACAAATTAGGCTTACTATGGGTTGTCACCCATTCCTTCCTCCTCAGTCATCCAGAAGATATTCCACGAGACTTATCTACCTTATCTCCTCTCTCTTCCATGATATCAAATACCTTTTCACTCACTACATCCTTTTTCTGTTTTTCAGAGATTATTTTTTATAATCTCTGATTTTACAGCCATGGAGTCTCTCCAGTGGCCAAGAGGCATATTGGAGGGTTTGTCAAGGTGGCAAAGGGATTGCCACCCTTTAAAAATAAAATTAATAAAAATAAAATTAATTTAAATAAAATTTCTTACAAATTTTATTTATTAAAATATTAATTTTATCTATTTTATTTATTAAAAATAAAAATTGCCACCCTTTAAAAATATTTGCTGTGTGAATCAGGCACAAACCATAGACAAATGGCCTAGGGAGGGTACAAATAGGGCCATTTCTTTTGTTTTATAGGTGCTCAGGAAGGTAGGAAAGAATGTGCTACACCTTTAACAAGAGCACGGAGTTGTGACAGTAGCTAAACTTAGACTTCCTTTCAAAATGTTATGACAGGATTATCCAGGATGTTTTTAAGAGACACATAAATAACTGTATGTCAATTTCCTTGTCAAAAAGACCCCCTGATAAACCCTGTTAAAACCCTCATTAAAAAATGAGAAAGAGGAAGGAAGTACAGAAAGTTCCAGGGAAAATGCTATCAGAGAAAAGGCAGCATAATGATTGGGGATATAAAGTAGGGCATAGTGGCAGCAGTAGGGCTGGCTGAGGTAGGTGTCTTGTGATCATGGCCTCCCAAAGGTTTGCATTTTTGCAAATTAACCATCTTTTCTAGTCCTTGTACATACATTAGCTTTCCACTGCAAAACCAGTGTCTCATTTTTTAGAAACTGAAAAATAAGCATAAATATATGCAGTTCCCATAAAAATTGCATGGTTCCTCATAATTATAGCTATTTTGCCTTAATTAAAATGTTTAAAATTTTACATTATGGTTCAATAGAGTTTTGTTTGTGGTCTCATTCTGAGATCTTGGTGGTTTGATCACTGATGTTTACATGGGCTATTTTTTTTTTTTTCAGTCACATTGTGATGATACCAGTGTATCATCAAAAGTGTTGCAGAAATTATGTGGCAGCCCTTCCCAACCTGGTGCTTTGGGCTACAACATGTAGCATTCTTTACCATGGATTGTGCCAGCTGGGGTTGCTGTGAGCTACAGTCCAGAACACATGGAGGGTTGCAGGCTGGCAAAGACTAAATAATGGCATAGAAAGTAAAAGTAATCATGAAGATTAGCCCAAATGTACCTTCTCTCATGGTAAAGTGTCCAATGTATAAACAGCTGGATATGGTTTGACCCCTACATGCATAAAGAAGTATGAAGAATAATACTGGGACTCACTGAAATTTAAATATAAAACCTACTGGCCAGCTTACCCAGCAAATAGTAAAACATTTTCTGTATTAGAGCCGTCCCATTTTCTTCTCTACACTGGCTATTAGCTTGTTTTCGCAGGAGTGCAAGCTGATATTTTTGTAAACTCGATCTTCTTCCTGCTGCTCTGATGTGTCTAAATTCTTTAAGCAGTATCTGTATTAATGAATGTTGCAACACCTTTAAGAGTTAACCACCTTCAGTTGGCTATTAAAATGTGTCACTGTAAATATCTAGAAATATTTCCAGTCTGAAATTTTGTCTGGGCCCTGTCCATAATGGACAGGCCCTTTCCTAGCCTGAAAAGATTTTAGCTCAACACGATTTTAACGCAAATGAGATCTCTCTGTCATATGATATATACAATGTATTCCCTCAATCTACAGTATTTTTTAAAGGACATAATAATAAAAAATATTTTTTTCTCTAAGGAGATCAGAGTTATACAAGAGTAGACTCTCAAGTAACTACTCCAGCACTGTTGCCTTTCTCTACTCGTCCCTCCCATGTGATAGCCACTATCTTTAGTGACAACCTCAAATCACAGAAGAACATTTCCAAGATGCTTATTCCTGCCCAGGACCAGCCATGAAGATAAACTTAGACATACAAAGTCCACATAATAAAAGGAACAATGAGAAGACCATGTGTCTGTTGTTGGTAGCTTATTAAGCACAGATAACTTGCTTAATAGCTGTGTACAAACTTATCTTCCCTACTACCAGCATAGTATTAAATATGATGACAGAGGAGTGAAGGAAATATACACTGAACTATAGGCAACTGTTAACTTACCAGAGATAACTAGTTGAGTTCTAAGTTTTTCAAATGATACTAAGTGAATCTCTTTTAATAGCATGTGCCAAAGGCCCAGTACCCATCAATTAGAAGTTTATGAAATTGTGTTATTTTATGTAATTACATCACAAAAGGTATGATTAACTTTCTCAGCAGACTAAAGGTCTCTAAATTTGTAACAGCATCCTGTGCCAATTTTTGGTAGGCTGTAATTCATAAGATTTGGGCAGCTCAATGCTGCTCCTACAATACAGGACCTTCAGTAGAGAGTAAGCAAAAAGATTTTAGTTTTGTGAAGGCATTTCTATCACTTTAAATGTTAGACACTGAGTATCTGCATATGCTAACTCGCAAACTTAGACTGCTAAACAGCCATAGAGTTCATTAATCATGTGTGCTGCCTTGTCAATGAAGCCAATATACAAGCATTTTTATCTAGGTGCCAAAGTGTGATTGCTAGGTTTCAAATGTATATGCTAGCGATTGGCATGTTTTAGGCCTGGCTAATCAGTTATGCTTGCTAAAACTACTGAGCAACCAATGAAGCAGAAGGCTATGAAAATTAGTAATTTAGAATTATCAGATCTGGTTGTTTCTTGAAGAGGAAACAACATGAAAATTGCAATAAATTTTATAGCATGTTCATTACTAAATATGTATTAAGTTATAAGTATGAAGAATTTGTCTCAGGCTGCTTTTGATTGAGCATAATTTTCTTATTCTAAACTTGGGTAATTAAGATTTTAATATATCAACTAATTAGGTTGCTTCTTCTGAAGAGTTTCTACACTATTTCAGTCCTGATAACCTGGAATTATATTTCTATTTCCTGAACTCCTACAGTAGTGACTCATTAAACCATATAGGGGCTTTAGTCTGGCTTGCCAAGGTATTTCACCTTGCTTACTAAAATCTAAGCAATAAGGCTTCTCAAAATGAAAGATATAGTTTTAGCTAATGCTACAGACTTGGCATTAAATTACAATGCTACAATGCAAAAACTTAGCCATAAATTAAAATGAAATAAAGTGCAATCCATGCAATGGTGTTTTTTCAGCATTTAATGTGACATACTCAAAAACTCAGGCGTGGTGATGAAACAATGCAAGGGGTTGCTTCTAGTTGTATAGTCAAGCAGAAAGCAATGAGAGCAAAAGCAGCCTTGGTAATACCCTCTTAAGAATGAAGACCCTTTCACCTTGTATAGGTAAGTGTGTGGAAGAAGAAAGTTGAACAGAAAATCACTTCCACCTGGACCACTGCTTCTCCTTATCTGTTAAAGGCACATATATCACTCCCATCAGAGGCTTCATTTTGACACTGCCATCTTCTAGCTTATCATACTGCTCCAGCATCTGGTTTCCTCCAGCAGGGCCCACAGGTAATATTAATCTTCCACCAGGCTTTAATTGATCTATAAGCTATAAACATTTTTAAAATGTTAATTATTCTGGGCAAATGTACATGTAAGATCCCTATGCTATACAATGAACAAATCAGTGATGCAATACATATTTAATATATAATTGCATTTATTTCCAGACTACCATATTCTCCAAATCTAATAGTCACAGTATCACATATTAAGTTTAGCATATCAAATTAAGTAATTCTATGGTTGTGATGTTTCAGTTAATAAGCTTCTATAATTTATATAAAGACTAAGCAGTTTCCCAGTAAAAGATAATGTACCATACACAAACATAAATCACACTTACTGCTTGTGGCACAATGGGTGCAGCAGCGCCTACATGAATAGCATCATATGGAGCCTCATCTGGATATCCCAGTCTCCCATCCCCCACTGCACAGAAAAAACACAAGCAATACCTGAATTTAATGTATTAAATAAATTTATTCACAACACTGAACTCACTGTTGAAATTTAAACCAAACTGTTCAAAAGTTTATGCGGAATATGTAAAAATAACTGAATTGAAACTTAAGTAGTGCCATAAATTTTGATCAGATTCATGACTGGAATTTCTCCCGGGATAGAATGAGTTTCGTTTAAAAGAACTAGCCCTAAAAAGGAGCACATCACAGAATGTGGCCAGTGTTCTATCCTAAGATGATGCAAACAAAATTCTTTGACAAGTATGGCTGTCAACCTGTATTCTGTCATTTGGCTCATAACACCAAGCAGGGAGGGATGGTCAGTTGTGTCTGGCAGATGTTAATTTTCCTCTTGCAAGAAGATGTGGTCCCAAATGCCCTTAAAGAGGCATTTGTGGTACAACTTCTGGAAAACCCACCCTGGCCTGGAAACTCCTAATTATTTGTTGTTTCCCAGTATTTCCTTCCTAAGCAAGATGTGGTGGTTCTTTTAATGCCAGGATTTCTTGGAGTTCCTGAGATTCACTGATGTTCAGGATGGGAACAGTTCATGACTCCACATGTCATGCATTAACTGACACAGGATTTGCTGCTGTGACATGCAAACTGCCTCATTTTTTCAATGGATTTCAACTGGGTCTTGAGCTTGGTTTTGGCAATGAAACTGCCTCAGTTGTTTTGAAAGTAACCAATACTGGATGAAAGATAGGGAAGTACAATTTTGCTTATTGTACTGGAGTTGTTAGCAGCTTTCAGTACTATCAGCCCTGGTTTCTATTCTGAGAAGCTATCTGGGCCCTGTTTTACAGTAGATCACAACTGGACAGTCATTTCTAAAAGAGAAGTTGGAAGGCTACTGCTAAAGAATACCACATGGTATTCTAGCTCTACCACAGTTCTTCTAGCTTTGTGCTTGTGGTTTTTAGCACTCACAAGAGGGACCCATTGAATTCCCAACTCCCATCAGTTTCATCCAGCAGGGTCAACAGTTTGAAAAAACAGCAGTCGTAGACCAATGTCTGGAGGAACACAGGTCCCCCTTTCTCCTTCTCTATATGCAACCACAAAAATTCAAACATTTGGAGAAGATAACACCATGCTCTCCTTTACGTTTAAATCTACTGAGACAAATGACACTTCTGCACTAGACTGGGCTTGGGAATGAACTGTAGAAACAAAAGTGAACTGAAACCCAAACCTGGCAACTTGGATGCAGTGTTGGAAGGCAGTTCTTCTAGCTTGGGCAAAGCTGTTAGACTGCCCACACTCCACTTGGAGTGGAATTCACTGTTTGGATTGCTAGAGCAGTGCCAGCACTTTTACAGTAGAATGCTGATTAGATCATCATTTCATTTATTACATTTGTATATTTCTCAATAGCCAAAGTTCTCTGCACATTTTAAAAAGATGAAAACCCTAAATTACAATAAAATAATATAAAACAAACATATGTCTTTTTCTCTCTCTCTCTCTCACAATCAACAGTAAATTCCAAGACCCATTAAAAATCTTACTATATCTTGTTAAATACCTGCAAGTATAGGAAAATCTTAACCTAGTGCCAAGGAGACGACACTGTTGGCACCAGACAGTCCTCACCAGACAGCATTCCAAAATTAGGGGACCACCTCCAAGAAGGCCATTGCTGCCATCCTCTGAGTAGAACCTCAGATGATGAGAGGAGCATATGGTAACAGGGGAGGTACTCAATCACGTACTGTTGTCCCAAGTTGCATACCGCTTTATAGATTCAAGCTCCTTGAATTGTGCTTTGAAGCCAGCCAGAATTGCTATGATATGTTCAGATTTTCTACTCCCCGATATCTATTTGGTTATCACATTTTGTACAAGCTACCACTTCTGAGCTGTCTTCAAAGGCACGTAGAGCAACATGCCAGCATTACAGTCTTCAACCCAGACCCTATGTCTGAGCATGGTGGCATGTGAACTATGGAAAACTTAAGCATGTTAAAGTAACACCAAAATGAAGGCTTACTGATAAACTCTCCAGTGAGTTGTGTATAAACCTTACTACAGAAAGAGACAATTAATGAATTAAAAATCTGCACAGAGCAGTCAAATTCCTATATCTAATTTTATTAAGATACTCCAGTACTTACCAATCAGTTTCACTCTTCCTGAAGACAGCAATAGAGGATCGTCCTTTTTGACATTATTTATTGAGTCATCTACTAGCTCTTTGATATGATCAATTCCTACAACTTTTCCTTTGGAGCCAACCTAAAACAATAAACCAGGGTTTCTGTGTTGGTGATGTCTATTATTTAGGTAATGAGTTCCTTAGCTGTGCTTTTAAATTAAAGGTATAAGCAAAGATTACAGAAGACAGATGAAGTCTAATAAATGACTCCTACTATTTTCCTATCATTTCACTTATATATGTCCATCCCAATTTTCAGCATATCTGATATGTCTTGGAACTTGTTTCAGCATTTTGGCTTCTTATGGCATATTAAGATTTTTGCTATAAATACATCTGTATTTGTCTTGTCCATGTTGATAAAATATAATTATGGTATCAGATTTTCATACAAATATATTTAATTAACAAGCTTAGAACATATGAACAACTTATGATTTCATATCAGTGGAACATGTTAGCAGTTTTGCTAAGAAGTACTTGAACAGAGACTTACTTTGCCAGGTGCACAACTGTTTTGATTTGTAAATACAGAAATTACAGGAAAATGTAATTCCTATAGTATTAGTATTCTGGGGATTCACCCCCATCATCCCACACAAAGAAGGATTACACAATTGTCATGCTAGCTTGGGGCAGGGGTGTTTGGTTTTTCCAGGAAAGATGGGAAGTAGCCAGTAGCTTGCTTTTACTGGAAATAAAAAGTTGAATTAGATGGCCCTTGGCTCCATGGCAGTACTTATTGCCTTACAAGCAGAGAAGGGAGAAGATAAAGAAACAGAGAAAAGGAAATATACCAAGCTATGATTAAAACATATAAAGATTTGCTCTCATATACCCAGCTGAGGCTACATGCATTCTGAACCTGAAAATTATGGCCACAGGAGTTGAACAGTCAGACTGTCTACATGGGACACACACTGCCATACACTGGATATTGTCCCCACATCCCTGCTTGCCTTCAAGCTTAAAAATATGCACTCAGTAGAATAAATGCCTGAACACTGTTTTAAAGAATTGTGCTTCACATAATAAATTAGTTGGAATTTCCCTACTACTTCATAGGATGTCCTTTCAATTCAACTGTAAGGTGACATTAAATTAAAAAAATACAAACAAATCAGCTTGTCTGAACTGATAGAACTCATGTTTTTTACGTAAGCATTTGGTTGTGTTTCACTGACAAGATAAGCTTTGCATGACCAGTCAAAATATTATTTCTTTTTTAGAAATATAAAAAAGATGCAATTTTGTTTAAACAAGTCCTTGCAATTATTTTGTAAGGACATGAAAAGCACTGAACATTTTGTAATATAAGGGATAAAGTGAAGAGGATGATTATGAGCCACCATGGGTTCCTAGCAGGAAAAAGGAAGAATATAAATATCATAAGTAAATAAATAAATAAAACTAATACGGTTCACTAAGAAGTTCATAAATTAAAAACCACTGTCTCACCATCCGTGCAAAGCATGCAGTAAGAATACCACTTCCAGATCCTACGTCAAGGGCTTTGGCTCCTTCGTGTAACTGTTCATATAGTAGTTCTAGAGCATACGCATGCTGACCAAAAGAAAAAAGGAAAAAATACTAGTATTTTACTTTTGGTTTGGCCCAATATAAGTTCTCTTTTCTGAAAAGTTCAGTTCATAGAATGCATTCAGTGAATACCATAAGGAATCCAGTGTTTAAAATCAATCAAGCAGTTGGAAACTTCAACCAATTCCATACTTGGGAACTAAAATTTCAAGTCACACAGAAAAAAGCTCAGATTTTCAGCTAACAATAACTAAATGTATTATAACAAAAAATAAAATCTCTTCTACCAAATCTGATTGCAGATCCAAATATCACTTTAGAATATAATACCCTGACTGCATATGACAGTTAAAAGTATTATTTTTAGCCCTCCAAAAGCTATCTGACAAGAATATATAAGCTTACACCATGCTGAAGACAGCTGAACTTACAGAAGGTGGGGGGGGAAGCGTCTTGTGGCCCTCCAGATGTTTTGGCCTACAACCTCCATCATACTTTTTCATTAGCTATACTAGCTAGGGTTGATTAGAGTTGTAAGCAAAAACACTGGGAGGCTACAAGATGCCCGCTGAAGGTTTAAGGGAACTTTAAGTTGGACAGACTGTAAATTACTCTGATAGTAACTGTAGATAGCTAATCATACTGGCTTTCCATGTAATGTGAAAACAGTCATTGTGAAGCTATTGCATCTTTTCCTTCTTAATGCATGTGTTTGTTTTTGATAGAAAGAAAAACAGACTGAAGACACAATGGGAAAACACAAAACAGCAGAAAGTTTAAGAAGTTGCCTGCACTTGGTCAGTCCTGTGAATGAGGCAGGGCAATTGCACAATGAATGGCTAGTCTGGAAACACCCTTTGTTATTTTAATCACAATAAAATAGCACTTGAAAAAGAGAGGGAACACCATGGTGAAAAGACAGAATTATGATGAATTAGAAGGAACATAATGTATATTCTCTGAAATAAACAAGTGAGCAAATGGTATCAACATCAAAGAAAAATGCTTTTATACCCCTTCTCTTCAACATACTAGGTTTCTGTACCTTGCACTAAAATGCAAACACAAACATGATTCCTGTGTTAAATTTTCTGCATGGAAGTACATAGGTTCTCTTGGTCTCCTGAATTCCTGCAGTTTCTACAATGACATCGTATACATCTCTAATACTACAGAATGCTATATAGAGAAAGGCTAGATTAGCTGTTAATCAAGGATGGAATTCAATATATAATCCTAATATACTGTCAGTGTGGTGTAGCAGTTAAGAACATGGGACTGAGACTTAGGCAATCTAGTTCTAGTCCCCACTGAGCCATGGAGCCAACTTGGCAACCTTGGGCCTATCACATATTCTCAGCCCACCCTACCTCACAGGGCTATTGTTGTGAGGATAAGATTGAGAACAAGAGGAGTAGAATTATGTAAGCTGCTTTGAGTTCTTTGTAAGAAAAACGGCAGGCTATAAATCAAATAAATAAATAAATCTTACCATATGTGGAGCACTTATAGTTGCTTGAAATCCTGTAATGCAGAGGGGGAAATGGATTGAATAATATAATTCAATTTCCAAACATCTGAACACCAGCACCTTTTGCTAGCACATAAGCCAAAATTCAAGCCTAAATGGCTATGTCTAAATTAGAAACCTCTCCCAGAATAATAACCATTAAACGCAAAGATGAATCACAGAAATAAAAAGTAGGAAATAGCATTCAATTATAATGATCAATTACATGAAAAGGAAAAATACTATCCTTCTGCTTGGCAACAGTAATACAACTCATTAGAATCTTAAGTCCTAAATATTGCCCAATACTATTTTCAGATGTGCCATTTCATCACACCATCTTCTATTCAATTAAGTAAAAGAGTCTAGACATGCACTTGTCTATTTATGAATACTATTATGAATGCATTGAATGAACTTTACAATTAGCTCGCTCAAGCATTATCTATATATCCAAGAACTGATCCCTTATACATGTTCAACATCTTTGGGTCATATCTGCTTTTACTTAATTACTGGATTTTTCTAAGTGTAGCACCCAAACGTGCCAAGTTGCATATGCAACCCCTGCTTAAGGTTGTCATGGCATATTAACCCGGCAAGTTCACACTACTAAAACAGACCAATCCTCATAAAACCAATGTACACCAGGTTCACACAACAGACCCTGAACAGTGTTTGTATATTCAAAATGGCAGCCACAAACATCTTGTACCATCAGTTGTTGGTGCAATAACCTCTGGCGAGATGTTGTGTCATGCAAATGGTCCCAACATAATCCACAACTTGTGCCAACAGATTCTTTTTTCATGCAGGTGGATACACCTGTTTATACAATGGTTACTAGAAGTTTTATATCAGTAACTAGCATATGTCAGGACTTTTCTTTCTTCAGAAAAATCAGATCAGAAATAAGCATCTTTATTGGGGGAAAATAGCTACACTAAACTTCTAACCCAATGCAAATTTACTCAAAATAGCTTTCACTGATTTCAGTGAGCTTACTAAAGTAACAGTATATACTTCAGCCTTAGATTCATATTTTGTTTCTGTGTTGTTTACATTTAGTTGCTACCATTCCTCCCTTTCAATTTTCTGTTAATGGTCTCTCCTGGATAGAAACCTTTTGGAAGTAAAGCTTTTGCTGAAAATTCACGTGCTATTACAAAGCTTCTCCTTGCAGGGTCAATATGAGAACAATACCTGAAGTCCTATAGGTTGTCATAACTAAATACTTCAATAATACACACACCCCTCCAAGAATCTTAGTAATTACATTTATGATGAAGAATGTAAGCTCAGGAGAAGATAAATGGAGACAGTAAAGACAACTGACAAGCTGCATTAATGGTGATTCATTAGGCCTTGGATGCAGTCTGCAGGGGTCAGGCCCACTTCTTCCAAAATACAGCATTCCAAACTAGAAATTTTCAACTCTGAATATGAAGTTGAAGATGAGGGCAAGTAATGCCAAATTTAAATTCTGAGATTTGCCGAGCAACTGCTGAGAACTAGACCATCAATGATTCAAGCAGAGATAGTATAGACAAGGGTCAGGAGGGAAGGTATGAATTTGTCAGACCAGTGGTTTTTCATCAAATCAGTGACCAATTAAGTAACAACCAGGGTTCTCACCATCTGGTCTGCAAGCAGCACAAGCTTCCCTAAGGGTGGAATCAGCTTAGTTTGGAGAAGAAGGGAATTTAGTTTGGAATCAACTTCTGTAATAGGCAAGAACTCAGCAATCAGAGAGATGATTAACTTGATGGATGTTTCTTGCTAATGACTTTTATATAATTCATTCTGCATTACAATGCCAGTCTAACTCAATAAATAATCAGCTCAAAAAGGAAAAGGGAAGACACATGTTCCAACTCAGTTTAGCGAAAATCTGGCATCACAAAGGCAGAAGAGACTTCAGCTCTTCTAAAAATATTTAATACCTAGCATATGCATTAGCATTTTGCAATGATGTAAAACCAGAAATAAACCATGTTTGCTTATATTTATATTAAGGTACTGATTAAAAACATTTGTTTAATTTTTGCATTTGTATGACTCCAAAGTATTCCAACAGAAACCTCTAAGAGGCTTACAACAGGTAATCAAGATTACAAACATTAAAACAATAAAACCAATGATATATAAAATGACAACTATTTAACACTAGTCATTTAAAAGTGTGTCAAGGGAGGGGACAGCCATATACAGCAAAATGTTAAAAGCACGTTGCCACTGTCAAATGTGAACCCCAGGAAAGTACAAACTGTTAACAACACTTAAGCAAGCTTTTTAAAATTCTGATTTTAGGGCTTGTTTACACACATTTCCACTTTGAAAATACATAGTTCAGGGTAGGTTCAAGCAAATGAAAACAGCTTGCATCTCCACATGATTTTGTCTTCTTATTAGGTGAATTATCTGTTAAATTCAAAATGCTATTTATATGTGAACATAACTACTTCTAACTGTGTTTGGAAGACAATGAGCAATTACATAGTTTTCACAACAAGCTCTCTATGTAGCCGGGGACACACCAAGTAAGGAAACAGCTCATAGAACATTTTGCACTCTCTAAGGAAGCATACCATATTACAGTGAACAAGACAAACATCTTCAGGAAAATAAAGATTTTATATAATTAAAGATGTTGGATATATAATCTTGTTACCTATTGACTGAGGGGAATCCATATATGGGTTGCATTTTGCATAGTGGCTTCGGTCTGTTGCAAGCATGACTTCAAATACTTTATCTGATTTGATTATTCCATTTTCTGCATGAAAGACAGACAGAAAATTCTTTGTCAAAATAAAAGGCAATGCTATTCCAAAATCTTACAATTAAAGTACAGAGTCTTTATGTACTACATATGATGCTAAATTGTAAACTTTTATTTATGTAAATTATCTATATAAAATATAAACAAAAGTCAGTGCAAGAAGTATTTTAGATAAATGAATTCTACTTGTGACACTTGAAAATTTGTTTGCAGTAATTTTCCTTATTTCCAAATTAGTTTATCAGTAAAATACGGAAGTCCAAAAATTTGTATCAGTGCAAACTAATTACATAACCCACTGTCAACAATCAGTTGAACTCAACCCACCTTTTAACATACAATTTCCCCCAAGACAGCTTACAAACATTATTAACCTTTATTAATAAAATCACAACAACCCCTATTGAAAAGTAACAAGTCACCAGAATATTTTTTTATACAGCAGCTGGGGTCAGATGGCTGGGAAAGGCAGGAGACAACCAAGTATAGTAAACATTGAGGTGGTATTTGCCTACCTCCCTTACTTTCACCTGTGGCTATGGAGAAAGGAGCAATATTTGCCTCCCAGATCACCCTATCAACCATCCATATTCCCGACAACCCATTTATTCTTCCTCAGCTAGCCTAGGTATATAAATGCTTCCAGATCCAATGCGGGGCTTTGAATGCAAAGATACTGGTCTTGCCTGTTTGAGTCTCCTTTCCTCCCCATCTTCCAGCTTTCCTTCTGTTTGCTATTCTCTTACATTCCCTGTTCCAACCTCCTTTGTGCAAACTTCTCAGCTTGACCTGTGCTGTGACTCAGCTTCTGAAATAACTTCTTAAATTTTTACAAATTTCACGTTGGCAGGAGCAGTGAAGCATGTTGAAGGTAGCCATGAAGGATTGTGACAGAACAGAAAATGTGTAATAAAAGTTTAGCTATTATACTTCTTTGCTACAGCAAGATAAAGAACAATGCAGCTTTCTGAATTATATGAAACCTGGTGAAACCAACCTACATCTTAGCTTCTTCAGTTAAGCACTCTGAAGAATATGCTACTTTTGCAAACATGGTACTTGCTCCCCAACCTGGTACTCTCCAGATGTTTGTACTTTGTACAAGCATCTCTACTGGTCAGAAATGATGGAAATTGCAGTATAAAATATCTGGAGTGTACAAATTTGTGGAAAGGCTGAAATAAAGCATGTACCCCCCCAGTCATGCTGATCGATTCCAAGCCCCCCAGGGGATGCTGGAAATAGTGGATAATTGTGAACACTATTTATTGTATATAAAACAATTTAGTTCATTCTTACTACAGGATGTAATTTTTTCTTTCCCTATTAAATCAAGAATTTTCACTTACAAGAAACACTTCATGACTTCTCTTTCTGGCCAAAGTCAACCACTGTTGAGTGAAAATGCAGTGACCATGGCTAAGTGAAAACACAATACGGGAGTTCTGCTGCATACCTGGTCCTTTATCCTGAGATTGTACCATAATTGCCTATTTGCATTTAGCAGGAAGTCACTGTGGGGAAGCTTCCCTGTGGAACGTCTGTCACAGTGGCCACTCAATTTTCAATATGTGAGTTGCAACACTGAGGATGACTGAAGCTGCCCTAGACAACCTCCAGCTCCTTTAGACAACCTGTGCCAGTATTATCTATTCTAAATGTTGGCTCTAAACTCATATCTTTTGCATGACCTGCTACCTCAACCAGGGACTGAACTGGGGTCCTCTTGCATACAAGAAATGGACTCTGTAATGAATTTTAGTTCCTTTTCTATAGTTATTTTTGTTCCAGAACTAACAGAGCAATCATTTATTCACATCACACTGGGAAATGGGATATGCCTGTGTTTCTCCAATGGAACAGTGATACTATAGGAAACTTAGTCAAACGCTTTGTTGTAAACAAAATATATTACATTCATAGTATTCCTATGATCTACCAAACTAGTAACTCTTTCAAAAATGCGTAAGTCTGGCATGACTTATTTGTGACAAACCTATGTTGACTCCTAGTAATTTATACACTATTTTCTAGAATCTCACAAGCTGACCATTTAATCATATTTTCAAGACTCTGCCAGCATTGACATCAGGCTGACTGGTCCCTAATTTCCTGGATCTATCTTCTTTCCTCTTCTTGAAGATGGGGACATTTGCCTGTCTCCAGTCTTTCAGCACAACTGGTTTCCAGGAGTTCTTAAAGATCACAGCCAGTGGGTCTGTAATACTGTCTACAAGCTCTTTCAGCTACCAAGGATGAGTATTTTGAGACCTTAACTCATTTAAAGTATGTAAGTATTCCTTGACAATGTTTTTACTTATCTTGGGCTCTGTACAGTGGTACCTCGGCTTATGAACGCCTCAGTTCACGGCCAAATCAGGTCGCTAACAGAAATTCCAGAAAAAATTTGCCTCACTTCATGAACTCCACATTGAGTGACAACCACAATTGTAGCCATGTTACCACACGAACACAATCGCAATCACACCTGTCTTCCCCCCCTCCGAGCACGACTGCAGCCATCTCCCCTCCCCGAGCACAATTGCTATCGCACAATTATCATTTGCTCCAAACAATAATCTCCCAACCACCTAGGTTAGTGTTCTCTACTGCACTGTACTTTGTTACTTTGTTCTTTGTTACTTTGTCTCAAATTTTTTATTAAAAAAAATATTTACAGAATGGATATAGCCTTCATTCATTGTCCCAGGTCAAACACAACCCACACTGTGGGAGAAGACTGAGGCAAAATAAAGAGTTTAGTAGTTCCATCTTCTGTCACCTATTAACAATACACCAACTTCCCTAAGCAGTGGACCTACCAACTTGATCATCTTCTTGGTCATTACAGAGCCAAATAAGACCTTTTGGTTATTTTTAGCATCCTTCACCAGGCTCAACTCATTTGGGGCTTCTGCCTTCCTATTGTTGTCCTTGCAAATTAGGGCAACAGTACTGTTTTCCTTAGTAATATGTAACCCTTTCCATCTCCTGCAGGTGACTCTTTTGAATTTCATTTCAGAGAACTATCCCTGCTTCTTTAAATGTTCTCCATTTTTCCTTCTTTGGGAATACTTTGTGATTGTGCCTTCACTATTTCAATATCTTTCCCTTGAACTCTTTTTCTTTCAGGATTTCTAAGCCTGGGGAGCTAACCAAACTTTTTCCTCAGTTTTTTGAAAATGGTTTTCCTAAATAAGGTACGTGTTTGATTAAGCTCAGCTTCACAACCTTCTCTGTCATCTATATTACACAGTTGCTTTCCTGACAGTGCATCTACCATCTCTTTCTGTTCATCAGAAACATCAGATCCCCTTGCAGCTTCTTTCATCTTCTGTAAGATAAAGTTGTCATCAAGACATGTTGAAATGTACCTCAAATTCTATTCTGATAGAATTAGACTCTAAGCAGATGCCAGAATGATTAAAATCCCCATCACTACTATTACCTGACTCTGTAAAAGTGCTGTTATCTGTTCTAGAAAAGAAGGATTCGTGTCTTACAGCTAGCTGGGTAGTCTGAAGTAAACTGCTAGCACAGTATCACTCTTGTTTTTCTTCCTTTTATCTTTACCCAAATGCTTACAACAAGGCTTGCATTCTCAGAATCATGAATGTCTATATAGGTGCACAAATTATTTATGTACAGGGCCACTCCTCCTTAATTCCTGTTGGATTTATTGTTTGTAAACAAGATACAACCTTCAGTGACTATATTTCAATTATTAGTCTTATCCCATCAAGCACCAGTGATATTGATACATATTAACCCTTCCTTCCCCCTCATTAAGGATGTGGTTCTGTGATTTCAATGGGCTTAGGCGTATTTAACTGCATAGGACTCATGTAACAGATATTTTAAAAATACAACATCAAACAAGACCACAAATCCTACATATCATTCTTCACACCCATCTTAAAATTGTTCATGTAAGTTTGCATCAATTTCTGTATATTCACAATGAAGACAAAGAGAACATTAAGGCCATTAATTCATTTAAGAAAAGTATTTTTGTTATTTTTTTTCCCTTTAGGCCTATGCACAGGGCATAATTTATCCTACCAGGCTCTCCTTTATTCGTGCAAAATACCTTATGAAAAAAGAAAGATCAAGATTTCTGATGGCTGATACTTTGACACCTGAAACTCATTTGTCTTTTGTGTATTCACACATAATTTAATGACAGTTGCTAGTGCTTGTATAATAACAACCCCAAAACAAAATTCTTAAATCTTACTGAATCAACTCTACTTCTTCTAAACAAAATCTGGAGATGAGCTTCAATTTTTTGACAAAATGAGAACTTTTGATTGACCAAGGGTAAACAACAAAAACAATGATGCCCCCCTACAGCCTTCCCTACATGCTGCCCTCCAGATATTTTGGCCTGTAACTCCTAGCATTCCCAACCATTTTCTATGATGGCTGGAGCTAATGGGAGCTGAAATCCAAAACATCTGGATGGAATAGGTGGGGGAAGGCTCCTCTAAAAGAAGGCTGCTATAAAAGTTCACAGACTTAGCCAAATAAAATATATCATTACTACCCATTCCATCCATCCTTTACAATATGAGACTTCCACAGCAACTACACATTTGTTTCCCGTGGAGATTAGCAAGGGTGGTAGCTCCCAGGCAAACAAAGATTATCATAATAACAAAAGTGATGAAAATCACCCCCAAGAGACTAGATAGTTGCATAATGATGGAAGGGACAGCAGCTGCCACCCTTTCTAAGAAAAAGGCTTTTTAAAAAATCGCCCTTTGCAGCCACACGGACTAGATTCTTAAATCCGGGTTTATAATCGGGCATTCAGTCGACTTCTGAAAGCCACGCATTAGTGGTGTGTGTGTAAAAGCGACAGTCGCGTCGCCTTGTGGCACCTACATGTGTAAATAAAGACATCCAGGCAGATAGGAGGGAAAGGCGCTCACAGCTGACGGCCAGCGTTTGTTCGCGTTCCCTCCCCTCCCCTCCCCTCCCCCCGCCAACGCAGGGTGAGGAAACCCCCACGGGGGGACAGGCAATTGCCGACGGGGGGGGGGGGGAGGCTGCAGCTGCGGTTGCTACCGCGGCGGGCCCAGCAGCGAAGCTTCGCGGGCAGCCGAGGCACCCACCCCGCTCCCGTCCAGTGGAAGCGGCGGTGCCGCCCTCAAACAAGCTCTCCACGCAGCAGCGGAGACACACCCGCCTTGCAGCACCAACGGCCGCTCTCTTCTGCGCCCGCTCCCCCCCGCGCCGGGCGCGTGAGCGCGCGCGCGCGCTTCCTCACGGAGATGCGACCCTCTCCCTCCCCGATCGCGAACGGTCGCCCGCCGCGGCTCGCGACACTGAGGGCCCCCGTCCGACTCGGCCCGACGACCAACGGTTACACCCCAGCGACGGCCGCCCGTGTGTGTGCGTGCGTGAGCTGAATGGGCAGCACGCGCCCTGGCCACTCCTTCTGCCTCCTCCCCATCCCACCCCTTCCTTCCCCACCGGGCCCGCGCTCGCCCCCGCACCCGCACCCACAGGCGCACACACTCACTGCGGAGGTTCTGGATGAGCTCCGAGTGACTGGCGCCTCCTGACTTCCAGGCCATCGCTAGACAGACTCTGCGGAGCAGGTAGAGAGCCGCCTTCAGCGCCGCGACTGCGCACAGCAGTTTCCCCAGGAAGGACACAACCTCCAGCGCCGACACAGGCGCCGCCTCCTCCTGCCCTCCCGCAGCAGCAGCAGCTGCCGCCGCCGCCGACGCGCGTCCGCCGGAGGGAGGGACCGCTCCCCCGCCCCCCCGCGCGCTCGACATTCTGAACGGCTGCCGCCGGGCAACCGCGGCCGCCGCAGCGCGCAGGCGCCGTGCGCGGAGGAAGCGGGCGGGGGGCGTGAGGGGTGGGGAGGACCTCTTGGTGACCAAAGGAGGGACGAGGCGGGCGGCTCAGTTCTCGGGGTGGCGGAGGAGGATGAGGGTGCTGCGAAGGGGAGCTGTCCGTACGGAAGCGTGTGACTGGCTCCTGTTACTGTCTATATATAACCGTGGCATGCTATAATGTGAAAGCCACATTTGCAGGGTAGTTCTGCGTAGGTTCTGCGGGAAGAACAGCTCAAGTTTAATGAAAGAGAGTCCCAAAATACTGAAGTTCGCAGGCAAGGAACAATCACAACAAGCACCTGCGCAAATTGGTATACGTCTCATCCTTTGGGTTGCATCAAGTGGCACTTATCCATTTTGATGGGTCTTCTCTAAGTAGAAAAAAAATCTTGCTGCTGGTTGATTGTTTTATTGTTTATACTGTGTTTATCCTCCAGTCGTATTTACATTGCATTTCTATGCTGTTTTATAGTTTTAGTTATTGTCATCTATTTTTATCTGTATTTTCTATTTTTTTCTGTATTATTGTTTATGATTGCGCTGTGAGCCGCCCAGAGAGCCTACTGGCTTTGGGGCGGGATACAAATGCAATAAATAAATAAATAACTTTTTAACTTCACTGAGGGGGTGTTGCGCATTACGGCATGACTGGGAATCGCCGCTGCTGTATATGGTGGATGTAGAGCCCCGCCCCAGGATATGTAAAACATAGAAAATTTCGCCCGCGTGAAAATTGGATGCACCCAAAGAGCTATTGGAAATATCTCCAGGCTCTTGAAATGAATTGAGGGAATGTATCGAATTTCCTGATAGCTGTTTTGTTTCCAATTTCCACAGGGTAGCCATGTTAGTCTGTTGCAGCAAAAACAGCAGCAAGTCTTGCAACAACACCTCAAACACTAACAAAGATATTTATTCTGGTTTAAGATCTGTGGATATGGCATCTGATGAAGAGGCTTATGCTAGAATAAATAAATTTGTTAGGGTTAGACTAGGTAGCACTTTTGTAGTGGGATGACTGCATTCCTCAGTGCTCAACTTGTAATGGTTTTTGTCCTGTTCGGGAGACAGAATCCCCTCACATGAGTTAACCTGAAGCTATACATGTTATGCGGATTATGGTTGCACTCATGCAGGGATACAGAAGTACTTTTGGGTGGAGTGCCAAACTGATCCCATAGGTGATGACTTAGCTGAATACCAGTGAGAAAACGCTTGTCTCATTTCCTTTTGTGACTTAATCTTTTGTACCTCTATCTCAGTGGAGTCACTTAACTGTGTGACTGTGTACTCTCTTTTAAACAGAAAACGAAAGTGGGTAACGCTAACAAGGTTTCCTCTCACACGCTGCTACACATTTTAAGCACAGCAAAAAGAAGCGTAGAAAACAGTGTTGCAGTGGTAAACTTTGAATTGCAGGAATTTACCACGGGAATCCGGACAGCCACGCCCTCACGGAGGGTTCAGAAATTCAGGCAAGGGTGTACATCTATATCAACAAACAAGATGTAGAAGTTTTCACCTGCACTGGGTGTGGGTCTTTTTAAATCGCATGGATCTTAATTGCCCATTCCAGACCAAGCCATCCTAAACACACCAAGGCACAAAAGATTGCAGGTGAGGAAATTCATTTCTTTCCAGGAGGGCTACATCTTAGCTCAGGGAAAACGGACGTCGGAGAAGGGTGGTTGGCAACGGCATCGGAATCAGGATCTCTGCTAATAGAAAGGTGTTGACACTACCTCCCTATAAACACTGGTTCTTCTACACTAGACGAGGTCTCCCTTTCCACAATGTTATATGTGCGTTATTGAAATAACGTATTTATTGCAATTATTGATTACTGACTTTCAGGATACAAATCTCCCCACTAGTGTGTGTTGTTAAAAGAAATAGTCCTTAAAAATAACTTTTTTGTCGATGTTCAGTCGGGTTCACTTCCAAGAAAATGTTTAAGACTGGATAGTGCAATCTTTTCTTATGGTAAATTACTCTGCCCAATAGGTCTTACTCCCTATCCAGGGAATGCAATCTTAGGGCATTGCAGGAGGATGGTGGAGAAGGATGGTAAGATACGTTTTTCCTGGAAAGGTTTCGAAAAGGTTCATGGAAAGATTTGTACGTGTTTAGTAAGATAATAATGTATCACGAAATCTGGTGTGGATACAAAGTGAATCACCAGTCCCTGGATACAGCGAAGGCATATGTTGCGTTCTTTCACATTCCGGATCAAAATTCTCTATCACTGCAGCTTTTGAAAAAGGAAGGAAGGGAAGATCCCAAGGTAGAGCCCGCCCCGCTAAGCGAACTCGGAGCAGCCCCGGGAATTTATGACAAAGCAGTCCCTTTCCAGGGGCGCAGCCGTGGTCTTCAAGGCTTTTGTCCTCCTTCGCTTGCCGTTTCCCATGACGGGCGACGACCAATCACAAGGGCGCGTTTGAAAGCCGGCGGAGAGCGGTGCTTGCGGCGGGAGCGGGGTTTCCTCCTCGAAGCATGGAGGACGTGTCGGCCAAGTATGTGTCCCAGAAAGTCAGCAAAACTCGCTGGCGGCCCGTGCCTGCTGCCGCCTTGCAGCCTCCGGAGGTCTTTGCTACTGGCTCGTGGGACAACGAGGTAACCCGCATACCTGCCTGAGTAGTTTACTCGGCTCCACACTCACAGGCTCTCTTTATCCTTCCCCGCCACCCAAGCGGTTGCCTGCTCTCTCAGTATGATCACCTTGGTGCGGCACCTTCTCGTCTCATGTTACGTTCTCGGTGGCTGACCCACACTTGAGGAGCTCCTTTCAGATAGTGCAGGGGCATTTTATTTATTATCATATTTATACCTTGCCTTTCTTTCAAGAAGCTCAAGGCACTTACATATTTCACGTCAATCTTATCCTCACAACAACCTTGTGAGGTACGTTGGGGTGAGAGTCTGACTGGCCCCAAGTCACACAGTTATCTTCATTGGACTGGAACCCATATCTCTTGAGTCCCAGTTCTGCACTCTTAGCCACTACACCACACTGACTCATTTCAGTCCCTTTATTTTTGGGCTTGGTAAGAGATGCTTCTGTTTGCATACAGGTTAGCTGAGCTAAGTCTTTGGGAGCTGATTGGAAAAAATAGAACTAACTTCAAAATAAAATACCACACTAATATAGTGAAGGGTGGGTAGTTGTCCAAAACTAATTGTCACATACTGATTTGTACTTAACTATGCTTTGGAAAAATAGATTAATAGCAGTTTTCTCTCTTTGCTTGCTGTCACCACAGTTATCTCAGTAGATTACATGACCTTTGCAAATTTTTACAGAAAATTCTCTTAAACTGTCTACTGGCAGGTACTCTTTTCATGAAAGAACAAATCCAGTAGTTTTATGTTTATACCTTTTTCACCTTTGTGGCACATGCAAACATGATATCTTTAATACCAAAGCATGTGTGGATTTATTGATGCGGTATGCTAGTTGATTTGTGTATATATTGGACGCCTTTTTTTGGCTTGTCTTCTCAAAATAAAGGTATTGCTAGTTCATACTGGTTTTGATCAACAGGTTTATGTTGAAGTTTTTCTTTATCCTACTACAAGAGTTTGTATTTCTTGCAATCTTACAGGAAAATAAGATTTCTGTTTGGTCTGTTGGAGATTTCGAAGGCTTGGATCCAAATGGAGAGTATCATGGAGAACCACGTCTGCTATGTGATATCCAGCACAGTGGTGATGTTATGGATATGCAGGTAAAAGTACTATAAACATGGCTTTTAAGAGACTGCAAGACCCATTAGAAGAAAGGCTCCCGAGCATTTAGCAATCTGCTGGGCTGTGGCTAACAAATGGGGAGGAGCAACAGTGATGATTTCACTTCTCCACCCTTTTTAATTGTAAGTTTTTCTTTTGATGGGTCTCTAAACCTGAATAGAGAAGGACTGAGGCTGGCAGGCTATACAATTTCATGTCTTGACTGCCCTCCTCCCTGCACATTGCAGTATCCCATTTCTGATTTGTATAAAGTCATCCAAGACCACTTACTCAACTGGAAAGCTGGTCCTGTGATTCTTTCTGAGGTGGCTGCAAGCACTGGACTAAGGGAAAAGATCTGCTCTTACAGTTATATCACTGTCTACAGCTTTGAGGGATGGGGAGAACCTGAAAAATCCTATGAATCCCCAGGGTACTTTTCAGGAGCTACAGGATTGCTCTCTCAAAGTTGAAAAGAGAATGGAACCTATAATTGCCAAGACAGAGAGCAGTAATTCCCCAGCATCACCTTCTGGAATAAGCAATTCATGTTGGAACAGAACCCCCAGAATGTATTGCTGTTACCCCAATTAAAAAGGTTTCTTATTTCTGTGATTTGGAAAGCCTCTATATGGAAATCTCATATAATTGGTTTATAACTATTAAAACATGGATGTATGTACTAATGTGCTTGAGGGTTTTTTCCCTTAGTTTTTGGATCAGGAGAGAATTGTGACTGCTTCATCCACTGGAAGTGTGAACATATTCCGACATCATCAAAATAATCAGGTAAATGGTTTCATTTTCAACTTTTATGACTGTTGAACTGATAGGGCTCTCTGCCTCAGGAATGAAGAAAGCATGAGGAAGAGCCAGTGTGGTGTAGTGGTTAGCATGTTGCACTGGTACTCTGGCGATCTGGATTCTAGTTTCTGCTTGGCCATGAAGCCCATGGGTGATTTTGAGCGAGCCTCTAACGTTCAGTCTAACCTTTCTTGCAATCTTATCCTTGTCAGGATAAAATGGTGAGTTATTTAAGCTGCTTTAGGTTTCTTTGCTAGGTATCTCATCAGTGCATCAAGTCGTCTTCCTTATAAGCAGGGGCAAAAGACATAGACATCCAATAAGCTGCCTGTGTTCTTTGCAGAGAGGGAATCCTTGCCTCCAAACTCCTTGACTCAGTTGGAAGCTTGTAATCTCTGGATGATGCCCTAAGTCATGCATGATGGTTCTTCATACATTTTAATAATGCTTTAGAGAACCAGTCAGTAGCCAAGAATATGTATCTGCTTGCAGATTAGAAGGCATATTTCCAAATATTTTTAATACAACACAGATTTTTAGCTGATTCTTGAAATTTTAATCTCTAAAATGCTATATTGTTAATTTATAGTATTTTAATTATTTGTAAGCCGCCCCGAGGCTTCGGCGAATGGGGTGGCATAGAAATTTTCTAAATAAATAAATAAATAAAATTCACAACTATCAATTCTATAGCATTTTCAGATTAAATGTTTATTTACATTTCTTATGGCATTCTTACAGCACTGTTGTGAACAGGGTTCAACTGAAACATTATTTTCTTAAAGCAGTTATTCCATAAATTTAACAATGCTGAATTTGTGTATGTGTGAAGGAGTGGGGAGTTTCACTAGATTGGTTGTTTGATTAATTTTTGTTTCTCATTTAGAGTCTTTCCATAAGCCAGAAATGGGAAAATGCACATTACTATGTTCCACACTGTAGAAGTGCATGCACAGGGGTCATCTGCAATAGTCCTGAAATTTTTACTGTTGGCGAAGATGGCAGGATAAATATGTTCACAGCTGACCGTAAGGATGCTGTACGTACCGTAGGTAGGCAATTAAGACTTTTGTGCTTGAGTCATAAACGTGTGTCAACATATTATTGTAAACTTCCCTATTAAGCTTCTTAAAGAGCTCAGGATAAAAGTGAAATCAAATGTATTCAGCTGGAAGTTGTCATGGTCCAGGTGGGGACACTACTCCAAACAAGCCAGACAGTGTTCCCCCACATCCAGTCCTCTTGAATAAAGGGTGCCATGATCAGCCTAGAGTGTCTCATTCAGCCAGACCATCCTGATTCCATCTTACCCAGGTCACCAGAGAAGTAGCACTTCGTGATAGCACCCTGCAGTGCCACTGCGTTGTTGCCATTTTTATGTGAAATTAAACATGGCCGGGAAAAATGATACACTTCTAGAATGAAGTATAGACAGCTGTAAAGCACATTCTGGTATTTCATACTGCTGTACATACTGGACTCTACAACACTGCTCAACTTGTAAACACATGTGAGAGGGCTGGGGAGTCTTTATATCTGTATATTCCTATGAATTTTCTGGATTTTTTAAGTGTGGTGACATCTCATTACTTAGTTTGCATTGCACTGTGTTCAGTGTCAGTGAAAGCATGTTGACATGATTCTGCTCTAAATCTCGAACCAAAGCAGGAGGCAGAATATTTATACACTAATCTCATCTGACCCTGCATGAAAAGGCGTCAAGTGCTTAAGGTCCAGTGAATTGCTTTCCTGTGTTAGTAATAGAGCTAATTACTACAGTGGTACCTTGGTTCACGAATGCCTCAGTTCATGACCAAATCAGTTCATGAACAAAAATCTCAGATATATTTTGCCTTCGTTCGCGAACTCCGCATCGGGTAATGACCACAATCACACCTATCTTCCCTGCACGAGCACAATCACGATCACACCCGTCTTCACTGCATGAGCATGATCGCACCTGTCTCCTCTGAGCACAGTCGTGCCCACCTCTCTCCTCGAGCATGATTGTTATTGCACAATTATTGTTTGTTACTTTGTTTCAAATTTTTGTGATTAATCTGTTCTGTAAGTATTTTTTTTATTTACATTGAACCTTATGGGGAAATTTGACTTGGCTTACGACCAAAATCGGCTTGCGTCCACATTCGTAGGGGTCAGAATGGATTAACCTTATTTACATAGAACCTTATGGGAAATTTGACTTGGCTCGCAACCAATTCGGGTTGCTACCAAACTTGTGAAACAGATTAAGTGCATGAGCCGAGGTACCACCGTATAAGTACTTTTCATGGAGGCAGCACCTTTCTCTTGTATCCTGCTGAAACAAAAAGCACTGCAGTGTTGACATTTAGTGCAGACAATATGGCAATATGAATTTTAGAGTGCAATTAAAATGCAGTCTCTGCTCAAGTATAGTGTGAATGAGAGGATGTAACAATGCTCTAAACCGCCCTCTAGAACAGTCAGCCAGCTGGGGAAATCTTATGACTGGCCATGAGCTAATATAAAATAGATAAGAAATAGATAAGAAATATAAGAAATAGATAAAAAACATAGTTGCCAACTGCATTTCTGATATGTAACAAATCATGCTTGCTAAGAACAAGACATTTAAAAACATTTAGTGAATGTCTTTTCTAATTTCCCATAGATAACGCTGATAGCAGTACACTCCATGCAGTGACTCGACTTCGCACAACAGAGATCTTGACTGTCAATTCCATTGGTCAGCTAAAAATATGGGATTTCAGACAGCAGGGAAATGAACCTTCACAAATATTTTCATTGTAAGCACTTTACTCTCAGATCAGAAGCACCACTAAAGCCAATCTCTACATTATAGCTATATGACATTCAGTTCAGTTAGTGCTTTGTCTACAATTTTTGTTGATTTCCATTCAAAATGTGTTTGCTTCTTTCTTTGCAGGACAGGCGAAAGAGTACCATTACACTGTGTTGATAGGCATCCCAATCAACAGCACATCGTAGCCACGGGTAGCCAAGACGGGATGTTGAGCATTTGGGATGTGAGACAAGGCAGCATGCCAGTTTCCTTGCTAAATGCTCATGAAGCAGAATGTAAGTATCTAAGAAAACAAGTGTCACTTTCTTAATGTCGTGATGTCAATTAAGGGTACATTCTTCCATGTATGAGTTTAGGACCTGAGCTTCAAGAAATTCCCGGAGGGCTCAAAATAACTCTTTCACTTTCCCCCTTGGCACATGTGCATGAGAAGTCTGTATTCACTTCCTGTATCCCAGTCCTTGGAAGAGGCATGCGCACATTTCCACTCCTTGTCAGGGTGAAATGGGGCTTATCAACCATATGGGTATAATTTCAGGAATTGTGTAGGTGCAGGTGCAGATACTATATCCATACCATTGCATTACTCAGATAACTGGAAGGCTGGCAGCAGAGAAGGAAGTATACAAGTTGAATGGAGCCACTTGATATCAGGGTAAAGAAGTAGAAAAAATGTACCTTAGCCATGGCATGTCTTTACTGGGCGTGTAGAAAAAGATGCTCAGAAATTGGTTTCAATTGGTCTATGGTGTGCCCAGAAAGGCCTCTTCTTTCAGGGGTTCAGGAGAATAAGAATGGGCACCCAGCTAGGATTTCCAAAAGTTTGTCAGACTGCTCACCTGCCCTTAGTAAACTCCTCACTGCAAATTAATGTGATGCATCTGATGAAATGGGCAGCTTCTACAAAAGTTTAGGCCATAATGCACTGGTTAATTAAGTGCCAGAAGACGACTAACTTGGTTAAGGGAGATAAAGATGGGTATAGTCTTGGAAAAGACTCACAAAGGGTGGTATAGCCCTGGTATAGTCTGTTGCCAAGGGAATGAGAAGGCAGGCAATTCTCTTCCTGTTTATAAAAGGAGATGGGTGATTTGATTGAATTAGGAAACTGAAAAAATTAAGCACTTACCATTTCAAAAGGTTCCATGCCTGTGTATAAAGGACAGGAACACTCTGTTGTCTATGTGCATTTTGACCCAGCTGCTAGAGCTTCCCAGACAAAATGGAGACTTTTGAGCTAAGGTGCTTGTAAGGAGACACACAACAGAGACACATTAATGACCATGCTGGCCAAAGGTTGAAGTGTTAATAATTGTCCACTGAGATAATATATTCTAGATTTAGCTGAGCATGATGTCAGCTGGTCTCTGGTTTTCCCTGGAGCAGGCACATCAGGAGGATTTTCACTATAGTGGGGTCCCTAAAAGCTGCAAATATTGTAAGCCATCCAGAGAGCCTCCGGGCTATAGGGCAGCATATAAATGTGATGAATAATATGTACATATTGTGTAATATGCTTGTCATATGTTTACTTGTTCAGTGTGGGAAGTGCACTTTCATCCTTCCAATCCTGATCATCTGTTCACTTGTTCTGAGGATGGATCTCTGTGGCACTGGGATGCTTCCACTGATGTATCTGAAAGAAAATCTTTTCTTCACACAGGTAAAAATACAGTTTTGAGTAACTGAATGCATATACCTCATGGTGACAGCAGATCAGAGAAAATAAAGAATAGGATAAGCAACTACTCAACAAACATTTCAAATATGGCTGCACTTGGCTGTCCACTGTTAACCTTCAGTGAATTACTCCTAATGCTGCAAAGGCGTATTTGTTTCTGATGTGATGAGCCCATTACCAAATTAACAGTATTTGGTACAGTCTACATTTAAAGTTCCATATCTGCCCTGAACCTCTTCCTCACCCTAATCTGTGTGTGTATGAGAAAGGGTTGTCATTAAGAAGAGGTATCCTGGAGCATACAAAAGGCTCATTGAATGCAGTGTTCCGTCCCCCAAGGGCCAACCAGATGCCTCTGGGACATCCACAAACAGAGCATGAGTGCAATTGCACCCTCCTGCTCATGTTTCCAGTAACTGGTAACAGGACATACCACTCTTGGGTGAAAATGTCATGTGCATGAAGTACATATTTTCATATGCTTGTGATACTAATTCCTCAGTGAGAAGGCAAGAGCTATAGTTTAACTCGTTCTGGAGGACTAGCATATAATCCCCTATGACAAAGCCCAATACTTCCACATTTTCTCTTACATGGACATATCTGAACCATTATGTTTAATATGTGCTTCTCACTTTTGAATATAAGATACAAGTTAACTTGTTTTTGTGTTTGTTTTTAGGTGGGAGAAACACAACTTATCTGCCTCACACTGCAGCTAGTGAGTCAGTAATAAGTGCATGGCTAAGCAATGATCCTACTAAAGACCGTATGGAGATTACAAACTTAATTTCAAATCCAACATTATCTGTTAATAGTTTAGATATTTTAGGGTCATGTCTGGTTTATGGTACAGATGCAGAATCTATTTATGTTAAGAAAAACCTCTTTGCATGATTTTATTTCTCTAGAGCAGGTCCTGCACTAAATAAGTTAATTTTACCAAAATTGATCCAGTAGTATTTAGAAGAATCGGCTTCTAAATACTAAAATTTGTACCAATTTTGTAGAGCTGTGATTAAACTACAGTTATAATGACAGACAGATGGAATACAACTCATAACAGTTCTTTAAGCATGTAATTCTTACATAAAGTAAACAAACTTGCATTTCTTTATTGTTCATAAGTTGGTTATTCCTTTTTAGTAGTAAACTATCTAAAGCTCAAAAACATGACAAAGGTTAATATGAGCACTTTAACAATTGTCCAATAACTACAAAGAAACTGAAGTACAAATATAGTGGTGATGGACAAAGCTTGCTTTGGGGTATTTTTAAAATGAAAATATAGAGACATCTCACTGATGTTGGATGAAAATACAGTGTTGACAAAGAAGAATAGAAAGATCCTCACTGGGTATATAAATATTACAGTTAATTCATGGAAACCATGAAATGTATTTAAGAGCACCTTTAACGTGACATTTCTTATCTCTAAACATTTAGTCTATCTATTGATAAAATCCAACCTCAGATATGCAGATGATATCTAATGGCAGAAAGTGAAGAGGAACTAAAGAGCCTCTTGATGCGGGTGAAGGAAGAGAGTGCAAAAGTTGGCTTGAAACTCAACATTAAGAAAACTAAGATCATGGCATCCTGTCCTCTCACTTCCTGGTGAATAAATGGGGAAGAAATGGAGATAGTGACAGATTTTATTTTCCTGGGTGCCAAGATCACCGCAGATGGGGACTGCAGCCAAGAAATTAAAAGACGCTTGCTCCTGGGGAGGAAAGCTATGGCAAATCTAGACAGCATACTAAAAAGCAGAGACATCACCCAGCCAACAAAAGAGCGTATAGTCAAGGCTATGGTTTTCCCAGTTGCAATATATGGCTGTGAAAGCTGGACCATAAGGAAGGCTGAGTGCTGAAGGATTGAGGCCTTTGAATTGTGGTGCTGGAGGAGACTCCTGCGAGTCCCTTGGACCGCAAGGCGATCAAACCGGTCAGTCCTAAAGATCAGCCCTGACTGCTCTTTAGAAGGCCAGATCCTGAAGATGAAACTCAAATACTTTGGCCACCTAATGAGAAGGAAGGACTCCCTGGAGAAGAGTCTAATGCTGGGAACAATAGATGGCAAAAGAAGAAGGGGAAGGCAGAAGATGAGGTGGCTGGATGGAGTTACTGAAGCAGTTGGTGTGAGCTTAAGTGGGGGATGGTGGAGGACAGGAAGGCCTGGAGGAATGTTGTCCATGGGGTCGCGATGGGTCGGACATGACTTTGTGACTAACAACACTGATAAAATCACTATTTGGCCTTTAGTATAATTTCATTGGCATTAACACCTTGATGAATAAACATTTGTACTTGAAAGTAAGCATCATGGATTTTAGTGGTGTTTCTTGTTGTTGTTGTTAGTCGCGAAGTAGTGTCTGACTCATCGCGACCCCATGGACAACATTCTTATTTCTGCTTAATTATGCTTGAGTTTAAAAGCATTTCTGAGTTTAAAAAATACCAGACACCAAACTGTGAAATTGTTAAGAATCATAGATTTCATATATTGTTGTTAATGAGAAACTTTTAATATTTGTATTAAATCCTCACTAGATATTGGTGTTCATTTACTGTTTTAAAAGGAACTCAGAGGTGAGGTGCAGTATATCTAGACAGTTGTTTGCAGTCATGCAGATTTAGGGCTAGCAAAGTGCAGGGGATGAGGCTGGGGCAGCAAATTGAACTGGCACAAATACATGACCCCAGCTTTCCCACAGGCCCCATTTTTCCTCTCTGAGGCACAAATGCAACCTTGTAGGGTAGACGGCTGGTGTGGATCTTTCCACTTCTGCAGGAAGAAGGCAGGGGTTTAGCCTTCAGAATCCAATTACCAAGGTCAGGACCTCAGTTCTCAGGCTTCAAAGAATCCTGTGGTCTCCTAGAAGGGGTCAAAACACCGTAAAATTGCACTCTTGCTGAGAAATCCTAAATTTACCTTATGTTTGTCCTGCAGTATGCCAGTGGAAACAGCTGCCAAATGTTATGCCCGCTTAGTTTGTAAAGGGGAAAATGCCACAAAAGGAAATACAAGGCAGATCCCTAAAAATGCAATTGCTGTTAGGGATTGTGTTGGCAACAATGTTCACATACAACGAAGATTCGAAAGGAGCCAATTGAAACCCTTAGTGATGTGGGTATGCCCCTTGGCAAACACATCCACATTGCAACACTGCTAGAATGTCTTCATTCCAGTCCTTGTAATTAACCCCATATAATGAGGTTTGGGCGGCAGGAGATACTTTCGCTAGTAGCCTTGATATTAGCAAGAGACATAGAGCTAATAATAGGGTGTCATGAAAAGTTAAATTGTTGTTCATGATTATTATTTTGGCAGGCAGTGGCACTTGTGGACTTATCTGTCTCAAGAACTAAAATGACTTTAGCAGTCTTGGATATTATGCATGTGGGGAGAGGGGGTGCCACTTGTTCAGGCTCAGGCAGAAAAATGCCTAGAAATGTCCCCTTTTGCCTCTCTTCCCAGAGATTCTCTTCTGCAAACTCTGTGTGTGTGCAATATGAAGCCTCAGAGATAGAACCACATATCCCTCTCATTGAAGTTAAGGGGAGAAAAAATCCTTATGCCATGTCTGGGGATACTGTAAAGTTTTGATATGGAGGTGGGTATGGCCATATAATGAAGGATTTTAAGATTTAGTGTGCTGCTTCCCAGGTGCATATGCCTCTGACCTGTTCCCTCCCATTCTGCTGGTATACTGATACACTCTATTTGCATGGGATATTCCAAGATCCAGTGGCATGGCAGGCTTTGCACTGCTTAAAGCCAGTGGTGCACTTAGGTAATTTTAGATCTAGGACTTAATGGCCTTATGAGAACCCCTTTCAACAACCATGTGACCTGACACACCATGTGTGCTTTCTCCACTCCCATTCCATGCATTACAACTGCTACTACATTCCTGATGTTTTGCTAAGACACTAGTGTTTGCCAGTGATAAGAGAGCCTCAAAATATAGCATCAGCATGTTCATCATAAGCTGGTGTTTGTTTCTGCTGCCTCAAGGCCAAACATTTATTTGATGATATGCACAATTTTAACGATACTATATATTTGTAATCTAGTGTACATGCCCAGTTGAGTATCTCCAGCTGTACAGCCTTCATTAAAAGTACAAAATAATGCTACTCTGAACAACATCAGCTCTGGAGTGCCCCACTTTGTCTCTGCTGGTCCAGATGTTGACGCTTTTTGTCACCACCCCATCACCAACTACTCCCCAGGTAGTGATGGTGGGGATGGTGACGGGCTGAAGAGCTAGTCTGCCTTATGCCACTTCCTAAAGCCCCTCCACCAGTGGAACAACGGAAATAATTTTATTTACATAATGTTAAAGCTGACTTAGAATAAAGTCAGCTTGAAAGCTTTGATTTGGGGCTATTTATGCACAAACGTCTGCAGGATTCAGTTTGCAAAAGCAGAGCTATAGAGACTAGCTGAAGAGGACAAGGACGCTGTCAAGCCTGTTTACTGGGAAACGGCCCCATTTGTGTCCCTCAAGTAAATAGGATCTCAACTGTAAACGTAATTATTGGGTAACTGAGCACCCTAGACAACTGCAAGAAGCTGCGGTCACTTTCACTCCTCTCCGAGCGGGATCTTCCTCCTCCTCGCGGCGCGAACTGGCTGGTTCGTCCGCCTGCGCAGCGCACTTGCGTTCGCCGACTCCTTCTTTCAGAAACGGCGATGCTAGGCCGATGCGTGCTGCAGCCTAACGGTAGAGCGAAATGAGCGGTTGTTCGCAGCTTTGAACAGCTATTCCTTATGGGTGAGAGAGAAAAGTGGCACCTACTGTAGCAAACGGCAGCCCAATTTATATGCGGGCTGTTCGTCAACCCACCTGTAGCCTCCAAAATGGATAATTTAGGGCGTAAACCGTGGGAGGGGTAGGGCTTTTTTCCTGCCTAAAAATACGTAGAATTGCGCCCCCAGACGTTCCGAAAGAGGCAAGCACCGGTTTCCCCACGAGACTTCCAACACTTTTCCCGTGCTAGTCATTTTCGGTGGTCCGACTCTTGATGTGCATCAAGGCTACGATCCTCTTCCCCTTTACCTGGGAGTAGGACCCATTAATTCAGTGGCATCTGATCCGACATGTTCCCGTCTTGCACGATGCGCGCCACGCTACTCCCAACTCGCATTCCAAAGTGGGTGGAGTGGGAGGAGCCAAAGGGAGAAAAGAACCAGCCGGCGAGGTGCGCAAAGGGAGTCGGGAAAAGGTTTTATATCCGGGAATTTTGGGCTACAGGCCCACCGACAAAATGGCGGCCCGGAACTGAACCCCGAAAAAGGGGGGGTGGAAAAGAAATTGCGGGGGGAGGGGACGAGCTGCTGCCATTAACGCAGGGGACCGGAGTCTTGTAGGCATTGTAGGGACGTGCAGACGCCCACCTGAAAATCCCGGATTTGAGGCGCTGTCACCGCCGCCTCTCCTCCAGGTGGGTAGGAAGGTTTGGCTCCAGCTCCGCCTCAGGGAAGGAAACTTGGTGGCTACTTAATAGGGAAGGCCCTGCACGTAACACGCCTTGGCCTGGGGTATTACAACGTTCCGCTATCTTGACAAGAACGGTCCTGCCTGCCATGTATATGAAGCGTCCCCCCATTTTAAAGGGTTACTTTGCTTCCATGCGGGTTCCGCACTTTGACTGGTTCCCGGCCTTTAGCTGTCCTAAGGTTTCCGTACTCAGGACTATCCATTCCTTTGTACCTGGACCGCCCCACACCTTATTTCAGGTTCCCACCCCGTGGTATCTTTTATTGTAGTATTGTAACTTTTAAGAAATTTCGTTGTTCTATTCAGTTTTTCTATCCGGTAATCCAGTTTTCAAGTCAGACCTCACTGTATTCCTTGATGTTGGTGCTTTCCTTTGTTCTTGAGTTTTTGTTGTAAGAAGTGGAAGAAAGTCAGAACTGTTCGGGAACCTTGTTTGTAATGTTCTCTATAGTAGCCGATTCTGTTTTACACGTTTAAAATAACGATGAGGTGAAGACAAAAGAATGAACATTAAAGTAGAACAGTGATTGCTGCAATGTTATTGATTAGTGCCATAACATAAAAAATATTCTGTAACTATCAGAATGACATGCTTTTCTCCATTAGATTTCTTTATTACAATGAAAAAAAAAGGTAGTCAACTTTAGGAATATCATTTTTCTGATATGTATGTTTGAATTTAACTAATAATGTTATGTACCCTTATTTATTATGTACCGTGATTGATACGTTAAAAAAACCTTTAAATAATCTGTAGTTAGCTTTTAAAAAGTATATATTAACTATAATTCCATTTTCAATTGTGTGGAGTCAACAATTTTCATTATTATGTTTATTGCACATTTAAAATCCTTTTATATATTGTACAATAATAAAGCAGGTGTAACAGCAAGAGTTAGAAAAGAATGGAAAATAAAACAGTTCAGGTACATCAAGTTTACTTAAGGAAAAAAAATCTATTTACAGAAGGTGAGCATCTAGCAACCTAGGGGCTTGTTTGTGGGTGGGGGTTGGTGGCTTTGATTGCTTAACAATGTTCCTGAAAATGTGGTGGTTCTGAGGATATAAATACTATTTCAAGGAAAGAAGTCCAGGTTAAAACCGTCATATAAGTAAAATGTCTCTTTCGTCCACAAAATTCATGGTGGTGTTTTGGTATTTATGAACTGCTACATTTTTGGAATTGTTTCATTCAAATACTCCTAAATACAATATTATATCCATTTATTCACAAGTAAGTCTCATGGACTTAAATGGATTTAACTACATTTAACTCTTAAATGTGTACAAGATGGCCATTTGGGGCTACTATTGTATGCATATTTAATTAGAAGTAAGCCCTATTTAACTCACAAATATGACCAAGTAAACAAAGGCTGGATCTGTATACTGTTATAGTTTCAACTTGGTTTTACCAAATAAAACATAATTATTGTTTGTAACATTTGCTACAGATTTGTGGGGCTGAGTAGATGTATCTCCACCTCACTACTTCCCCATTTTGTTGCCTTCTTTTTCTGTGCCCTATCCACACTGAGGCCCAGAGGGAGAGGTGAGTAGAGGTTATTGTTCCTTCTTGTTCCTGTCTCTGCTTGCTCAGTTAGAGCAGGTAGAGTCAGTGACAGCAGGCACGAAGAGCAACAGCCATTGGGCACCATGGGTTGGTAGCAAGCACAACACTGACACACAGCAGCTCAAGAAAGCCATTCTGTGATGCTATTTGAGTTGTTCATGGTCTGAAAATAGTTTAAAGCTAACAACTTTTATTATATTTTTAATGTGCTGTTGTAAACCGCCCAGAAAGCTTCAGCGGTTGGGTAGTATAGAAATAAACAAACTTCAAATGGGGAGAAGTTCTGATCTTTGAAAATAATTGGTAAGTAAAGTCAAATGAACTTTAGCTACAATGACCTAGTTTGCATGATCAAAACAACACACTATGGGTTATTTAAGGCATGGTGGGCTATGGTGTTTGCCAAGTGGGATCTGTCTATTGTTGAGCCTGGCTTTTCTTATTAAGTCATGCAAACGTAGGGACTCTGGTTTGTGCAAGGGTTCAAACTACTAACAACCCTTACATAACCCCATAGTCCCAGGGTTTGTATGACAACAGGCGACAGCCAGATGTTGGCTATTCAGAATGGCTGGTGGCATGCGCTGCAGCTCACTATGGGTTAAATAAGCCACACTGGAATGTTCAGTCATGCAAAGCTATCCAGTGCCCCTTTTGGCATAGTATGCAAGGCATGTACAGTTCTGGTACTGCAAGTGCTTCACTCATTAAAACTGAAGAACTTTAAAAAAAAGAAAAGCAAACTGTAAGCCTCTTTGTAGCAAATTGTTATAAGTTAGTGGGTATACTTTAAAGACTTCTAAAAGTGAAGAGGATTATTCTACTAACCAGTAAACTGCTTCTTGCCATACAAATAAAATTACATTTTCAAAACTTTACCATATGGTACAACAAGGAGAGGCTGTGTAGCAAACCTGATAAGTGATACAGGAATCATATAGCACCTTTCATTCTTGTTCACTTTACTGTTTGTTTATTTAAATTTATATCCTGCTATTCCTCAAGAATGTGCCTGTGATAATTAACAATTGATTTTAAAGTGTACTGGTATACTTTGGATTGTACATTTAAAAAGTGGCATTCTGTTAAAGTACTACTTCCACAGTCAGATTAACTGTCAAAGGAAAATATGTCTGTTGATATGAACTGAAGTAGCTTGGATCTCAACTGTTGCACTGTAACATAAAATTAGGAGATACTGTTTGGTACTTCGAACATTAACTTCCTTTGGACTTTTAGACAATAACTGCAGTTCAGCATATGGATTCTGTCCTCTCTATGTAATCCCATATACCTACTATAACTGGACACAAAATAACAGCATGAAATAATAAGAGTTCTATGACATGAAGGCATGATTTGGTTTTTGCAGTGACAGAATAACTAGCAGCAGTGAAGATATGCCAGTAGTGAGGGTTCAGTATGAACTACCTGTTATTCAAACAGGAAAAGTTAGCAGTTTCTGATGGCTGATGTGTAGTGACTTGCTTACTGTGGTCCAATGATACTAAATGTGTGTAAATTTGTGCTATGGTAGGTAACAAGGCTTATTAACTAAGTATAATAGTTTCTAATGAAGTAACAATGGATTTTATTTATTTAGGTTGGCTGATCAAGGTCTGGATGAATGTTTGTACTACTGGAACCAAGGTCAACAAGGAATTTTTAAGTTTCCATCCAATTTACTTTTGAGTATATTGAAGGTACATCTTTGTTAGAGGTTATACGGTTTCATGAAGAGAAGTGAGAAGCCAGAAGGATATAGACAGATGAGGCCTAAAACTTTTCCTGCCAGTAATTACACTGGCAGCAGTCGACAAATGTTACAAGAAATAAGAGAAAGTCTTAGAAATTTGCCAAAACCTTCTGATGCTGTAAAAGTTGAGCAAAATATTGGTAAAATATCAGCTGAAGATCCCAGACAAGGTCGAAATCCTCCTAAATTTGTGACCTACCATAAAGCTTTACAAGAAATCCGAAATTCTCTGCTTCCTTTTGCAAATGAAACAAGTTCTTCAGCAAGAGGAACATCTGAAGTGAATCGACAGATGTTGCAAGATCTACAAGCTGCTGGATTTGATGAGGTAAAAATGCATATCAATGATCATACAGACAGTTTATGAGAAAAACATGAAGTTGAAATCCTAGTGTATGTTTTCCTTGTGATCGGTTGAATTCAGAAAATTCAGGTTTTGCTGCTTCCTGTATACATTTGTAATACAAGTTGAATGTTTTTGTCAGGAACCTAACTATTTAACTAATAGTACATTCAATTTAAAATGCTTAAATATAATTGCCTAATGGTTATTATGTGAAAAATTGTCCCACTGACTTTCAAAATGATTTGCTTGCCTATATTGGTTATGATTCTGGTCCTTTGCCCAGATGTTTCTGACTGCTGACAGCCTCCTATTTGACTGGTTAATGTCATAAATGTTAATGTATTGCTAAAATCCAGCACTAGTACTCTTTTTCGGTGTGTGTTTCAGTTTGGATCTCATTAGTGCATTACATCTATCTTAGATTGCGAAGAGAATTAGTCCTTGTACCTAGCACACTTACTCTCTAAATAGTAATCCACATACTTAATAGTGCTTTTCAAGCTGTGTTCATCAGTATATTAACTAGCCTTTAAGATCAGTGGACAGGTTGTAACACTGCAGATGCCTTGGTCTACAACCCCATAAGCCCCTACATTGGTTTTATTGGCTGCCATGAGCCCTAGCTTGGCTAGGCTAGCTAAGATTCATGGGAGATATAGGGCCAAACATTAGGAGGGTCACAGATTGCTCACCCCTGCTTTAAAATGTCTGTTGGACTTAATTCTGCATGTACATGTTTAAGATTGCATGATAAGTGCTTTTAAAACTTAAACATTTCATATTTCCCTTTTCCAGTTTTATGCAATATACATATATAGATGAACATCTATGTACAAATATCAGTCAGTACATGTGAAATGCATTCATAAGCACATTCAACTTACTAGCAATTATACATAGACTTCAGCAAAAGATATTCAAATATGTACCCATTTGAAGATGGTATCTATATATTTAAATATGGAAATAATTGTTAGGTCCTTAATCCACTGCATTATAGGATGCAAGTGTTTATCTTGTCAGGGTTGTTGCTCTTTTAGCTGTCAAAAGAGCATAGAGAAACTTAAAATAACTTGATTATTTTAACAAATATATTTGAAAAAGTAAATGACTCAGAAGTTTGTTTGGTGAGCAAAAGTCTGATCTTCTGTAACCCCAGCGTGTTCCTACCAATCTTGTGTAGAATTGTCTTGTGGTCAAAATGCATGGTATCCAGTAAGTTCTTCCAACAGATGGAACTCCTTCCATCAGCAAAAAGGAGATGAAAATGATTCACCCTTCCCCTTGCAGGCCCCAATGTGCCCTTAAAATCTGCTGTGGAAATTTTCCGGTGGTCCAGGAACAAGAAGTGCAGGATGAAGAATAGATATTCCTATTGCATGAATAGACTTCTGCTCATGCAACAGTGGATTTCGCCCAGTAGTATGCTTTCTCTTAATCTGCTATTTCTCTTTTATGTTGGGTGCCTTATTTCTTACAGGACAGTGAGAAGCAGTTTCTTTAAATCAGGGAAGGGGTATATGTAACCCTCCAGAGATGGCTGTACTGCAGCTCCTACCTTCCCTCACCTTTGACTAATTGCTGGCAGGAGCTGATGGCAATTGCAGTTCAGCACAACACATTCCTCACCCCTGCTGTAAATTATAGGCACAGCAAATAGGAAATAGGCACTAGCAGCTGAAAAATCATTCAACAAGAACAAAACCAGAATCTTGTTCTTATGTAACTATTTCTTGAGCTTTAGGATAATATTTATTGATTTATTATTTCAGTTAGCTCTTAGGCATTTTACAACAAATCCTAATATTTCTAGAAAACCTTAGTCTAGTTATAGTAGCTAGCTAACAGTTTCATGTATTTTATTAGTGTGAGGAAACCAAGAAGTTTAAATGCAATGAATTGCAGAAGACTATTTCTGAAATCTATCAAAGCTAATTTTTTGATAGATTTCAGAAAACATTTGAGGTGTTGTTGGCTTTTGTAGAGTTTGCTGCAATTTGTTACAAACTTTATGATGGTTTTAATTGTTTCATTTTTTGTTGCTTTCAACAAATAGGTTGGTGTGTGCAGTTCTTACAGTAGGCATGCATTCAGTTTCACAGGAATTGAATGCTGGGCTTTTATACCTAGGACTACTGTGCTTTGGATTTATATATGGAAGAGACTGAGATCTAGAGGTGACCACTTTCACCATTTCTCTTGCACTCCCTGGGCCACTTAGTATGCCATTCTGGAGACTTCCTTGACCCCTCTGGAACAGCTTTTCATAGGGCTGAAGCAGGAGAATTGGCAAAAACTGCCTTCCTTACCTTTTCCAGCAGGAGAATTCTTTGTTCAGAACTCTGTATATGCAACTCAGTGATTCCAACAATCAACTCCAAAATTCGTCCATGCCAACTAGGCTAAAAGGGGTTGTATGAACAAACTAGATTTAAATATATTCCAGTAGTAAATGGTTGTTTTTAATACTGTTTTGTTGTTTTAAAAGCTAGATTTAAAAGTCAGAACAAAGAAAAGCAGGCAATTAACAAAAATGCAGTCAAATTATAAGGCTTTATGAGGCTTACAGGATAAAAATCCATTTTCATATGTATTTTCTTGAAAGTTTCTTTCCCAGTTTTGTTTTGTTTTACTAATGATTGTTAGTCTCCTTTTCCCCCTTTCACTGCAATTTACCTGGAGTCTTCCCTATAGCTTCTGTTTATAGCATTCCTTTTGTGTATATTAGCATTCATTTTATGAAGCGGCTCTATGTCTACTTTTCTTTTTCTGACTTTTGTCTTCCTTTTTCAATAACTGTTTGTCTTGTTGTCATTTCTCACAAGATGTTTCCATGAATAAATGAAACACATTTATATATTGCCTTTCACCCCCAAGTTGCTCATAGTTTTAAGTTTAACTTACCTAAAATCGAACTATATGTCTTTGCCCCTCTTTCTATGGATGTACTGTTTTCTCTTGGTAATGATACCATCTTACTTTTCAGGTATAGAACCTAGGAGTCCTCTTTGACTTTTCTTTCTCCCTTTTCTGTTGTTCATGCTATTGCAAAAAATCTTCATATTTAAACTTAAATATGGCTAAATATTCATGTTTTTCTCCCCCCCCCCCAAAAGTAAAGACACTGGTTTATTGTGTTGCTCTTTCCTGGCTTGCTGAGTGTACTTCTCTTCTGCCTACATTTGCTCTTTCTTCAACTTCAGCCTTTCTTCTTCCTTAACTCTGCTGTTCATTTTGTTCACAATTTTTCTTTGTTACATTTTTTTTCATTGGCTTCTGTTTCCTTTAAGCTTTTGCTTCCTGTTCCTAAATCTCATAGTGCTCTCATATCAATCCTCTCTTCATTTTATTTCCTTTCTTGTGGTTTTCATTCTGGTGATGCCTTTTGGGAAATCCTTGGGTTGCTTCCTCTATTTAATACTACTCTGGATTTTGCCTTACTGCTTTTGGATTGTGAAATAGGGAGGAGGAATTGCAAAGGAATGTGGCAGTTGCAAGACATGTTACTCTTACTTCTTCCAATTTCTTACTTTCTGCCTGCTAGTAATTAGGAAATATTGCTTTGCATGGAAGGGTAATAGCAGAGTTTTATTTTATTTGTAAGTATTTCAAAAATGTTCTGGCCACTGCTAAAGTAATGTTGTATTTCAACTAAACAGGGTTGTTGTGAGAGTAAAATGCAGAGGAGGAGGAAGAGGATCATATACATGTCCTTAGCCTTTTTAAAGGAAGGGTGGGATATAATAAAATAAATCAGGAGCATTTAATTTCAGCATTTCAGGTAGAACCTGCAACAAATATACTGAAGTACATCTTTACCTCCTAATGGAAGTGGTCTGTCAGGAGCATGAGCTGGCTACTCCATTCTTCCCTGGTAGTGCTCTTGTTTCGTTTTGTTTCATTTCATGGCTGGCAGTTAACATTCCATATTTACTGGAGGCCATTCAGGATGCTTAGTCCTCATTGAACTGCTGTTGGGGAGGGCTTTGCAGCAAGGAGGTATTTTTAAAACTTTTGCTTGTACTTCTGCTTACCTTGTGAATTACCCACATGCTGTTTCCTTCCCCTTCTCATTTCTTCATGACTCTGTTTTAGTTCCTGTGCTGTTGACACAGGGCATTAAGTTTGCTCCTAGAAGGAATGGTTGTAGTTCATTCAATATTGACATATTTATATCTTTGAATCCAACTGGAAGTTTGTAGCATATTATTTAAATACTCACAGAATACAGTCTCCTGGCACAGAAATGTTGCACTGTGTTTGAATGTGATGCTTTCAGTACTTTTTGTCATAAGTAAATGGTTTATTCTGAAATCTTTTTTCCACATACTACCTCCCCAAATAGGATATGGTCATACAAGCTCTAAGACAAACCAACAGCCGCAGCATAGAAGCAGCAATTGAATTCATAAGTAAATTGAGTTATCAAGATCCTCGGCGTGAACAAATGGCAGCTGCAGCAGCTAGACCAGTTAATGCAGGCACAAAACCACCAGGTATATGTACCCAATATATTATCTTGAAAAGATAAATGATACTAGTTTCTGGCAGGATAGAAAGGAATAAACTGAAGCAAAATATAGCAACTGGACAGTAAAGACAAACTATTTGAACTCAGTGATTTCATTGGTATATATTACAAATATTTTCATAATATTTGGTGTTCTTCAAATGCTTCTTCAGTTCATTTTGCATACTCAGTGTTTACTATTTGCATTTCCATTTGGCTGGATGGAAGTAGCATTATTTCATATTTCAGAAGAATACTTAATTAAAGCAAAGTTCTTTTTGATATAACTCAGACATCAATCTTATATGCTTACCTGGTAGTAAGCCCCATTGAACAGTGTTGGACTGGCCACACATCCTCGCAGCACTGAACAGCAAATGTGTGCAGTGCACAGACTGCATCTACTTTCTGTAAACAACCTCCAGTCCGGGCAATTGGAGCTTGTCAGCAGAATATGTGAACCCAGACTAATGGGTTGTTTAGGGCCTAAAAATCATCTGGCAATTAATTTAAGAAACCTTGGATCAACCATTGGGTTGTTTAGCTCCTAAAGACTCAATTGGTCTAGGTTTGCACGTCTGATAAGAGGTTGCTTACAGAAACCAGAAGGGATTCTCAGGTGGCACACAACTCCATGGATCGTGGGTTATGTGGCCCATGATTTGGTGCTATGACATGAGAATCAGGTTTGTAACTCTTGCTTCCATGGCTTGCATTACCAGTCTCTTAACCACAATGATAGATCAGCTTTCACTTTAATCTTACCTTATTACAATGGAAACTGTTAAAGGCTTTAGCTTTAAAAACCTTTAAAAATGGAAACTCTGATCCATCATCCACCTTGCTTTGTAAAGAAGAATCAAGTGGGAGAAGTCTGACTTGAAGACATGTATATAACATAACACAACAGGTCAGGTCAGGGTATGGTATGGTATGTTATGAGCATTTATGGTTCAACAAAATGAAACAGGAATTTGGGGAGAATCCAACTTAAATTGATCAATTTTAAGTACCAATTATTATTAATAATATTTCTGTACCATACTATGTTCTCTGGATGGATCACCATGGCAAATAAAATAAAAGATAACAAACATTTTAAAAATAAAATACAGAATTTAAAAGTCAAATGAGCAACCAAATTTTAAAAGCCTATAGCACAATAGGCTTACGTGCACAATTGTGCACTTAAATTTGCACAATTTAAGTCACAAGACCTGTTAAACAGTTGACATAATGCCTGAGTATAATATAAAACTAATTAAATGCCCTTTCATAAAGGACAGTCTTAAGCTTGTGCTGAAAAGATACTAAAATTCACACCAAGTGGGACTCAGTGGGGAGCTTGTTCCATAATGGCGGGGGCGGGGGGGAGCTGTCACTGAGAATGCCCTTCTTGTTGCCACCAAATGAGCCTCCCTTGGAGGTGGCAATCAAGAGGCAGGCCCCAGATTTTGACTGCAATATATGTGTCAATCCAGGCCTTGCACGACTTTGTAGGTTAAAACCAGCACCTTGCATTGGACTCCGGAGTATACAGACAGCCAATGTGAGCGGTCCAAAATTAGTGTCATATGCTGTGACCTTCCGGTCCCTGATATTTGACTGTCACATTTTGCACGAGCTCCTGCATCTAAACTGTCTAAGGGGCAGCCACACATAAAGTATGCTGCAATAATCAAGTTTAGAATTACCAGAGCATAGATTACTGATTTCAGGCAATCCTTATCCAGATAAGGGCATAGCTAGGCTACTAGCCAAAGGCTGTGGAAGGCAGCCTATGCAACTAAGTCTGCAAAGATGACAAAGATGACTCAAGGAGCACCCCTAAATATGAACCTGCTCAGTCAAGGGGACTGTTCCCATCAAGAACAGGTTGAATTTCCTCCAGCAGATCAGAAGAACCATCACTAACAGCATCTCAGTCTTGTCTGAATTCAGCTCAGTTTGTTAGCCCTCATCCTGTCCATTGTTGCACCAGGTTCTGGCTCACATGACATGACAACTGGCTGTGGGTAACCAGGAATGGTGGGTTGTCTTGTTGTGTAAACCTGGAAAGTTTTGTAGTGATGTGGGGCAGACATTTCTCCAATGTTATATTTTTCCATGGAAAATTTTCCACACCATATATGCTTGTATTTGTCCAAAATTGTCTGGGTTGTAATGCAGTGAGTCATGTTGTATGGGCTAAATATAGGATCTGGACTGCCATATGTTACTCTCTACAGGAAGCAAAAAAAACCTGTAGTGCTCAGTTTCCCACAAGGGTACAAAAATACAACCCCTTCCTGTGGTTAATTTGAGCTAAGTCATAATGCCAAAAGATGAGAAGATTAGTGTATGACATCACTATGGTAAAATCATTGAAAGAAGAAAAGCAGTTTGTAACTGTAAATATAACAGGCAGGACTATGTTAACAATCTATCAAGAAAGAAGACTTATTTAATAACATATAGAAACTGTCCTGAGTAAAACAAGACACATACAGGAAGCTGCTACAAAGAAGTAGTGGAATTCATTAACGGAAGCATCCACTTCTGCTGTTTCTGGAAAACACACAACATTGCAGTTTCCTGCAGGGTGGCTTGTTCATGGTTCACATGCCATCTCGACCAGTGGCACGTGAACCATGAACAAGGCAAACCAGTTGCTTGTTATGGAGTTGCTGGAACCATAATGGGTTGTCAGGTGGGTGACAAACCCAGTCATTGGTTTCAAAAAGCCATGAGCAAGCTGCTTGCCAAGAGTAGCAAATACCTCCTGAGCTAACCTGAACCAGTAACAGCTTCCCCACCAACTTACAGGCAGCACAGTGTAACAACCATCACTGCCCCCCTTGTCAACAAGGCTAACTGTGAAGAGAGACTAAAGGCATGAGTGATCTTTGCTCATGAAAGAGAATGGTCAGTAGATAGGCCCCTTTGTGGTGAGATCTTTTAGGGTTTGCAGGGGAGGGTGTCCTCACACTTTTTCACTCATTCCTGAGATTCTAGGTACTTAGGAAAGTAGAAAAGTGCAGGACACCCATTTTACAGGGATATAGAGCTTTGACAGCTCCTAAAATTATGGTTCCTTTGAAAAGGGCTTTTCTGACAGGCTACCTGTGCTGTTTTGGCAGGAACATATGCATCTGTGCCTCTGTAATGTTTTAAGAGTTGCTGTCAACTCTCCAGGATCTTCCATTCTTTTCTGGTTCATAAACTTGAATTTATTTCTTTCCAAAATTAGAGTTATTTTAAATGAATGTTTTTAATCCTCAGATGAATATTTGATATGATCTGCTGTAACTTATAATTGAAGTTGGCTTCTGTTTCTATCAAGCATGTTAGTTCCTGTTTAAAATTTCTGATCTGAAGTAAGAATGCAGTCAGTAGTAAAAAAAATTGTAATGTGGGTATGTTTGTATTTTCTTCAAATTAAAAAAAGCAGGAGGAGTACAACAATCGGTTAACCGCAGACAGAGCTGGAAAGGTTCTAAAGAATCCTTGGTGCCTCAGCGACATGGTTCTGCACTGGGAGATGGCCTCCCTTTTCATTCAGAAAGTCCTATTTCTCAGGCTGATGTAGGAAGACCCTTATCTGGCTCTGGAATTACAGCATTTGTTCAGGCTCATCCTGGCAATGGCCAGAGAGTGAATCCACTACCTCCACCTCAAGTAAGGAGTGTTACCCCTCCACCACCACCTCCAAGAGGAACTACTCCACCGCCAAGAGGAACTACTCCACCTCCTTCTTCCTGGGAAACAAATTCTCAAACAAAACGGTATTCTGGTAACATGGAATATATGATCTCTCGTATTTCTCCAGTACCACCAGGAGCATGGCAGGACGGTTATCCTCCCCAATCTATGAATCCATCATCTATGAATCCTCCTACACAGGGACAAAGAGGCATTAGTTCTGTTCCTGTTGGCAGGCAACCAATAATAATGCAGAGTTCGGTTAACAGCAAATTTAGCTTTTCTTCTGGAAGGGCTGGCATACAAAATGGCAATTGTCAGACTGATTATATTGTTCATCAAAATATTGTGCCTGGAAACTCATCAAATCGTCAACCACCTCCCTACCCAATGTCTCCACCAAACCGGCAAAGCCCTACACCTTTGCAGATGCAAGCAGGGGGACCTGTAGCCCATTCATCACATCCTAGTGGGAACATTCCTCAATCTGTGATGGTACCAAACAGAAACAGTCACAATATGGAACTGTACAACATAAATATTCCTGGAATTCCAACATCCTGGCCCCAGTCATCCTCTGGCAATGGACATGAAATCTCAGCATGGCAGTCCAATATTCCAGTAAGGTCAAATTCTTTCAACAACCCTCTTGGAAACAGACAAAGTCATGCCACTAATTCACAACCTTCTGCCACCACAGTAACTGCTGTTACTCCTGCTCCTATACAGCAACCAGTAAAAAGCATGCGTGTATTAAAACCAGAGCTTCAAACTGCTTTAGCTCCTACTCACCCATCTTGGATTTCCCAACCAATGCAAGCTGTCCAGACTATCTCCTTTCCAGATGGTCCATGTACAAATATGGCAGTCATGCCGCCTACAGCAGAAGCTCCAAATTATCAAGGCCCTCCACCACCTTACCCAAAACACCTTTTACACCCAAATCCATCTGCCACGCCATATGACTCTGTGACAAAACCTGGCAAAGAAGATCAGTCCTCTTTCCCTAAAGAAGAAGATAGTGAAAAGAATGAAACAAGTGAGGCAATAGATAAAGAAAAGAAGCAAATAACGACATCACCTGTCCCTGTTAGAAAAAACAAGAGAGATGAAGAAAGAAGAGAATCTCGCATTCAGAGCTATTCTCCTCAGGCTTTTAAATTCTTTATGGAGCAACATGTGGAAAACATACTCAAATCCCATCAACAACGACTGCATCGTAAGAAACAACTAGAAAATGAAATGATGCGGGTAAAACCATTTAATTATTATCCTTTCTATTTTGCTTCTGTGTACAATGCACTTTACGTTTTTCTAGTATTAACCATTCAAACATTCTGTAAGGCACACAAAGCCCACTATCAGAGATTTACACTCAAATACTATTGTCTACCCAGAAATCAGTTGCATTAAGTTGAGTGGGATTTACTCCAAGACCAAACATTGTTCATCTGCAGACTCTCATGCATATATCCAGTACATATTTGTCACAGTTGCTAAGAATTAATACACAGATATAATTGTTTTATGTTTTCTGATGGTTACAGCAGATCTCCAGATATGTTACGATACCTTATATCTAGCAATAATAGAGGAGTAGGAGATAATTACAGTAGATTTATGCATATCGACTCAGAACAAAATCCCATTGCTCCCAGAGTAAGCTTATATAGGAATGCAATATTAGTTATAAATACCAAGTTTTGTTTTTTTTAAATAAATAATAGGTGTTCATGGACTTGACTCCAGAGGCTAGAGTGCACAAGGCATTTGGCTTCTTTGCCATTTTGTTCTGAAAGGTTCTTCCAACATTCATTAATGGATCAGGGTCAGGGTGCAGAAAAAAGAGAGAGGTAGTAAACCCTTTTTCATGAATGTCTCCATTCAAGAATAGAACCAAGAATCCAAAGAGTAGCCTTTACCATAGATGAATATTATGAATAGCACTAATTAAGTTTTGAGCACACATATTCAAATACTGAATATACCTCCCAGTTGCATCAAAATAACCTACATTTAGAGTCTTAAAGTTAATCTTTACAGATTCGTTGATTTATGTGAAATATGCTGACAAAACAATTTAGTACATTACCTGTACATTACACAAGCAGTCTAAATACTTTTATTGAATGGCAAAGGAATACAGCTCAGTTTGTTCTGGCTGCCCTGCCTAACTTCTTCCATGTGCACAGTTGATTGTTTCAGAAATATTCTGCTAATATTTTTAAATAGTTATTCCTTTGCCAACTAATAATAGTTATTGTGGTTTCTCAGCCAATGACTTGGATCCTGAGAAACCCCCTCTATTACTGAAGGAGGTCTGATCCAGCAGAGGATCCTGCTGGATGGACAGGGAGACACTATTTGCCAGTTTCCTTCCATAACCTCCAGTGAAACTTCTGCTGTCTTCTGAAGGGTCCCTCAGCCCTCTGAAGCAGATTTTCACCTTTTTCCTTTCTTCCATGTTATGCATAGAATTCCAAGTGCAGTCAGAAGCTGGCTGATTCCACATGGTTGTACCAGGGACATAAATATTCATTTGTCACATCAGCAGTTGTAGATTCCAACAGAAGACGCTAATATCATTTTTGTAGCCCCTGCTTGTGACTTGCAAATTGTCATTAGTAGAAATAGAACCTGCTGCCATCTGACAACCATAGGGTTGGATCCAGATCTTTCAGCCTGCGAGGAGGGCATGGCTTCTGTGTTCTGCCCCGTGGGAGGGCACATAGGGAACAGTAGAGAAGGGAAATACATGTAGAAGTTCCATTCCACAAGCATTTTCCTTCTGCTGGCACATCTGAATCTATCTAATGAAATGGGTCTAGAAGTACTAGTAGTTCAATGGATTAGAAGATTTATTACATCATAAAAAGTGTATAATTGAGTATGAAAATTTTCACTTACCTTAATTTGGAAAGGATTTGTTTATGGGTTTTGACACAACAGGGGTGTGTACACAAACCTGTAGAATTCCCTCTGGTTATAAAAACTTGTAAAATAGACATAGAAATGTCAACTTCATGTTATCTCTTTCTAGTTTACAGTGTACTTTCCCTTGAAACTAGAATGCTTTTCTCAGCTTCTGTCCATTCTTTAGAAGTGCCATTTTAATTATTTTCAAAAACTCAGTTAAAGTATATGTTGCTATGAAATAGTAAGCTAACCGATATGTTGTTTGAATTCAGTTTCTTGCTCTATGTGTTCATTCTTAGCCTCTTTCCTTTTCCTTTTCACTTCCACTAACAGCTGATTTAAACTATTAAGGTGTTGGAAGCTTTCCTGACATCTGTAGTCTTCTATACATGGGTAGGCAAGTAAAATTTTGGAGACAAGTATTATCTTTAAAGAATAGCATGGACCCTTCTTGAGGACTCTGCATGCTTACCTGCATTTAAATGAAGCATGTCGTCTTTCACTGTACTTGGATATCTTTATATCGGATTACTAATCTTTACTTGAATGTAAATCTTTTCCTGTTTTATAGCATTTTATTGTTTCTGCTCTGCAATAGCACAGGGACAATGATACAATTACACAATTAAGTTTTGTTTAATTCTACTCAAGTGCCTGGTTCATTTTTTTTTTCCAAATACTTATCTATGGCACATTTTTTGTTTGGAAATTGTGTTTAACAAAAAGCAATTTATACTTATTCTAAAGTGAAGAATAGATGTAGAAATGCTACATTTGGGTTCTTTTAGTGCATTGCAGTCTTGACTAGAGATTACTTTCCTTGTAAATAGAACAAATCTTACAGATATAGCTTAGTTGACCATATGGAAATGTTTCTGTGGAAGAAAGTAGTCAGAACCTTAATTTCTTCCAAACATGTGGCTTCTAGGGTGACAAAGCTTTTGCATTCAGCCTGCCTATTTTCACCAGCCAAGTACCCTGTCAGAACAATTGTCCCTAAATCTTGAGCCTTGTTGTGCATGGCTCTCTGTGTATGGCTTTGTTTATAATAATTTATAATCATTCCTTTTAACCATCCCAAAGACTCCACATTTTGTGTTATACTTTGTTTTCTTTGATCCTAACATGTTACAGTACAAAAACTAAAACAATAAAAAGGGAAGCATTAGTCCCTGTGTAAAGACCAATGACTTTTATTTGCTTATTCTAAATCAGAGCTTCTAATCATTCCCTAAAATAAGTTTTTTTCACTTCAAATTTTCATGTTTGTTGCATAGGTTGGGTTATCTCAAGAGGCCCAGGATCAAATGAGGAAAATGCTATGCCAAAAGGAGTCCAACTATATCCGTCTCAAAAGGGCTAAAATGGATAAATCAATGTTTGTTAAAATTAAGACCCTTGGAATTGGGGCATTTGGAGAAGTCTGCTTAGCAAGAAAAGTGGATACAAATGCCTTATATGCAACAAAAACTCTACGGAAAAAGGATGTGTTGCTTCGGAACCAGGTTGCTCATGTCAAAGCTGAGAGGGACATCCTTGCAGAGGCTGATAATGAGTGGGTAGTTCGTTTGTACTATTCATTCCAAGATAAGGACAATTTGTACTTCGTAATGGACTATATTCCAGGAGGAGATATGATGAGCCTCTTAATTCGAATGGGGGTCTTCCCAGAAAATATGGCCCGGTTCTACATAGCAGAACTGACCTGCGCAGTTGAAAGTGTTCATAAGATGGGCTTCATTCATAGGGACATAAAACCTGATAACATTCTAATTGATCGTGATGGCCACATCAAATTGACTGACTTTGGGCTTTGTACTGGCTTTCGGTGGACACATGATTCCAAATACTACCAGAGTGGTAAGAGAAGCATTTTGTCCAAAACTGGCCTTTTGATGCTAGACTATTAGCATATATAGAAATAAAATGTTTTTTCTTAAAGTGCTTTCTAGCAGGTCCTACTCATTGCTACTCGGATGACGTTCTGGTGAAGTAATGATCACAGCAACACTCATCTCCATTATCCATTAAGATAGGATGCTCCTTGCAACTATGCCAGTCTTCAAAAAATATTAATGAGTACTGCTGAATCATATCAGTTTTAGGAACATATGATGAAAGATCAAGAAAAGGTTATTCCCGTTTTCCCCTCCAAGTGGCTCTTTGGCATGCATACTGTTTTTTATTACTGTAAAAAACACTTTCAAAATAAAAGCAACTTGTGTGTCTATTTAATCCCTGTACACATTTAAAAACAGGAGAAAAATGGAATGTTTAAATTTCCAGATCTTTTATATTTGTTTAGTATTTTTAATATATTTAATTTTGTTCGGTAACTAGTAGTTTATATTCTGTTTTCAGAATTAGCCACTCTGATACAGAGCCTTTTGTGTGCTTCAAAAATGATAATTCCTGTAAAAAAATCTACAAATTGTTTTTCCACAAAACAATTGTGTTAGTTCACCTCTAAATTTGTTGCCAGTCCCTCTTAGTACATTAGTGCCTGAAAAAGGAATAAACAACTCTCTTACAGTTTTAATAACTGCTACAGTTGTAATAACTGCTCTGTCTGATTACTGGTAGCATTAATTTCTTACTGTGAATGTTTCTTCCTGTGACAGACCATATTTATTAAATGCAAAAAATATTTTTAGACACATATGTAAATGAATAACATGAAAACGAATGACAAACATTGTAACATTTTCTAAAACTACATTCAGAAATTTGTCATCTGTTGTACATTACTCTAACTTGTAGCCATGCAGGTATAGTTACTCATTCTTACATACAGAAAAAGAGTGGCTAAATGGGTTAGCCTTGGAAACAGATGAAGCTAAAGAAGCACAGATGATAATCAGGAGACGTAGATAGCAAAAAGAGAAAAGAGCCAATTAATCAAGTGAAATGTTCCATTGTGGATAGAAGGGAGAATTTGTAGTCACTCAGTAAGTAAAAAGGGCACTTTATTAATGCCTTTTATATCTTGTATTTTCCACATTCTTGGACTAAGCCATAACAGTAAAATAAGTTTTGGCCCAAGTTATCTCTCTCAAATTAAAACAAACTGCCTATTAAATTAAAGGGGCTGGATGGGGAGAAGAACTGAGGGAAAGATATTTACTTTTAGGGCCTGGAAGAATTTTGCTGTAAATAAGGGCCAGCTTGTAGAGAAAAGGATGTCTGTAATTTCTGGTCACTTAGAAGGGAAACCACCTATGAAAGACTCCTCTTGTAACTTATATGGACTTACTACAACATGACATTTCAAACACTCTTGTTACATAGATCTAAGTACATCCTTATAAATGGCTTTCAAGCATTCCTTGTTAAAGTAAAATGCTCTCAAACCCAATTTTCTTGGCTTTTTTTCCCCTCCAGACATATTAGAATTTTATCCCTTTTCCTTAAGGAATGTGTAAAGACTTTTAAAAGAATGTACAGGACTTGATTAGCAACTGCGGGTTAAACCTAATAAAAGCACTTGTTTTTTTGCATTATAGGTGATCACCCACGACAGGACAGCATGGATTTCAGTAATGAATGGGGAGATCCAGCAAGCTGTAGATGTGGAGACAGGCTAAAGCCACTTGAACGTAGAGCAGCACGTCAGCATCAGCGCTGCCTTGCACATTCGCTTGTTGGTACACCAAATTATATTGCACCAGAAGTATTGTTGCGGACAGGTAGATAATTCTGTTACTTCCACTCCTCAGTGAAGTAAATTGACTGTTAATTTCTGAAAATGATTACTCCCCCAAAGCAGACTGATCTATGAGAACCATAGTCTTACAAGACAGTTGCATCGAACTCTTGCAATGTGTTTAGCACGGTAATGCAAATATTTTTTTATTGGCTTGTACGTTTTAACATTCCAGCCAACCAGATTCACAGACTCCTCAGTTTGTGACAGAATCCTGTTAAATAAACACTTTCTTTTGAAAGCGGGTGACCCTGAGAATATTAATTTATATAATAATGATTACTGTCACTCAAAAAATACAAATAAAATTTGGGATTAATGGATAATCTCTTGGATTTTATTAAAGTTCTTGTACCTCTTGAAATATAACTTGGACATTTGCAAAATTTTTCAGCATAATGAAATACTGTATTTCAAATATATTGTGATACTTTATGGTCTTAAATATTACATCACTTTTTACATTTTTATTGCATATAGCAATGTAACTATTCTGCTACATAGTGGTTACACTGGATTAATTTGTATGCAGTCTTTCCACAAAAGAAATTATACAGAAACAATAGTAGCAATGCATAGTACTAGCATCAATTAGCAATTCAGTAAATTGATAGCAATTCATTTCAGGAATACTTAACATTTCAGGAATATTTCAATAACAATTTATAGAAAATACTTAATGATGTTTAAAAAAAACCCAAAAAACTGCATATATATTAAAATGTGTAATACAAAAGAAGCATTAATGGCTAATCCCAAAAAACCAAGCAAGCTGCCTTGGTCACCTGCCTCGCAATTACCTGGGGTAGACCTCACTATGCCCTTCCTAACACTAAGGGCATATCAGCATACCTTTCCTATCCTGGGAGTAAATGGGATTGCAATTTCTTTTTCTATAATGGCAGTCTCATTCTTTTCTCCCCAGCCCCTGCCCACAGTTCTACCAGCAGCCTGTTTTTGAAGGTTTCTGGACCAGAAGGGCTGAGCATACTGGTGAAAACCACTGTGTGGGAGGAAAACCATGCAGCTAGAATTATTCAGCCTTCACCCAGGCAGTATTCTGGTTCAGTAATAGCAATCTTGGATTAATTTTTGAAGAATAATCTTTGACAAGTACATTTAAGAGTTACATGTAGTAGAAAAATGAAAAATGCAATTTTATAAATTAACTGCTACTTTTTCAAAACAAATCCAGAACCTTTATTGATTAACAGTTGAATTTCCTTTTTCAGGTTATACTCAGCTGTGTGACTGGTGGAGTGTTGGAGTGATTCTTTTTGAAATGTTAGTGGGACAGCCTCCTTTCTTGGCACAAACACCATTGGAAACACAGATGAAGGTAACAGAAAATCTAGTGTCAAAGTTGTTCTAGAAGTGGTTCAGAAATCACATTTTGACATGTTATTTCTCTTTCTTGTTCACTAACTACAAGAATTACTCTACACTGAAATTAGAAGAACATTTTTGTCATGCTTCTTTAGAGATTATTTGTAATTTCAGTGTCATTTTGCTTGGTAGAAAGGTGAATATAAATCATATAAGTAGGCCTGAGCAGATGCCTTCTTTGGACAAGGGGGAGATAAATAAATATGGAGGATATAGCTCACTCTGCCTATATCCTCAAGTAGGGCTTTGATGCTCAGGGCTGCAAAAGTAACAACGCTGCTCACAGAATGCATTGTGACCACACCAGCAGGAGTATTGGACTATTTTTCCTATGAGCCTGAGCATCTGTTCCCCTTAGAGCATTGTAGATAGACCCTGGGGACATAATAGATACTGAACTGGTGTTATCGTTTTTTCCTTATGGTGGGAAAAATTTGGGTAAAACCAGAAACAATCTCCTGGGATTTGGAAAAAAACTTATATTAAGAATTAAGCCTATCCTTAAGGAAGTACTCCAACCCTTTTGTCATAGACAACACAGTTATTTTCTGTTGGAACCTGTCAGAAGTCCTCTGCCAGCTTTTGATAATAGAAGAAAGAGTGCCCTAAGGAACTTGGCAGAAGCATGACTTTCCCCATGAGCTCCTTCAGTGGAACAATGCATGGTGGTGGTCCAGTTCATCTGTGGAAGTGGAGGAGGAGGAGAGAGTCTTCCTGCAGGAATCTTGAATGTGTTGATGTCCACTGAGAGTTAAACCAGGAATTCCTGCTAAAGCAGGAACACGCATGCCATCATGGAATTGGCTGCTACTGAGTTAATGGGAAGAGATTAGGATTTATGGAATTGGCATGGCTATGTCATCCTCTCTCATTTTTATCAAGAGATTCCCCAGTATCTTTGGGCACCCAAATTGAGATATATATGCTGCTGTTAGGTAGTCAACAGCAGGAATTTTGGGTGTGTTCATGAAGGCAAAGTACTAAAGTGCTTTGGTAGCACTGTCAGATCATTTTTCTTCCTGGATATTGATCCTGACCACTGAGAGGAAAGCACATCTCAGAGCTTTCCTACTTTGCCCTTTATTACCTTCTTTGTAGCTGTTAGGCTAAAGAGATTGGAATGAATACCTGGCGAGGATGAATACCTGGTTTCTCTAAGACAGGGGTCCTCAAAGTTTTCCACCAGGGAGCCAGTTGAAAGCTGGAGGTGCTGAGCGCGGGGCAGAAAGGTGGTGCTGGCAGTGTGCGCGAGTGGGGGCAGTGCGTGCGGGTGTGTGTGCTGAGGCGGGGTGCATGGCAAGGTGAGGCGCGGGCAGGGGCGGGCATGCGCTGCAAGGCGGGTGCATGAGGCAGCAGCTTGCTTGGAGATCATTTTCTCTGAGCAAGCAAACCGCTGCCTCCCCGCGTGTGGGGCAAGGTGGGCGGCTGCGGGCGCGGGCGTGTGTGTAGCAGGTCCAAATGGGCATGCCGGGCTGGAAAAATGGGCATGGTGGGCCGGATCCAGCCCCCCAGGCCGTAGTTTGAGGACCCATGCTCTGAGAGTTTTCCCGCATGACAAGATTTTGATAATGATTTCAGGGTGTGTGGGTGATCCTCACCCTTGAACTGAAAATCCCTTTGAAGGGGGTGTATGCTAGTGCTAGTGTTTGTGTTTTGTTGATTGTGTAGTAGGAGCATGAGAATCAGGAATAATTCATCTCTAAGTCATTGATGTCACCACCTTTTTTCCTTATGAATGGCGAGCTCCTTTTTCACTAGCAAAACAAGTATGTCTCTTTGATCACTGTTGTTTTTTTAAATCTACCAAAAGAGCTCTAGATTCTTCTAAGGTGAGGCAGGAAACTGGATGATTTTGTTAGGGGCTTTATTCACCATCTTCCTGTTATCCATGTCTTCTGTGGGAATGGTGCCCCCCTCTTGAGTAATCATGTGGCTGACATAGCTAGAGTAGGCATGGTGCTCAAGCCTTCTGTTTTCAAGCTTCTTTTCTTGCTGTTTGAGGGATATATTGTCTTCCTGCAAGCTACCCCTTGCTAGCCTCATTCACCAGGTAAAGTATTGCTGTTGAAACATTGCCTTTCCTTCCTTTGGAGAAGAGCACTTGTTGTGCTTGCCACCTGCTGGGCCACCGCAAGAGGGAACACCAAGGAGGCAGCAGTATATTCCAGAGCTCAAGGAAGGGCACACACTGGCCATACTTCTCGACTCTTACAAAGAGCAGGGTGAAGAAAATTAGATGGTGTAGAAGGCAGAGCCAAGGCTAAAAGGACCCTCCTCCTTAGGAAGTGTTTTTTGTTTGGTCGGTTGATTGTTTGGGTTTGGGGTGGGAGGTTGGTCTGCCTTCTTCTGGAAAGAGTAAACCGTTTTTTCCCCTCTTCCCTGCTGACCGAGAACATGGAACTCTTATTTCTTGTACTTTGGGCTCCTTCCCCACACACATGGTCATGGCTCTATAACAGTATTTACATATTTACTTCAGCTATGTTTGTGCCAGTACTCCAGAAATTCATTTACCAATGATATTAAATTGGTTTGTGTTTTTATTGGTTGTTATTTTTTGTATTGTATATATTTTCAAATAAACATAATATCCTGATTTTGTTTTGAATAAGTATATCTTATTCTGCATTTTGCCTTTTTTAAAAAATAAAGGTTATCAATTGGAAAACATCCCTGCATATTCCACTGCAAGCAAAACTAACTCCAGAAGCATCTGACCTTATTATAAAGCTCTGCCGAGGACCAGAAGACCGCTTGGGCAAGAATGGTGCAGATGAAATAAAAGCACATCCATTTTTTAAATCCATTGATTTTTCAAGTGATCTGCGGCAGCAGCCTGCTTCCTACATTCCTAAAATTACACATCCTACAGACACATCAAATTTTGATCCAATTGACCCTGATAAATTATGGAGTGAGGATAAGGAGGGGAATGTAAATGACACACTTAATGGGTGGTATAAAAATGGCAAGCATCCTGAACATGCTTTTTACGAATTCACATTTCGAAGGTTTTTTGATGACAATGGTTACCCATACAGCTATCCAAAGCCTATTGAATATGAATACAGTAATCCTCATAGATTGGAGTTGCAGTCAGATGAAGATGATGAGAGAATGGATAGAGAGGTCCAAAATCACGATCTAGTTTATATCTAGTAGAGAAGGTGCAATTGAACCATTCTTTGCAATTTCTCAGTTCTGTGCTGCAAGAAAACATGAAATACTATTTCTGCACATGTGGGGTAGAGAGAAAAGAAAGTGTGATTATTGTTCGAATAGTTTTCCACTGTAATTTTTATGCCCACCAAAAACAAGTCCCTTTTCCAAACATTAATTTATTCTAGCATTGTTAGTAATTAATACAGAAAACAGTAATGTTAGGAAAATAAATTATAAAATTAAGGTTGTTTTATATAGTGTTAAGTAGGAAATAGAGACTTCTTTAGGAAATGATATGCTTGTCTATTTGTACATAAACTACATAAATTCTCCCACAATTTTGCAGTGGAATTTTTCCCTTGTGACCGAATATTATACATGCCTGCATTTCCTAATCTGGCAAATGCTTTATCTGACTATTCACCATACAAAGTCCCAATTATAGATGAGACTGGAGAGAGTAAACTGACCTGCTATGGCTTCCAACTTTGGAATAAGAAAGTATATGGCTGTAGTCGCAAACTCACTAATGGGTGAACCCTCCTAAGCTTCTGTGTGAAAATACATAGGGTTGTTTCTTCTGACAGTAAATGATTTCCATATGCTTGCTTATTTTAGTTCTGCTTAATAGTTTGTGAAGCATAACTGGGTTTGTGGTGCTATGCAACAACTCCAAATTGAGGCTGACTTTGGTATGTGTGTGGGCATGGGGATGAAGTGAGAATGGTCTGTCACAAACCATAATCAAAAATAAACGTTGAAAGGCATGTGTTTGTTTTCCCATGACTTCTAAAAATGCTTGAGTTCCTGCAATGTTTAGTTGCTAAGATCCTTACACTATCCCAGTATAGATCAGTGAGAAATCAATGAGAAATGTCATAGTTAATCCACCTGCAATTCTATTATTAGTATCCTGGTGCTGTATCATTCCAATCCAAAGGCCTTGTTTCTAAAACAAGTTGTTACATCCTGTGCTCCCATATTAACTATTTTGGAATGAACATCTCTGCTTACTGGGGATTCAATGTTTTAAACTGATTCTGTGAGACGTTTAAAGTTGTAGCCTCTTGTATTTGTATCATAAGCATAACATGCTAAATCATGTTTATAGTATTCAGGCAACTTCTGTAAGATCCGCTTGCATCTTGACAAAGAGAGAATACTTGCCTCTTGAATGGAGGGTCCATATTTCTGATGCAGGAAACTTACCTGTAATTACTTTGAGCTACTGAGCAAGATAAATAGTGCTTACTTCCAGGACTAGCTACTTTGAAATAAAGGAAAATGGCAGATCATTTATCTTTTGCTTGTTTTTAAGTGCAGTTTTCTCCGTTAACAGTGAGTCTAAACTTACTCATTTTCTAATAGAGATGAACAAATGATTAAGACTTTAAGCTGCCTTTTTAAGCCTGTATGCCAGCATTCCTGTTTTTGAAAAATTAGCAAGCTCAACATTCTGAGCTTTCTGTTATAGTATGTATATAGTTCTAGGGTTCTGAAAAATGATTTGTTTGTCAAATCCCCTTCCTTGCTTAATTCTTTGCAATGAATTATTTATTATTTATTGTTATGCTTATATGCCCTGCTTTTCCAGTGGGAAAAAATAACTCACCAGTAGCTTCCAAGTAAACTTTCATTCAAATAGCCTTTTGAGGCTGAACCTGATTAGTTTCAACAGTAGAATTGTATCATGTGCCTTCAAAGCATTCTTTGAACCACTTAATTTTTTGACCAGATACTCATGTGAAAAACATACTAGTCTGATGTTTTTAAAAAGACATTAGTGCTTTGTAGGCCCAAGGTAAAAAAGATTAAATATGTACCCTTTTTCAAGAAATGTTTCAACACTTCCACCATTTACATTCTGCTTCGTACATTGGCTCCATGCATATGTCCTATATATAGTGAGTATAGGAGACAGCTCATGCACTCTTTCTCAATGTATGTAAAGTTCTTAGGGTGAAACAGGAAATTTTGTTCACGCACAGTTTAGCACAGTCACATTATTTTGTAGTACTTGGGAGCAAATCTTAGGTTCTATGTAGGGAGCCAAAGTGTGAACCAGATCTTAGAATATTTAACATTGCAAGTGGGGGAAGAGGCAGAGTGTAGTTATTCTGACTGTTTAGCTTTGTTTTTGTAAAACAAGTTCAATTTTAAAAGGATTTTGAGGATTGTTCTTTTATTAATATTTAGGAGTTCCAGTTAAACTGGCAAGTTATTATATTTGTCCTGCAATAAAATATAATATATTCCTGGTTAAAGCCAGATAACTTTAATCTATTTGCAGGTAAGTAGATATGTGAAATTGCTTTGTAAATTTAAGAACAAACTTTTCTTCATCTAAACTCATTGAGTACAATCAGTTAAGCACACCTTACATTGAGAGCAATACATTTTAAGTGCACAGGAGCATTTGAGGCCCATGTTCATTGAATTTGAGCCCTCTTCAGTTTTATGGATTATGCCTATTAACATTTTTTTAGTGGAGGAGTAGCAGTTCACAAATATATTCTATACATTTCAGATTGTTTTAATCAAGCTTGTTAGTATTGATATGCAGAGTTTTGTGTGTGATGTAACTCTGCCATTTTGGAACATTTAACAGATAAAATTCTGCACCACTTATTCTCCACTGGCCATCCTAAACATTCAAGTGAACAGTATTTGTTTATTGTGGAGAAGGGTGTTCAGAGGCCTCATAGAAAAGTAGACTATCATACCCACAGGATATGCTTGAGTTCCCATTTTCATTTTGCATATTCATGCCATTGATGAACCAACCCTATTTCAGTTGTCAGTCTGTTCAAAGTAATCTAGTGTGTATCCAAGATGTGTTGCAGTATGCACAATCTACTTGTTTTCCTGCATGGATGTTTCAAGTCTTCTCTGAGATTTTAGTTTTGCAGTATAATTTCTATTTTGCAGTTGGGACCAAACAAAATAAGGAAAAATGTAAAATTGCTCCCCATTTGTTTCTGAATAAACTGTTTTCATTTAAATATTTTAAACAACATTGCTTTCCTATTTCCACATATATACATATGCACTGTATTTATAAATGTTCTGTAACCATGTAATTTTATTGTAAATACTATGGTACTGTTCAGTTACTTTCTATCCTAGGGCAGGCCCTCTTGCTGGATCTTTTTTACCCAATTTGTAACAGAACCTATAGAATGTATAACTAAAATTTCAATTTTTTAGATTTAAAAAAAAAACTGCTGTTGCAATGTGCAAAGCTGTGATAGAGAATGAGTTCTTTCAACTTTGTTAATGCTGTACATCTGATAGAGAATGCAGTGTGAGTGGGTTAATAGATGTTGCTGCTGTTATGCAAGGTACCAATTAAATTTTGGCTGCAAATAACTGGTTTTTGAAATGAGACGTTTGCTTTACTGCAACCAAAGTAAAGCAATGTTAAGTCAACATCTGATAGTAGAACTTTGGAACAACTTAAAGCTGCAATCCTATGCACTCTTACCAGTAAGTAACTGCCATTGAGCTCAATGGAGCTTACCTCTGAGTAGACATATATAGGATTGCACTGCAAGAGACCCTCCTGTGAAAGGCACTATTCAAATTTACTTTTATATTACATTTTGTATATATGCCTTTTTTACTGTAAACATTTGTCTGATAAACCTACTTTTGTAAAACTGAACTAGCTTGAGAGAAGTGCCTTCACAGACAGTATAACTAAATCATATTTGCATATTTCTGCATATAATAACTATTTGGTAATCTGTTAAATTCTTCGAGTGTCTTATGGATTTCTTTCCGCTTTTTAAATCAGTTTTCTCTAGTGTACTATTTTCTGAGATAATAAAATTGAAATTCAATGAATAAGCTGCTAATCAAATATAATTTTATACTGATCAAATGTGTCATTGTTTGGTTTTCATCTTCTGTATTTATTTGCAATATGGAATTAGGGAGCAACAAGCCACCCTAACAAATCATGGCTTGTTCTGAGGTTATTGGATCCACTATGGGTTTCTGTGAACCCAGGTGACCAACATCATTTCCAGTACTGGGAACTGGCTACCAAGATGCTTCATAAGAGTGGCAAAACTTTAATCTTTTTCTTTCCCAACATTTGAAAACTGCCAGAAGGCAAGCTATCAAGAAAAAAAAGCATGAGCGATTTTAGCTCAAGAAAATGAAGACTGTAATTATAACTCAGCTTGAGAAAGTGGGAAAGTCTACCCACACCCTTTACTGGGGAAGAGGTGTTTTGACAGCCACCTTGTGACCAGGGGTGGGGTTGACTGGGACATATACAGTTGTATATCTCAGTCACAAACCACCCATTGCACTTCAAAACTCCTTTTTTCCTAGAAAGAGAGTGGGATATACTTTTGTATTTTTCTGAGCAGCAGGTGTCTCTGGAAGAAGTGCAAAATACACATTACTCTGGACTCTCAGGGCAAAAAGAACTGCTCCCCTTTTCATGAGCAAACCCCCACTTTGCCTTCCCTTGACCATTCACCTTTTCACAGCTGTCAAGAGAAAGCAAAAAGAAAAGTGTTATTTGAACCTTCTGTGTGTCAATGTCCAGGCCTACTGTGAGACCCCCTGATAGGACCAAGGAGGAAGGAGAGAGTGAACTACCAAAAGTGAGTCTGATTATCCCACACACTGGGATCATACAACAAACAACTCGCTATGGCTTATTGCTACTGTGTGGCACTGTATCTTCATCCCTTCTTTGCTAAACTACCTGATAGAACACAGACATGGGAATTCACACTGTCTGAATCAGCCTTCCCTAACCTGACTCTGGCTAGGGATGATAGTAAACCAAGTTAGTTAGATAAAACACTGTTCTAAATTATAGTATCAAGTATACCATGATTGGGCCTTGTACTGCATAATAATTACTTTGAAGCCTAACATATTAAAGTGAAATCTAGTTTGTTTTTATGGTGAGAGTATTCCTCAGATGAAGATTTAAGGCTGTATTTGCAATGTTAACTTGGATATGGATTCTGTTGAATTCAATGAAACATACATTCCAGTTATTTTTTACTGCACATTGTCAATGCTTATAATGACTAGCATTTATACTTTGCTTTTTAACCTCTGGATTTCCATCATTTGGCAACCAGTATAGTACTCTTGCATTGACTGAATATAACCATTGCCTTATGTAAGATTGAAAGGCAATGGAGAAGCCTACAGCCACTTTTTTGCCTAAACTGTTCATCATGTCTAGGCAAACTAAAGTTTAGTTAGTGTCACATGAACAAAACGTGAACATTATGCATGAGGGCTCTCTCCAGGCATAAGAAGCTTTCACTTGGATTTTAAACTAAGCATAGTTAAGCTTAACCACACTTTTATTGTGCTTTGCTTGTAAGAACAAAGATCCATTAATTGAAAATGGAAGCCAAGTTTCTTACTAGCTTCTTGCAGCAGACCCAGAGGAGAAACAAAGAAACCCCAAGTTAGGTTCATGAGTTGTTCGGTCTAAAAGCAACCATTGAATGCTTAGCTGACATGTGAAAGGAGTCTTCTAGTTCATAGGTTAAACACTGTTGTCCATGCCAACTACCCAGCCATCTGTACAGAAGACAAATTGAAAGTGTGAGCAGATTTTATAAAGATTAGAGATACCACTTGCTGCCTGCCAGGCCAAATCAAGCTCTCTCATGTGTCTTTAGTCTCTTTCCCACACTTGCCAAATCACGATCAGAAAAGAGAGTGACAGTTGTCACAAAAGAAGCTGATGCCAGCTTATTTTGGAGAGTGAGCTCTAGAGTCTTGACTGCCTATGATCTCCTGGTAAACTAGCTCCTGTTTCCCATTGGTGGATCTCTGACTTTTATATGTATAATTTAAGGAGGCAGCATGCAAACCTTTTAAAAACAGACCTGGGGACCAACCCTTCCAGAAGAGTGCTTAAGAAGGACAGGTATTTTCTCTGCTGTTAATTTACAGTGCCATCCTATGCATACCTACTTAAAGCATTTAAGTACATACTGAACTACAGGATCTTTTGAAAGAAGCTCGCATTCATTTCCTATGTAACTACTACAGCTCAGGTGAAAAAGCAACACCCTTACTGGATTGTTGTCACTCTTAGAAAGCTGCACCTTGAGGCCCTTTCCTAATCGTAAGGGACTGTGGTAGAGCACATGCTTTGCAAGCATGTGGCCCCATTCAGTCTCCAGGTAAGGTTGTCCACAGGGCTGAATGGACAACTGGTCTAAGCTCAGTATAAGGCAACTTCCTTTTTTTCCCAATTCCAACATACTGTCCACCAGAAACCATACAATTACATGTAATTCCTCCTCCAAGTAGGACAAAGCCTAGTATTTTTGGACTTTGATTCTGTATACAATGAGTTTTCCTGCTTGGTTGGTCCAGTACAAGGTCACTCACAAACAACTACCTCCTATTGTGACATGTGCATACCTCTGTTATAGTTTTGGGTTCCCCAAAGTGAGTAACGGTCGTAGAAAGCTTTTAGTGTTCTGTTACTTAATCTGTGGTTAGAAATGATACAATGGTTAGAGCAACCATCGCCAAACTGATGCCTACCAGATGTTTTATGTGACACCTTCTATCAGCTCCCAACCAGCATAACCGAAGGATGATAGATACTATACTATAGCACCTCTAGAAGTCGCCAAGCTGAGGAAGGCTGGACTGGAGACACGAAAATGAATGGCAGTCCCAGCCTTAAAGTAGGAGCGGGCAACATGTATATCAAAACATATGGAGCGGCACAATTCCCATCAGCCTTGGTCAGGGCGGGCAATGCTAAAAGCTAGTAAGAACTGCTGGCTAAATCATTTGGAGGGACTTTATTCGCTCACTACTGAATAAAGGAGTTTAAGGTCTTCCTCAAATGCAGGGCGAAAATGCAAAACGCGAGCAAGCGATGCCTCTCGAGCTTGCGCCTCCGCCTGGAGACAAAGCACACCGCTGCGCGAGAGGCCGCTCTGGAAAGAGGGAGGGAGGACGCGCAGAACGTGCCGTCTAACAGTGACGTTCAGGAGCCCTGATTGGAACGGGGCGGAGGAGAGGCGAAGAGCGATAAAGCGCATCTCGGGGTGGGACGTAGAGACGCTAGAACGTCATGGGCGGAGCTAGGGCGGGCGCCTGCGTACTCGTGCCTTACAGTGGAGTGGTCGGGAGGCGGTGCTGAGATGAGTCGGCCGCCGCCGTTACCGAGCTGAGTGCGCCGAAAACTGCGTGAGTGTTTCCCCGCCTCGTGGGTCGTTCGGGGTTGTAACGAGGGTCGTCGTGGCGCCCCCTTCTCCCGCCGGTTCCCCCACGGCACCTGTAGCTGCCCCCGCCTCTTTCGTGCCATCCCTACGCGCTTCTCCCCGTCCCGCGCGGCAAGTTGCCGCCCACGGCTCGGGAACTGGATGGTTTTGGCGGGAGGGCTTTGTGTACTGGGGGGCTTCCACGCTGGAGGTGTAAAAGGAGGAAGGGCGCGTTGAGTATTTGGCCTTCTTCACAATATCCATTGTTATCAAGCTCCAGGTGTTACTTCGTCTCTTCTTTCCTATCTTCTTCCGCACTTGCTCGAAGTACACTAGCCTTCTCCAACCTGGTGCTCTCCAGTTGTGTTGTCTACAATTCCCAGCATCCCCAGCCAGCCTGAATGGGGATGCTGGAAGGACACCAGAATGGAGAAAGCTGAGCATGTCCTTGAATGTTCTCTTGGTTCTATATGTTCTTCTTTCTTTCTCTACTCTGTTCCTACCCTTGTCAACAGCCTGTTGCACCAATGAGTATAGGGCACTTATCCAATTACGTGTTTTCTTAGGATTTCAGGTGATAAGGGCGACATCTTCCCCACTGCCAAGCTGCTCTTCCATCCATTGCTCGGAAAGCTTTCTGGAATAAATAGTACCTGCTTAGAGTAAGTGATCTTTTACTGTACAGTTGAGGTAAAGGACTATTTTAACTACTTTTTTGAACATCAGAAACGTTCTTTTTTTTAAACTCTTAAGCCTTATAAGTGTATAAGATTTAAAGGGTTAAAGTGAATACCCTCATGTTTAGTAGGAGTCAATATATTTCAGTATATATTCTAGCCTTTCCAAATGTGGTACTCTTCAGACATATTGGGCAGCAGCTCCTAGCATTCTAGATCACTGGCCATGCTAGAAGGTCTGATAAGAGTTTAAGTTCAAAATAGCTGGAGTGTGACAGATTAGGGAAAGGCTGGTTGGACAACCTGATACCTTCTAGATGTTTGGACTGCAGCTTCTTTAAGCATCAGCCTTTCAAACTTACGCAGGTTGGGAATTAGTTTAGAATATCTGGTGGACAGCAGGTTGCATACCCCTGTTGTAAATAATACAGAATGAAAGCAGAGAATACAATATCTCTTAAGTGCCAAGGCTGTTCTTTTATTCTGTATGAGCTAGTGTGAAATGATGGGGTCTGCTCCTGTAGATGGTGCGGGTGGACATCTGAGGAGCAATACATGGCCTGATGGATTGTGACATTTCCCTGAAAGGCTTAATAGCCATTGTTTCTGAATCTGTCACTATTGTTAATATGTCTTGTGTAGGCATTTTCCTGCTTACAAAGGTGGTCATCACACCAAAGTTGCTTTGCATAGAACTCTTAAGAAGGACAGAGGCAGCATTAGGGAGTTTTCAGTTTGTACATCTCTCCTCTTCCTGGGAAAGGTAGTTGGCCAGGGAGAGCAGCCTACTGAATTGTGGACCCGGTACTGTGCCTACACTGTACTTAAAATATAAAACAATAAAACTGCTGCTGCAATGGACATATTAATATGGAAGATTTCTAAGCATTCATAGAATCATAGAATACTGAAGTTGGAAGGGACCACGAAGGACATTGGGTCGAACCTCCTG